CGAGTTACCGCAAGTCGCAAAGAAAACAGGAGCTGCCTCCACTATTCCAGCACCATTTCAACTTCAACATCATCAAATCACCTATGCTTAGTCTAATACAGTGACAACTAAAAGACACCAAAAAAACTAAGCTAAATATGATGTGACTGTTCATGGTTCTGATTTGTGTGTGTGTGTGTGTGTGTGTACTTGCGTTTGTGCAAGTAGAAAAACATGTTGACTCACCCTACTTGTAGAGAAACGCCAATGTCATCCTCCTCTCTTTCATGTTGACGAAACGGTCTATGGCTCTGTCATACAGTACACGCTTTTATTTGTTGTTGTCCTAGGATACCTGGCTAAAATGCTTGCTCGCTAGCCTAACTTCCTTTCACGGGCAATGTTAGCTAGTTAACATTAGCCTTCTACATCTAGCTACATATTGAACTTCCATCCTCTCAGTCCAGGGGCACAATGTATGAATTTATGGTTGGATTAGAATCTCCATTATCATTGGCCAGTACGGAGAAGTCCAAATCCGTATCTCCATCCATGGCTAATTTAGGAAAGGACCAATTGTAGCTAGCTAGCTAGCCACCGGAGGACAACAACACAACGACATGCAACAATTCAAGTTGTTTCTGTCAATGACGTATTTCTCTTGATGCGATGCGATAGGAGTGAAGCCAAATCCAAACTGATTTATTTTTTGAATGTGCCAGGACCATTCACAGTTGAGCTCACTCAGTTGAGCTCAATGCTGATTGGGGTTATATCCTGCCTGGTTGACCCTGTCCGGGGGTCTCGTCGGACAGGGCCACAGTGTCCCCCTGACCTGTTGGTCATCTATGAACATCTTGAAGAACAATCTAGCCTTAATGGCCATGTACTCTTATAATCTCCACGAGACAGCCAGAAGAGGAGGATGGGCCACCCCTCAGAGCCTGGTTCCTCTCTAGGTTTCTTCCTAGGTTCCTGCCTTTTTCCTAGCCACCGTGCTTCTAGATCTGCATTGCTTGGGGTTTTAGTCTGGGTTTCTGTATAAGCATGTTGCAACTCTGCTGATGTAAAAAGGGCTTTATAAATAAATGTATTAATTGAAATGTGTGTAATTGTGTAATTATAATTTTTGTGAGTTTGATATTCAAATTGTTTCTAGTAAATAAATATCTCAGGAATAGTTTGGTGAGTTTTAAGAGCAGTGTAATATTTTTACATTAAATAAGAGGTAAATAAAGCTTGTTTATAAGTGTCCTCTGTAGTGGACATCAGGATGCGTCTACTGTACACATTTACTTAAATGTAACATTTAGCATGTTTAATACCAACCGAATCCTAATGCCCACTACAGTGCACATACAATAAAACATGTATAAAATACAAATATTTATTTGTAACATGTTTTTATCCACCTAAATGACAATTTCCAAAACATTTTTTTTGCTGGGTCTCAGGAGGATAAATAGGGGCTTAATATGGGATCATTTTTCCTGTTACAGGCTAGAACATGGCCTGCCAAAACCATTGTTTCAGCCAAACTATTTTCCACTATACACTCTTAGAAAAAGGGTTATTTGGCTGTCCCCATAGGAGAACCATTTTTGGTTCCAGGTAGAACCCTTTTGGAACCCTGTCCACCCAAAAGGGTTCTACCTGGAACCAATTAGGGTTCTTCAAAGGATTCTTCTATGGGGACAGAACCCTTTTAGGTTCTAGATAGCACCTTCTTTTCTAAGAGTGTACAAAGCGAGAGCATGAAGTTCCGGATTCCTGATGCTTTTCTATTGTCAGGAACCTGTGTGTTCCAGGAACCAACCTTGAAGTTGACCTGGACCGTGAAGTTCCAGGAACAAACCTGTGAACCTGTGTGTATTGGACATGTTGGAGACCACAGAGATCGTACATGTAATTCTATGTTGCTGACCACCTCATTCAAAATGGCCACCAAAAGAAGAAAACAAATGTATGTTATTCAGTTACTTTTCTTTCAGATAGATAGATAAAAGATTAACACCAGGGTAAGATAAGGGCGATTAGATTTATGTGCGTGCCTCAACCTCCCATTATATCAGACAGATACATTATTCTATCAGTAACATTGGATTGGTGCACACAGCTACTCGCTATTAGGGATTGTTAATGTTTGGGTATCTTAGGTGGAGATCTCCTTTTGCCCCATTGGAGTTCAACAAAAGGGCTTACCAAGAAAAACTTCCGAAAGGACTAATTCGAGGCAGAAAGGAGTTGGAGCACTCAACCATGAGAGTTCATTCACATGCAGTCTGGAGGGTTATTGTCAGGTGTGATTGTGAGCCACTTCATGTGTAGTTCTGGAAATAAAACATGTACAGTGTGCTATTGTGAGCAAATACTAATGCTATTTCAAACAATCCAAGTGTGTAAGTGCTATTGCTATTCTAATACAAAGCACTGGCTAGACGCAGGCAACTGAAAATGGTGGTGGTCCATGCTCTTAGTTCAGGTTTGAGTGTGGAGGCACAATATGTCCTTAAGTGTGTACAGTGAGGGAAAAAAGTATTTGATCCCCTGCTGATTTTGTACGTTTGCCCACTGACAAAGAAATGATCAGTCTATAATTTTAATGGTAGGTTTATTTGAACATAAACCTGAAGACAGAATAACAACAAAAACATCCAGAAAAACACATGTCAAAAATGTTATAAATTGATTTGCATTTTAATGAGGGAAATAAGTATTTGACCCCCTCTCAATCAGAAAGATTTCTGGCTCCCAGGTGTCTTTTATACAGGTAACGAGCTGAGATTAGGAGCACACTCTTAAAGGGAGTGCTCCTAATCTCAGCTTGTTACCTGTATAAAAGACACCTGTCCACAAAAGCAATCAATCAGATTCCAAACTCTCCACCATGGCCATGACCAAAGAGCTCTCCAAGGATGTCAGGGACAAGATTGTAGACCTACACAAGGCTGGAATGGGCTACAAGACCATCGCCAAGCAGCTTGGTTAGAAGATGAAAACAGTTGGGGCGATTATTCGCAAATGGAAGAAAAACAAAAGAACTGTCAATCTCCCTCGGCCTGGGGCTCCATGCAAGATCTCACCTCGTGGAGTTGCAATGATCATGAGAACGGTGAGGAATCAGCCCAGAACTACACGGGAGGATCTTGTCAATGATCTCAAGGCAGCTGGGACCATAGTCACCAAGAAAACAATTGGTAACACACTACGCCGTGAAGGACTGAAATCCTGCAGCGCCCGCAAGGTCCCCCTGCTCAAGAAAGCACATATACAGGCCCGTCTGAAGTTTGCCAATGAACATCTGAATGATTCAGAGGAGAACTGGTGAAAGTGTTGTGGTCAGATTAGACCAAAATGGAGCTCTTTGGCATCAACTCAACTCGGCGTGTTTGGAGGAGGAGGAATGCTGCCTATGACCCCAAGAACACCATCCCCACCGTCAAACATGGAAGTGGAAACATTATGCTTTGGGGGTGTTTTTCTGCTAAGGGGACAGGACAACTTCACCGCATCAAAGGGACGATGGACGGGGCCATGTACCGTCAAATCTTGGGTGAGAACCTCCTTCCCTCAGCCAGGGCATTGAAAATGGGTCGTGAATGGGTATTACAGCATGACAATGACCCAAAACACACGGCCAAGGCAACAAAGGAGTGGCTCAAGAAGAAGCACATTAAGGTCCTGGAGTGGCCTAGCCAGTCTCCAGACCTTAATCCCATAGAAAATCTGTGGAGGGAGCTGAAGGTTCGAGTTGCCAAACGTCAGCCTCGAAACCTTTAATGACTGGGAGAAGATCTGCAAAGAGGAGTGGGACAAAATCCCTCCTGAGATGTGTGCAAACCTGGTGGCCAACTACAAGAAACGTCTGACCTCTGTGATTGACAACAAGGGTTTTGCCACCAAGTACTAAGTCATGTTTTGCAGAGTGGTCAAATACTTATTTCCCTCATTAAAATGCAAATCAATTTATAACATTTTTGACATGCATTTTTCTGGATTTTTGTTGTTGTTATTCTGTCTCTCACTGTTCAAATAAACCTACCATTAAAATTATAGACTGATCATTTCTTTATCAGTGGGCAAACGTACAAAATCAGCAGGGGATCAAATACTTTTTTCCCTCACTGTATGTGTGTAGAGATCAGGTTTGACACTGTGGGGGTACAGCACTTAAGACTTCCACTTGCACTAGTGGATGTCTTGGACCATAGTTTCCCCCAGAACAGAAACCAGATCAGGCTTCAGTACACACACCACGCAGGGAGGGAGCAGTTAACATAATGGTGTCCTGTCACCTTACCAATACACAGGGTGGATACGGTGGCTCACACCGGCTCCGCTAAAGAAGGTCCAACTGACGGAACCAAGGAGATAACAGACACCTCAAAGCCACAGGGCAGTTTCATACCTCTGTGAGAACACATGGACAGTATCAGTGTGATAGCTGTGAAGGTTATGTTTTATGAATTAGGGGCTGAGCTGGATCAGACCTTGGTTGAAATACTTGAAAAATCATTTCAAATACTTTTGAGTGTTTGCTTGAGTCTGCCTGTAATGCCAGATGGGCTGGGTTTGCAGTTGTATGACTTTTCTATTGGTTTATTAAGCCTGGCAAGCTCAAACAGGCACAAGCCTGTTCATCTTAACACACACAGGCCTCTCGAATAAGGGGGGACATTTTGCAACATAACGATGTTATCATTTCAAACATATGAAATTGACAAAATAACTAATGGGACCAAATGGTTATAAATAATGTAATTCAAAATAAATTATCAGATTCAGTCAAATTTCTCAAATACATCCATTTTCCAAAAACACATTCAAATGTTTTTCTAATTGTAAACTGAAGGTTTAATGATGTTTAGCTTTGGGTTGGAAGTTGCCTCAGCGCTTATCCATGAGTTAGTATTATAGTATTATTAAGAAATATATGAAAAATCCCTGCTAAATTCACTGGTTAGCTAATCCTGGACCAGCCCTATAGTAGCAGCAGTATCTCCAGTATGTCAATTAGGGTGTTATGAGCCAGTATTGCTACTCCCTGTCAGTGGGTGAAGGCCGTGTAACTTCCTGTACAGTTCAACCTTGGCAAGGTCAGCTGACAAGCTCTTGGCCATCCTATCAGTGGTCCTCTTCATACTGCGGGCAGCCTCGATAGCCCTGTCCAATGTCCTGTTGATGTCCTCATCCTAACACAAACAACAACAGTTTAGGGTTACGCTTGTACAGTTGAAGTCAGAAGTTTACATACACCTTAGCCAAATACATTTAAACTCAGTTTTTCACAATTCCTGACATTTAATCCTAGTAAAAAAAGTCCCTGTTTTAGGTCAGTTAGGATCACCACTTTATTTTAAGAATGTGAAATGTCAGAATAATAGTAGAGATAATTATTTATTTATTTCATCACATTCCCAGTGGGTCAGAAGTTTACATACACTCAATTAGTATTTGGTAGCATTGCCTTTAAATTGTTTAACTTGGGTCAACGTTTCGGGTAGCCTTACACAAGCTTCCCACAATAAGTTGGGTGAATTTTGGCCCATTCCTCCTGACAGAGCTGGTGTAACTGAGTCAGGTTTGTAGGCCTCCTTGCTCGCACATGCTTTTTCAGTTCTGCCCACACATTTTCTATAGGATTGAGGTCAGGGCTTTGTGATGGCCACTCCAATACCTTGACTTTGTTGTCCTTAAGCCATTTTGCCACAACTTTGGAAGTATGCTTGGGGTCATTGTCTATTTGGAAGACCCATTTGCGACCAAGCTTTAACTTCCTGACTGATGTCTTGAGATGTTGCTTCAGTATATCCACATAATTTTCCTTCCTCATGATGCCATCTATTTTGTGAAGTGCACCAGTCCCTCCTGCAGCAAAGCATCCCCACAGCATGATGCTGCCACCCCCGTGCTTCACGGTTGGGATGGTGTTCTTCGGCTTGCAAGCAACCTCCTTTTTCCTCCAAACATAACGATGGTCATTATGGCCAAACAATTCTATTTTTGTTTCATCAGACCAGAGGACATTTCGCAAAAAAGTACAATCTTTGTCCCCATGTGTAGTTGCAAACCGTAGTCTGGCTTTTTTATGGTGGTTTTGGAGCAGTGGCTTCTTCCTTGCTGAGCGGCCTTTCAGGTTATGTCGATATATAGGACTCGTTTTACTGTGGATATAGATACTTTTGTACCTGTTTCCTCCAGCATCTTCACAAGGTCCTTTGCTGTTGTTCTGGGATTGATTTGCACTTTTTGCACCAAAGTACGTTCATCTCTAGGAGACAGAACACGTCTCCTTCCTGAGCGTTATAACGGCTGCGTGGTCCCATGGTGTTTATACTTGCGTACTATTGTTTGTACAGATGAACGTGGTACCTTCAGGCGTTTGGAAATTGCTCCCAATGATGAACCAGACTTGTGGAGGTCTACATTTGTTTTTCTGAGGTCTTGGCTGATTTCTTTTGATCTTCCCATGATGTCAAGCAAAGAGGCACTGAGTTTGAAGGTAGGCCTTGAAATACATCCACAGGTACACCTCCAATTGACTCAAATTATGTCAATTAGCCTATCAGAAGCTTCTAAAGCCATGACATCATTTTCTGGAATTGTCCAAGCTGTTTAAAGGCACAGTCAACTTAGTGTATGTAAACTTCTGACCCACTGGAATTGTGATACAGTGAATTATAAGTGAAATAATCTGTATGTAAACAATTGTTAGAAAAATTACTTGTGTCATGCACAAAGTAGATGTCCTAACCAACTTGCCAAAACTATAGTTTGTTAACAATACATTTGTGGAGTGGTTGAAAAACGGGTTTTAATGACTCCAACCTAAGTGTATGTAAACTTCTGACTTCAACTGTATCTCACAGTCCGCTACTTACCTTTTATTTACTTACAAAAGGCATAGAAAACGGTTATGACATGAAAATATAATAACCTACAAAAAGCTCCTTGGTTCCTTTAGGATTACAATTCTTTGTAAAAGAAAATCTAACAAAAAAAGCAGTACAGCACAAGTACCAGCTGTGTTAAATTCTTACAAGTTAACAATACCACTTGTTACATCACAATTTCTCAGTAAATACAAGTAGAAAATGACTGGCACCCATTGATATGAAAGGATGTTCTCCATGTGGCCAGCCTCACCTTGCTGGCTTTGTGCCTGCTGGCTCTGCCCTCGGTCCTGGGGGGGCTGAGAGCTGGTTGAAAGGTCCGCTGAAAGTACACGTTGCTGGGCAGTAGAGCTGAGTCTGACTGGGTAGAGCGCCTCCGGTGGTGGGAGACAGACTGCTGCTCTTGCACTTTGAAACTATTGAGACCACGGAGAAGAGAGAGAGCATGAGTACAGTAGTGTAGGAGTAGGCAACCCTGGGAAGCATCTCAGGTCTTCTCTTTCACCTTCACTGATTAAGGTTCAAGCAATATGGAGGATCAATATGGATTCAAATAAGGCAAATAGATTATGGCAATAAATGATGAAACTATATCTTACCCAGCAGGTAAACTGCAGGAGGAGCCATAGTTGACTTGCAACAGAAGCTTCTGTAGAGGCTGAGAGGGGAGAGGATACCTGCCCTTAGAGTAGACATTCTCCATGTCACCTGGTGGTGCTACAATGAAAAAAGACAGAATCAACATCACAACCCCAATGAATCTGTTCAATGTTATAATGAAATGGGTAGAGTAGTCATAATGGTACACAGTCATGGCAGTGTCACAGGGGTAGGAGTGGGGTTGCTGGTCCTTACGTGGAGATCTGTAGCTGGAGTTCTTGTATGAGTGCCAGAGTGCTGGAGGACTGGGATGGGTGAGATTGGAGGTTTCCAGAGAACGGTTCTCCTCTGATGCTAAGAGGGAATTTAGTATTTAGTATTTTATTAGGATCCCCATTAGCTACAGCACTCTTCCTGGGGTCCACATAAAACATTACATAATACATAACACCAACAGACAATTACATGTAGAAACACACACAACTACCTTTAGGACCACCAATTTAATATTTTGTTAAATATAATGTAAAAATCACTCTTGTTTTTCCAATTGTTCCTTTTATTTTACACCCATAAGCAGAAAGTCAATACCAGCACCACCAACCTGTATTCAAATGTTGTTTGCTCTGGGGTTTCCCTGGTCCATCTGAGCAGGAGTAGGGCTTGCTGCTCCCTCTCCTGCCACCTAGTGGTGTCCTGTGGAATGGTAGCATGATCCCAGACCGGTCCGACTCCACACTGTCTGTACCTAGAGAAAACGACCACATACAGAGGGATTTTACGTTTTACACAAGTAGTGTACGACATTAAAAGCACATTATATGTATAACATGGAAAGCACATTATACATATACAATGACTTACATATATACATACTATTATCATCAATATTACAACTGACAATACTAACTGCTATCTACTACTGCATGGGGTCCCCCATTACATTCAGCCATCGGCCGATTTTTCCTTGAGCCGATGGTCGGGGGGCCTGAAAATAGTTATAAATAAGTAGTACACTCCAAATTTCAAACCTTGATTACATTGGGATACGATCACATATGCCTCTCTATTTATGTGTGGGAATACTTGGGAACAGATTTCCTAAGTTAAAATCACTTGGAACTGATTTCCCGGTGATTTTACAGTCTTATTTAAAAATATGTATTTCTATTTTTTGTTCATGTTCAGAAAACTTGGAGGGGGCAAATCAAATCTGCTGCCTATTTGGGAACCCTGTACTACTGCATTAGACATAGCAGGCATCAACCCTGAAGCAAAATAACGTTGTTGTTAACAACTTGGTTTTGATTACACTCCCAATATATTACCCCGGGTAGTAATGTACCTTTGCTCTTGCTGGGGTCCATATCTGAGGAGATCCAGTCTTCTATCTTGGAGTTGGTGTTGGTCAGACTCTGTCTGCTCCCTGCTGGTTTGTGGTGTGTCCTGGACCGGGTCTTGGGCCTTCTGTCTCTGTTCTGCCTGCATCTGGAGGTCAGGTAATCCATCCTCTGGGAGAGTTGTGGCAGCTTGACCAGACCCTCCTCCAGGTCTCTCTTCAGCTGGCACACCTCCGACTGCAGGGACTGGATGGCCTCACTGGAGAGAGAGAGAGAGGGGTTGGCCAACTCAAAAACAATAGGTTTTGGCCACTATGAGGTATTACCTGGCAGCCTGACCTGGTTACCAATTTCATATGATAAAGTTTACTCTTGAGTTGAATACTCTGTGCTTTTAGACTAACCTGTGACAGGAACAGGTGTGGGAGTGGCAGTCTCTCTGTGGCATATCCATGGTGATGCTATGGGAGGTTTTTAATTGGCGGTCAGGGCCGTGATGACTGAGCTGACTGGGAGTGTGGGATTCACCCTCTGTGTGTACATAAGAGCATTTAGTTCAGTGTTTGTCCCTGCTGTACTGGCTACTGAATAACGTCTATACTTTCACTACGACCACAGCAGGCACTGTGATTCCTCATCACTCACCATGCAGTCCGGCAGGTGCACTCTGAGAAGTGCTGGTCACCCAGTGGTCCACTGCAGCGCTGCAAAGCTGCAGCTGAGCAGGTGTCTGTAGGCTGGGTCTCCTCTCTCCAATATCCCCAGTCAGATGGACAGTAGACTGCAGGCTAGGTGTCCTTTTTCCTGTCAGCCCAGCCGAATGGACATTTATCTGCGGGTTGGGTCTCCTCTCTCCCAACTGTACAGGGTGATGCATGGTGGTCTGCAGGTTGGCGCTGGAGCCTTCACTGTCACTCATACTGATAGGACTGGAGTTCCCATCAGGCTGGAACTGGGGCCTGAGGTTGGGTCGTAACAACGTAATAAACATACATGAAACATTGACTTTTTCAGTTAGCCTGTAAGCAGTTGTATGGATGTGTGTGCCTGTACCTTTCTGTGTGGAGTTTTGGTTGAGATAGTCCTGTGGCTGGGAGACTCAAGTCAGAGCTCCCAAACCCACTGTCTGTCTCTGGACTCACTATTCTCTGCAACAACAAAAATATATCCATGTAGCTACGCTTCTACTGTACAATATTACAATAATCTGTGGTAGTGGCTAGGGAGTTAGAGTAAATACAGAAATAAAGAAATAAACATGGGACAGCTAATATAAGTCATAGAAGATGACGTTAACATAGAGGCGAAAGAAACGCACACCTATTTAGGCGAGGTGCTGGCTAACGGAGTAGAACACTTAGAAAAAGAAAAGGAGAGCCGCACACTCTAGGAGCTCAGATGCAATCATTTAATATCCTAATAACCAACGCTTCGACAGACAAGCTGTCTTCATCAGGGTATAATGACAAACACTGCGGGTCACTAGTTTATATAGTGTCAAAGGACACACGCAGGTGTCTGTAATCATGGCCGGGTGTGGCCTAATAGCATTGGTTAATTCACAGATATACAGAACATACAAAAAACATGGATAGCATACGATCATAGATACAACTTGGCTACATAGGCCCACAAACATTTACAATGAATAGCAAAATCACAATAATCACAAGAATGGCTTCAAATCAAAGTCAACGTTGAGACCGAAGGGAGCAAGGGTCTTTAAATTAAGGATCCAGGCAGCCTCTCGTTTTAACAATAAGTTGTCGAGGTCACCCCCTCTCCTAGGGAGGGTGACATGTTCGATGCCGATATAACGTAGGGACAAAATCAGGTGGTTCACTTCCAAAAAGTGGGCAGCGACTGGGTATGTCGGGTTTTTGCACCTAATGGTGCTACGATGCTCCGAGATTCGTACTTTTAATTCACGCTTTGTTTTACCCACATAATGTTTACCACAAGGACAAGTTATAAGATAAATAACTGCCTTAGTGGAGCACGTAATAACACCTTTAATTGGGATCTGTTTTCCTGTTTGGGGGTGTTTAAAGGATCTACATTTGTAAGTGCCATTGCATTGAGCGCAGCCGTTACACTTGTAGTTTCCATCCGGTAGAGGCGCAAATAGACGTTGTGCAGGGATATTTAGGGGTGGTAAATCAGAGTTTACCAATTGATCTCTGAGGTTTCTGCCCCGCGAGAATACAACCAAGGGAGGGTCCGAAAACACATTACCAATACTGTCATCGGACCTTAGAATGTGCCAATGTTTGTGAACGATTCCCTTAATTTGTTCAGAGCACTTTGAATAGCGTGTAGTTAGAACGCAATAATGTTTCTTTTTGCGAGACTGTCCCTGAAAGAGGTCAAGTCTCGATTTGTTTTGAATTTTCTCAATGGCAGTATTAATCTGACCATTTTTGTACCCCCTCTCCTTGAATTTTCTTTGCGTCGCAGCCATATTTCGGTTGAAATCGGATTGTTTTTTACAAATTATTTTGATTCGACAGAATTCGCTGTAGGGCAAACTGTTTTTCAAGTTAAGCGGGTGACAACTATCAGCCCTCAACAAACTGTTACGATCAGTAGGTTTCCTATAAAGATCAGTGTATAGAACATTATCCTCAATACAAAATCAGAAGATCAAGGAAACTGATTTGACGTGTGTCAAATTGCATAGTAAATCTCAGGTGCTCAGAACAAGAGTTAAGAAAAGCATGGAATGCCTGGAGCTGTTTTAAATCACCCCTCCATAGAACAAAAATATCATCAATGTACCGTTTCCAAATAATAATGTTAGGCAAGAAAACATTTTTGAGAGGATTGAAAATTGACTGTTTCTCAATGTAACCCACATACAAATGAGCATAGTTAGGAGCCATAGGGGATCCCATAGCAGTACCCTTCGTCTGAATAGAGAAATCATTTAGAAACAGGAAGTAGTTGTGTGTGAGTACTATTTCAGCCAATAGAAGATGACGTTACCTGAGAAGTGGTGAGAGTGTGGTCTGTGATGCTCTGGGACTGGGTCTTCAGATCATAGGAGCAGGAAACCTCTCCAGCCAGACTCGCACTCCCACCCAGGTCACAGTCTGGGCTCAGGGGACTCTGCTGCAGGCTACAGTAACAACAACAACAATACATGGTCAAAATAAAAAGATGAAGTTTCATTGGTAAATACTTGTCCCACATACCTTTCATGAATGTTTGGCATGTCAGTTTTGCATTATGAGACAGTACACATTTACATACATTTACATTTTAGTCATCTATTGTATTTCTGAAATCACCACATCAAATAACCACAACTGTATCAATTACACTATAGAGGGGGGATTAGTTGTGTGGTCCATACATTATGCAGATGTGATACATTATAGAGAAAAGAGGGAAGTGTTGAGGTGAATATTGAATTGGTTAGCTTGTTTACTTAGCTAGTACAGTACACTCAAATGCCAAAACACTAACCTTTCAGGTGTCCACAGTCTGTCTCGCAATCCCGGGTTCTGGAGAGCCAAATACTCCAGAACCCTATCATGAGCTATCCCCTCAAATAGGCCCGAGCAGGTCGAGCTCCTCTCCTCACCTTCTTCTTCCTCCTCCTCTTCCTCTGTGTTGGTGATGTCCAGTGTCTCCAGGGAGTCCTGTGAGAGCCTCCGGGGGAACAGACAAAAACACAGAGACTAAAACAAACTGTTCCTACTCCTAATGGAATCCAACACCACCTCTGTGCCTGGATGTAACATTATCCCCCATGGGAGGGCCGGAAGCGTGCCTGCTATCAGCACACATGAACATGTGCACACACACACACGCGCATGGATAGGGGCATACAAGCATGCACACACGCACATACTATCCACTTACAGCATCCATCAACAGTCTACATGATTATCTGAATATCTGAATCTAAAGGCATTCATGCACCACAGGTACAGTAACTTGCCATTGATGTCAATGTCATGGAAAATACAGAAAATATCACTCCCCAAGATAGGATTTCTACTTGGGGTCATAAGGCATAAAAACACAAGTACTGTATGTAAATGGTACACAGTCTAGTATTGCAGGAATGTAGATGGTACACATTGAAGAAACCCATGAATTTACAGGCCTATGGAGCAGCTCAGAGATGTGTGATGTGTACCGTAGACTGACACTGCTGTGTCCTGTGCTGTTCAGTAGGGAGTCACAGCTCTGGTCTAAACCATCATGTCCAGGGACCTCACTGGCCTCTTCCTCATACTCCTTTTTCCTCCCTCTCCACTGTCTCATAACCCCCAGTGGAAAAACAGGGGCCTGGAACCTGTAATGTGAGACCCTGTCCACAGAGAGGTTGACAAGAGGAGAACACACACATTTTGAGTAGCTAATGTGTCCTCACTGTGAAACATGAGCGACGTTGGAAATTATTGTCACTCAATGAGAGCACTGGACACGCCTCCACTTACAAAACAAGGACCTGGGCTGCATTTCATTCTAAGAAGTTGTCCCCTCCCCAGATCTATGGCGATAAGGTATAGTTCCTCCTACACCATATCACTTTCAACTACTCAGTACTTTCAGATCTGTGAGGGGGAATGAACGGGGGCAGAGGCAAGGACGCAACTTTTGGGAATTAAATGTAGCCCTGTTCATCAGGACTACTGCTGCACAGAACACGTGTTGCAGTCAACATCCACAGCTCATGTTGCTCACACAAACACCTCTCACATGCATGCATGTAAGATGAAGGAAACGTAGATGGTGCAATTAGTCTCTTAAGGCTTAGTTGATCACACCTAACATTACAGAGGCTTATACCAGTGTAACTAACAGTGCAATAATCTATATAACTACTCGGTAAACGGCTTGTAAGTACATGCATTTATGCAGTAATCATTAAGGTATTTGAGTGAGTGAGTAAGTGAGAGAGCGAGCGAGTGAAAGAGTGAGCAAGCAAATAAATAGCAAAGCAGCGAATGAACAGCTATGCTAGGAGTAAGTGAGTGTGTTACCTCATGCAGGGGTGGTGGAAGTGAGGGGGTGAGCAGACCAGGGAGACTGGGACCCCCACACATTGACAGGAGTGTGGAGGATGATTGAGGTGGGGAGAGCTGCTGCTCACACACATTCCTGTCAATCAGCTCTTTAATGTCCTCTAGATGCATCCCTATCCTGAATATCTCCCCCTCCACCTGCCTTCACACACACACAAATAACCAATAATGTGCATTAAATACCCCTCACATCATGCTGAATTCTACACAAACCTAGCCTGGGTGTCAGTCTGTTTCTGGTTTTAAAGTGGTTCACACACACTTTAGGGCCAAACTGTGCCAAGCCAAGCTGTAGGCTACTGAGCTGACCTAGTTACGCATCTACCATTTTTGCTGGAACCGTGCTGGAATGGTCTATGTGAAAAGAAAATAGCCGAGTCAGCACAGTACAGTTCTGGGTGGCCCTATAGTGTGAGTCAGGCAGATATACTGTATAACTCAAACTCCTCACACACAATAAAATATATCAGTTGACCTCTAACCTTTCGGGGTCGAACTGGCCTGTGTTCCTGGCCAGGCCCAAGTAGTTCTGCATCTCCAGAGTTCTGTGCTCCTCCTTCTTACTGATGTACCTCCTCTCCAGCTGGTCCTGGGAATCCATCATACTCTTAAACACCTGGAAAACAACACAACGTTATGAATTACATAACAATACACTCTGCTTATAGAATAAAGGAAATGAGAATCAACTGTTATTATAAGTTACAATTGTTACAACTGCTTTATAATCACATCACAGTCCTGAACAGAAAAATACTTTTTAAGTAATGAAGATCCATTTACCATTTCTTGCTCTTCAATAGTAATTGACATGGTGGTCAGACACGTTTTGAATTCATCCACCTGTAAAAAAATAAGTGTTTATAATTCAGTATCATTGAAATGATGGGTGATAATGCACCACTATACAGCTTTGGTATGTTTCCCAGGTTACCTTCTGCAAAAACTGACTGATAATATCCCTCAACTCCCTGGTCATCCTTTCCCCTTCACTCTGACTCTGTTGGTCAGTCTGGGTTGGAGAAGTGCTAGGCTGTTTAGAGTGGTTTTGTTGGTTTGGATCCTCAATAAATTGTCCTGCAAACACAACAAAAGCTGAGACGATGCAGATCCAACATATGTTATGGCCTAAATTCTACAGCATTGAAAATGGAAAGTATCTCATGTAAACTGGTTGTGTAATACATTTGTGTCATCTTTTTTTTATGACAGGCTAGTTGTGACTTTGTGTGTAACCGGAATCTTATGTCATCCGACCCCATTTGTCACTAAGGAAACCGGTGGCTCTTGGCCAGGTAATTTGTAACAGAGAGAAGACCCGTCATAATATCAGATGTCAGAGACAGTATCTTGCCTGATGGAGATGGGGCGTTGGGGAAGAGCGTAGATCCAAAATGGCTTCCACCAGGACCCGGAAGGCCTTGTTGGTCACCACAGTCAAACTCCAGGGTAAGGTCAGAGGGCGCTTGATTCTAATTTGTTGACACATTTTGAGATAAATTCAGTCCAAATTGACAAGAATAAAAAGGCTGTCTAAAGGCTATATTTAATGAGATGAAATAACAGAAAGACCATAGAGAAAGAAGTGTTTAAAAAGAGAAAACGTTCTAAAGACTTACTTTTGTTCCCAGTCTCATCTGATCAATGAGGTTCTCAGCCTCTGCATATTTAGTGAGCAGTTTATCATATTCAGCCTGAAAGAGAGATGCCTTATGCATGAAGGATGTATGATGCATTTGTATAGAGGTGTGCGAGCTATACTACTGAACATGATGACCCACCTGAAGATGATGCACCAATCCTGGGGACGTTTCTGTCTGTTTGTCCTGCTCTCTGAACACATAGGGTCTCTCTGAGGGCTGAATAGAGTCCTCCATCACTCTGTTGATCACCTCCAAAGCAGAGGACTTACCCAGCATGCCTGGTGAGGACTGAGCTCTGAGGAAGGTGGGAGACTGGCTAAAAGGTCTCACCGTAACACTGGTACTCTTCGGGATTTTCACTTTAGGAGCCACCTTGGAGAAGTCAGGGAGTGGGTAGTGGACTTGGCCCTGTCCATACTTTAATTCGCTGAAAGACCTGGTTCTGACCAGGGGAACTCCACAGATTTGGTCTTCCTCCTCATCTTCATCATTCTCATCTTCCTCTTTGGTTAGGTCTGAACCATTGCTACCATTACTGTCCTGTTCAGGGACTTCACTTTTACTGTTTGATATGTCACTATTTTGAGGAGAGTTGACGTCACTGTTGTAAGACTCATCAGCACTCTGTGTGTTCTTTCCCTCTGACGCAGTTGGACTATCACCACTCCTTTTTCCATTTTTCTCCTCTAGGTTTTTTCTTGGACTCATTTGAACACTCTTCCCTTCATCTTCTTCCTGTAGGCTCTGACTCCTCTCACTCTCGCTGCTGGCTCCCCCTGCGCTGCTGCGTCGTGGGGCTGCTCCACTATTATTATTATTGGGTCTCCCTGTGCTACTGCGTAAGGGGCCCCTGCTCAGCACTGTCTCGTCCATGCTCTCCAGAAGGGACACCTCCGGCAGGGTCTCTGCCTCGATCAGACTGCCTGAGCAGAACAGCTCGTCCTGGGAGAAGTGACGGAGCAGCAGCTGGGTGATGTCTGGGTGTGGGGCTTCACGGACAGGACTACTGCATGTGGGGACAGCCTCTGGTTTTGTAGAGTCAATAAAAGCTCCTTTACCCTCTCCCTCAGGTGGAGTTATAGATACATGGTTCATAGTGTTGACTTCTATTTGCAAGTGACCTTGTATGATATTGACCTCCCCAACCATTGCTGGCAAATCAAAATGATCTCTAACATTGTGTCTTGAATGCAATGCTCCAGCTTGGTCTTTTGACAGAACATCAGCTATTTTGCAATTCTCCTTAGACTTGTGACTGTCATTGGTTGTGGGGTTAATGTACTGGCTTCCCAGGTCCCCGTCATACGGAAGGTCCTCCTGTTCTTCATCGGAGGTGTCTCCTGGGTTCTCATCCTCCCAGATGGTCTGCTCCTGCTCAGTGTTGGGTCTCTGGGCAGACACCCGCTTCACACTGCTCTTGGTCTTACCCTCCACCACTCTCTCACTCTGGCCACTGACACAGCTACTGCTCTCTGTGGAGGACTCCCCAGAGTCAGACACTGACAGCTCTACATTCTCTATGAATGACAGAGAGTAAGAAGTTGTGAAGTATTCATAGGAACAATATTTGCTACAGTCATTTTATGGATTGGCATGATGTTGTTACATAGCCTACGGCTGTTATAATATTTTTTACAATGCAATTGCTAAAGTATAACAATGGTGTTGCTAGAGTAATTACAGAGTTAAATCAAATCAAATGTTATTTGTCACATGCGCCGAATGCAACAGGTGTTGCTTACTTACAAGCCCTTAACCAACAATGCAGTTTTAAGAAAGAATACCAAAAAAAAAGTAACAAATAATTAAAGAGCAGCAGTAAAAATAACAATAGCGAGGCTATATACAGGTTACTAGACAGGTATGAGAGCAAGTTAACAGCGTAAGTCTTACCACTGAGATGGATGCTGTTCCCTGAGCCAGCCGACTCTGCCTGAGAGAGATGCACCGTGAAGGAGCCCTCCAGGTCACTGAAGTGGAGACTCTCATTCTCACTCAGGTCCACAAAGATACTCTGCCGGATACACTTCTCCCACAGCACAGAGGACTGAGGGGAAGAGGCTCTCCTCTGGGCTTCAGAATCCTCCTCTTGATCTTGGGGATCCCCTTCCATGTGCTCCTCACTCAGGTCTATCCTGGTGCTGTGCTAGCCCACGGCTTCAAAACTTCCCCAATGTTTACCTCCTCCCTCAAAACGGTCCCCTCCTTAAAAGGAGCCCCTTCTCTGACCCAGTTTTCCACCGATGCCTTGACTCTAGTCGCCCGGGTCCCGTCTGCCTCGGTCTGCAGATAGAGAGAGGGAATAGGGAAGAGGAGTAATAATAATAATAATAATAATAATAATAATAATAATAAATAATAATAATAATAATAATAATAATAAGGAGGACAATGGCCCTGTTCATTCCTTAGCAATGCAGACAGGTGAACCGACAACAATGGATCAAGATGTGTTAATCTCAATTATTCAAGAATCTGTATGCATTGTGTAGGCGTGAGGGATGTGTGTGTGTTTGAGGGTAGGTTTGTGTGTGAGTATGAGAGTATCTGTGCATATGAGTGAGAGAGTAGCCTAACCTACATTATGTGTGTGTGTGTGCGTGTATGAGTGATGTGAGAGACTATATAAACTTGCTCTTCAACATAACAAGTGTGTGAAGGTGCAGTGCCATAAGTTCAAAAGCACAGACTAAGCCATATGCAGTCGGTATAAGTAGAATTCTATTAGGATAACTAATCTCTCTCTCACGTCTCATACAGTCGGTGCAACCTCTTAAAACAACCTCTACCCTATAAATAGTATGCCAAATTCAGGATGTTAATAGTAAACGTTCACATTTGGATATAGCCTTTTTTTATTTATGTAATGAATAAAAAAGACAATATCCAAATGTAAATGTTTATTACTAGGCTAATATCATGAATTTGGCGTACTACCTCTACCCCTGCTGCTAAATTTAAGTTATCAGCATATGCCTGTCCTGTACCTACTGAAACTCACCTGACCTGGCCCTTAGCAGTCCAACTTCAGCTTTGACAATCTCATCTGTTTAGAATGTGTTCTATCCTACACAGAATTGCTTCTTATGTGATCTTTAAGTTCTGACATAACACACCAGTTACAATTTCGTATGTGACATTATTTCAAGCTCTAGGGCAGGCTAATACCTGTGGCTTCATCAATAATGTACATTGTATCGCTGAACGTCTGGACTTGGCGCGAGGGGAGGAGTTTGGTTGCTTCGGTAACTCCTGAAACCTTCTATAAAAAAGCATGGCGGAGCAGCGAGCTCACTTCACTCCTCTTCTCCCCCCTGCTGCTGACAAACGCAGGGCTTTTGAAAACACTTGTGTGTTTTGACCACCTCTCAATTTATGCAAACAATACTAACTTAGCTTGTTAGTTTGCTAGCAGCTAGCCTCAACATTATAAGCCAGCTAACGTTACTGGTTAACTTTCTTCAATAGTGCAACTAACGTTAGCTAAAGAGGCTCAGTAATATTTTTTCAGGCAGTCGATGCTGGTTAGCTTACTTACTAATTTCCAACCTCAAAACTGAGATGTTTGCATTAGAAAATGCCGTTACAGTAAAAAACGACTATCACAACTTATCTTTGTTTTAGTTTGCTGATGATAGCATCATTTTTGCTGACCCATTTGACATTTCGCAGCTGCATGAAGATGACATGAATGACTCATCTACAGTTAAAACATTCATTTTTCAAATGTCATTGGTCCAGCGCAATGACTGTACGGTCCAGAGACGGTTATTTTGGGCGTGGCTATCTTTGAATCTGCTCCGCTGATTGGCTATTGGACTAACAATGCACTCATCGAAGTTAGCTAGCCAAAAGTTTATTGCTAGCTAGGTTAGCAAAGTGCCGAATTTATAGCTAATAAATATAAAGTTGTAGAATAAAACTGGACTTTTATTTACCGTCGATGTATCGAAAAGGGGAGTAAAACCATTGTTCGAACTGGACCGCCTAACGTAAGTGGACTGCTAGCCTACCCAGTTAGCTAATTACAGTAGCTAGCTTGCTAACAGGTTGTAAAGGTTCTCTGGTTGTGTACCCATAGCGTAGCACTTTAGTTATAATAGAAATACAAAATATAGCTATGGTTTTGGTTGTAGCTTGTAAGATTGTTAGAACTGGCTTGTTAGCTACCTAACTGTTAACGTTAGTTAGTTTTCTCACTTGATTTGCTGATCAAATCTGTCAGATGATGATTGAAGTTTTAAAAATAACTGAGTTCACCATTTGGGGAACGCCTTATGTTCGTCAAAATAAATATTTTCTATGTCATTATTTGTTAATCAAAGAGAATGAGAACGTTATATATGAGGAAATCCACGGTAACAGTGAGAGAGATGCTGAGGCTCAGATTTTTCACTTAATGTGATTTTTTGTATTTTAGGCAAAGTTTGTTAACAGAATGACAGAACAAACAGCACAAACCGTTATTCTGTTACCAAACTTTGCATAAAAAAGCGATTTGCACTGTTCAAGGAAATTCGTTTTTGTAAAATGATCAGTGGAAATTGTTAAAAGTAGTCCTCGTGCATAGAGTATGGTATGTTTAACTTTGCAATCATTGATTTTTGTTTGACATTCGTTTTAAATCATTCTCAGCATCATTCTGTTATCGTGGAATTGCCCATATGTCTCGTGTACAAAATATCTACAGTTTACTAAGTTAGTTACTGTAAAAGTAAAATTTCTATTTTTTGTCGAACTACAATAATATATATTTTCTGGGAAATCATGGTATGACTTAATTTCATCTTGGAAACGAATGAGGACACTAGGCTAGCTAGATATGACTAAAATGACATAGTAGAACTAGAAGAACATTCAACTATTGAAATTAATCTAGATATATAATTTTTTTAAACCAGGTTTCTCAGAGTCCCAATCCCTGCACTGAATAATTTCAGGTGAGGAGTGTTTCTCTTTCTAGATCTGTCCCTTTTGTTTTGATGGTGATTTCCCCCTGCTATCATGCATTATGCTTCTTTGGTGTTTCCATGTTTGCTTGCCTAATAAGAGGATGTGGACACAAAGAGAATAGATCACCCTGTGAGTACATTAAAGATGAGGTCATGGTGACAGTCCAGTGTGTGATGTGGGAGCCTCCTGTGAAGCTGGCCTTTCAAATTACTGCTTTTGTTGCCACAGCTGCGCTGTATTAGTAGATCACTTGGCCTTTTAAGCACTACTTCATACAGAGTGCAGCTTTGTCACCAGCTCTGACACACACACACACATACAATAAACATACAATACACACCCATTTGGCGCACACTACTGGAAAAGGCCTCACACACACTGGCAGCCATTGATTGCTAATTATATGCATATGTACGGGCATGTACTGTACGTAGTACGGCACAGACTCCCCAAGCACAAGCAGGTTCCACTTTGGATTCAAATAGTTCACATTCACCTGGCCGCTAAACAGCAGAGCAGAGCTCACCTAGTTCTCATAGCTTTGTTCTCCAAGATTTGGGGATCAATGATTTATGCAACTCCCCCAAATAGATGCAATGATACAGTGCCTTGCAAAAGTATTAATCCCCCTTGGTGTTTTTCAATTTTTTTTGCATTACAACCTGTAATTTAAATTGATTTTTATTTGGATTTCATATAATGGACATACACAAAATAGTCCAAATTGGTGAAGTGAAATGAAAAAAATAACTTGTTTCAAAGAATTCTAAAAAATAAATAACGGAAAAGTGGTGCGTGCATATGTATTCACCCCCTTTGCTATGAAGCCCCTAAATAGGACCTGGTGCAACCAATTACCTTCAGAAGTCAAATAATTAGTTAAATAAAGTCCACCTGTGTGCAATCTAAGTGTCACATGATCTGTAACATGATCTCAGTATATATACACCTGTTCTGAAAGGCCCCAGAGTCTGCAACACCACTAAGCAAGGGGCACCACCAAGCAAGCGGCACCATGAAGACCAAGGAGCTCTCCAAACAGGTCAGGGACAAAGTTGTGGAGAAGTACAGATCAGGGTTCGGTTATAAAACAATATCTGAAACTTTGAACATCCCACGGAGCACCATTAAATCCATTATAAAAAAAAATGGAAAGGATATGGCACCACAACAAACCTACCAAGAGAGGGCCGCCCACCAAAACTCACGGACCAGGCAAGGAGGGCATTAATTAGAGAGGCAACAAAGAGACCAAAGATAACCCTGAAGGAGCTGCAAAGCTCCACAGCGGAGATTGGAGTATCTGTCCATAGGACCACTTTAAGCCGTACACTCCACAGAGCTGGGCTTTACAGAAGAGTGGCCAGAAAAAAGCCATTGCTTAAAGAAAAAAATAAGCAAACACGTTTGGTGTTCGCCAAAAGTCATGTGGGAGACTCCACAAACATATGGAAGAAGGTACTCTGGTCCGATGAGACTAAAATTGAGCTTTTTGGCAATCAAGGAAAACGCTATGTCTGGCGCAAACCCAACACCTCTCATCACCCCGGAAACACCATCAAACACTATTTTTCATTGGCAGGGACTGGGAAACTGGTCAGAATTGAAGGAATGATGGATGGTGCTAAATACAGGGATATTCTGGAGGGAAACCTGTTTCAGTCTTCCAGAGATTTGAGACTGGGACGGAGGTTCACCTTCCAGCAGGACAATGACCCTAAGCATAATGCTAAAGCAACACTCGAGTGGTTTAAGGGGAAACATTTAAATGTCTTGGAATGGCCTAGTCAAAGCCCAGACCTCAATCCAATTGAGAATCTGTGGTATGACTTAGAAATTGCTGTACAGTGATCCCTCGCCACTTCGCGGTTCACTTATCGCGGATTCGCTATTTCGCGGATTTTCATAATGCATTTTTTTTTTTTTGGTGCATTGTGCTCTGCATTCTGATTCGCTAAAAACTCACTCCCGCTTCTTGTATCAAAACATGCTACGAATTGTGCTATCATTTTGTCGTCTCGTGCAGTTATGTGTACGTACATAAAACAGCTTGGCAAATTTACATTAAGTTGGCCAAATTATCTTGTAATTTCGAACATCTCCTAAACCCATAATGTCGACGAAACGGCCTGGACCGACAAAAGCACCTGCGGATGGGCCCAAACGGCGGAAGATGCTACCTATCTCAGATAAAGTTAAACTTCTGGACATGCTAAGGGAAGGTAAAAGCTATGGTCCACCACTCTGCCGTAGAAACAGCTGTGAATCTGGCTAAACAGATTGGAGGAGACGGCTTTAATGACATGAGTCCGGATGACATAAACGCCCTGATTGATGGAGACGCACAGCCGCTGACCGATGCAGAGCTGGCAGAAATGACAAAGCCACAAAGCGACGATGAAAGAGAAGAGGGAGAAGAGGACACGAGAGATGAGGAGGAAGGACTAACGCTTGGTCGCTTAGCAACCATGGTGCGAATGGCCACTGAACTTAAGCGAGTAGCTGAGGAATGGGACCCTTTGATGAGCCGTTCATTACAGTTCTCCAACGTAATCGATGGTGGCATGTCGGTGTACAAGGATCTTTTTGCAAAGAAGAAAAAAGAGCGACAACAGCTGCCTATCACTATGTTCTTCTCCCGAACAAACACACCTGCACCGCGGGCTTCAGAAGAAGAGAACACTGCAGAGCGCAGTCAGGATGCAGCGGCCCAGTCTGAAGAGCAGTGAAACGGCCTACACGTGAGTCACTGTATTTGTATACATGTAATAGTTGCTAATTGTAAAAAAAAAAAAAGTTTTCTATTTCGCGGATTTCACTTATCGCGGGTCATTTTCGGAACGTAACCCCCGCGATAAACGAGGGATTACTGTATACCAGCGGAACCCATCCAACTTGAAGGAGCTGGAGCAGTTTTGCCTTGAAGAATGGGCAAAAATCCCAGTGGCTAGATGTGCCAAGCTTATAGAGACATACCCCAAGAGACTTGCAGCTGTAATTGCTGCAAAAGGTGGCTCTACAAAGTATTGACTTTGGTGGGGTGAATAGTTATGGACGCTCAAGTTTTCTGTTTTTTTGTCTTATATCTTGTTTGTTTCACCCCAAAAAATATTTTGCATCTTCAAAGTGGTAGGCATGTAGTGTAATTCAAATGATACAAACCTCCCAAAAATCCATTTGAATTCCAGGTTGTAAGGCAACAAAATAGGAAAAATGCCAAGGGGGGTGAATACTTTCGCAAGCCACTGTAAGCTTGCTACAAATAGTTGCTCCAAAGATAAGCAGTCTACAATGTTCCCAAAATTAGGTTTTCTGTATACTCCTAGTGGCTACAATATGGGATTGTGGAGTGAAATATAAAACTGTGCTGAAATAACCGCCATCTTGGCGTGGCTGTAAGATTCTGGCCTCACCCTGATGTGATAACCAGCGCTTTTTGGTTACAGTTCTGCTCCATGGTGTGGATGGATGGCCTCCGGCCGGTCCCTGAATTTAGGTTGTCAACAAAGAGAGCTCACAAACACACTTTCCGCAGGTCATCATGTAGGCTAGGCCCTAACTGCAAATGTTCCATTGGATCTATCACTGTTAAAGAGGGCTCAGAAGTACCCCAAAGTTATGTTACTCACTGTAATCAAAAGTGATCTAAAGTCAAGCTGCCAAACTCATTTCTATCCCGACATCACTTGCGTAAATCCTGCATACACCAGGAGGCATCTGTTCAAGCCTCAATCCCTAATGAAAGGGAAGGATTGGCGCTATATAATTCCATCTAATTACATGAGATTTGTGTGCACCAGAAGAAGTAGCCTAATGTGTGTAAGAGGTTTTTACTGATCACAGTAAAGTCTTTCTCATGTCTGCTCTGCTGCCCGCCGGGGTTCTAGTGGTGAGGGGTTAAATTGAGGATGGTGGTTTTCTGGAGTGAATTCAATGCCCTGCTGCTCTCTGTGACCTCTGATCTTCATGTAACCACTGAGTCTTTCAATTTAGCTTCAAAGTGAGATGATGCATTGGTTTTATTAAGCTGTATCCACAACCCAACGAGCAGATCAACAAAGAGGAGGTTTATGGTGGACCATCCCCAACCAGGTTGAAAGTAGATTACTCCTGGATTAGGAAAGTGATGATTGACTCACAAGTCTTTCAATAATCTTTGTGAATATCATTTGGTTACAAGTTGTTGTGATACTATTTTTGCTAATCTACTATCAGAATATTCCTCTCTATTATCCACCGATAAATGACCGATTTTAAAATTCATCAATTAATATGCACCTGCATTATACATTTGAATACCGGTTACTGTCTGTCCTTTACATTTGTAATGATTGTGCTCTTGATGCTTAGTAGTAGCTTAAATTGGTGTTTGGGAAAACCTGTTTACTACTCTCTTTACTACTAAAACGTGTGCGTAGGCAAAGAGGGGGCCTACTTGACCTCATGTGGGAACGAGGTGGCGGTTGGTCTTGCTCTGGTGCTATACCTTACCTACTAGACTTGCTTATCACTGTACTTCCAATGGAATTTCCACACAGGTCTTCGCTGTACAGGACTTGTTTCAAGTCTGCAGCCAGGCTACTTTCCCTACTTCTCACTAAATAATAACAAGTTCAATCGATCTACTAGTAGGCTTAATTATCTTTGCTGTGGTGGATACATGTTCTCTTATGATTTGCATACAGTATTAAATGTATCTGTTGTGATTGGTGAAAATCCTTCCCTGCTTCTCTGCTTGCCTAGGCTAGCTGTATCCTCACACGCACCCTTCGGTAGATCCTAGCACACCTCCGAGCACTCATGGTTGAGTCATTGATTGACAGCTTGCATGTGGTGTGGCTGCCACTGAACCAATCCGTCCTTCGCCTATTCACTCCTCTCTTACACCCCCTACCTGCGCTGCTTGTGCATGCTGTTTAGTGGGTGTTGCCATGGCATCGTGTGGTCAGAATGAGGCTTTACACACAGCAACTTGTGTTCTCTTCACAGAGGGCTGCTGAGGAGAGCCGTGCTGGCGCTGCCAAGCCAAGCTCAAACTGTAGCCTCACGGACTGACGGACAACACTGTCTGAGGATCTCCCGCTGTCATTCCTGGGGCTATGTGTCGGCTTTAGAGCAGTCGAAGGTCAATCAGTCAAAGGCGAGCACAATTTTACTGTAAAGGTGAATTTTAGGATTTTGTTCTCAAGACTACTTCTCCTGGACCATCAGATGTTTTTCACTTTTTGTTTTTCATCGTCACAGTTTTTCAGATTTAAACTGGGATCGTCCCACTTATAAATCTTCAATGGATTCCATTGGCTCTTTGGTTAGCATTCGAGATGAGGACCAGTCCTATCATGTCCGCTACAGGTAGGCATGAACCTACTCATACCCCCATGCACTATACTGTCACTGTCTCAATCTTTGGTCAACATATTTCGTTTCATGTACAACCTAGAACGGGTGCTTTAAACTTTCCTTCATACTAGTGAAAAAAGGTGTTTCAACAGATGGAACAAGAATTTAACAGAACTGATGTGTAGGATTTTACACATGTAGACAAAGTAGCCTAGATCTCATACTGGTGTCTCCATAAGTCTGTCGCATGGGATGAGATCAGCTTTTCCATGTAGCTTTCAGGTGTGAATTTGTAGGCTAGATTTCCCACTTCCATTTAACAGAAGTTGTTAAATGGGATGGGTGGTAGTGGGTATGGCCAATGGAACGGTTTTTAGAGGCTCTCTTGGCCGCAGAATGTTTTTTTCCTGCAATTCTACACATTTTCCCATGGGGCTCTGATAATTTTCAATTTTAAAGCTAATACTTTATAGCTGGCTTTAGTCGTTTTTAAGTTTACACTCAAAATGTTTAACCATCCCCAAAATTATTACATCACATCTATGAAATAATACATATGGAATCATGTAGTAACCAAACAAGTGTTAAACAAATCAAAATATATTTTATATTTGAGATTCTACAAATAGCCACCCTTTGCCTTGATGACAGCTTTGCACACTCTTGGCATTCTCTCAACCAGCTTCACGAGGTAGTCACTTGGAATGCATTTCAATTAACAGGTGTGCCTTCTTAAAAGTTAATTTGTGGAATTTCTTTCCTTCTTAATGCGTTTGAGCCAATCAGTTGTGTTGTGACAAGGTAGGGGTGGTATACAGAAGATAGCCCTATTTGGTAAAAGACCAAGTCCATATTATGGCAAGAACAGCTCAAATAAGCAAAGAGAAACGACAGTCCATCATTACTTTAAGACATGAAGGTCAGTCAATACGGAACATTTCATGAACTTTGAAAGTTTCTTCAGGTGCAGTCGCAAAAACCATCAAGCGCTATGATGAAACTGGCTCTCATGAGGACTGCGACAGGAATGGAAGACCCAGAGTTAACTCTGCTGCAGAGGATATGTTCATCAGAGTTACCAGCCTCAGAAATTGCATACCAAATAAATGCTTCACAGAGTTCAAGTAACAGACACATCTCAACATCAACTGTTCAGAGGGGCCTGTGTGAATCATGCCTTCATGGTCGAATTGCTGCAAATAAACCACTACTAAAGGACACCAATAATAAGAAGAGACCTGCTTGGGCCAAGAAACACAAGCAATGGACATTATGTCCAAATTTGAGATTTTTGGTGTGGGTGAACGGATGATCTCCGCATGTGTATTTCCCACCGTAAAGCATGGAGGAGGTGTTATGGTGTGGGGGTGCTTTGCTGGTGACACTGTCTGTGATTTATTTAGAATTCAAGGCACACTTAACCAGCATGGCTACCACAGCATTCTGCAGCGATACGTCATCCCATCTTGTTTGGGCTTAGTCGGACTATCATTTGTTTTTCAACAGGACAATGACCCAACACACCTCCAGGCTGTGTAAGGGCTATTTTACCAAGAAGGAGAGTGATGGAGTGCTGCATCAGATGACCTGGCCTTCACAATCCCCCGACCTCAACCCAATTGAGATGGTTTGGGAAGAGTTGGACCGCAGAGTGAAGGAAAAGCAGCCAACAAGTGATCAATAAATGTGGGAACTCCTTCAAGACTGTTGGAAAGCATGCCAGGTGAAGATGGTTGAGAGAATGCCAAGAGTGTGCAAAGCTGTCATCAAGGCAAAGGGAGCCTACTTTGAAGAATTCAAAATCAAAAATATATTTTGATTTGTTTAACACTTTTTTGGTTACTACATGATTCCATATATGTGTTATTTCATAGTTTTGATGTCTTCACTACTTTTCTACAATGTAGAAAATAGCAAAAATTAAGAAAAACCCTTGAATGAGTAGGTGTGTCCAAACTTTTGACTGGTAATGTAACTGTTGATTGTTTTGCTGAATATCAATGTTCTAACCCTTTTTATCTATACTGGACAAAAATATAAACGTAACATGCAACAATTTCAAAGATTTTACTGAGTTACAGTTCATAGATGGAAATCAGTCAATTGAAATAAATAAATTAGGCCCTAATATATGGATTTCACATAACTGGGCAGGGGCGCAGCCATGGGTGGGACTGTGAGTGCGTAGGCCCATCCACTGGGCTTTATTAAGGACAGAAATACTCCTCAGCACCCCCCCTCCCCCTCCTCAGACGATCCCGCAGGTGAAGAAGCGGGCTGTGGAGGTCCTGGGCTGGCGTGGTTACACGTGGTCTGCGGTTGTGAGACCGGTTGGGATGTACTGCCAAATTCTCTAAAACGATGTTGGAGGTGGCTTAGGGTTGAGAAATGAACATCCACTTTTCTGGCAACAGCTCTGTTGGGCATTCCTGCAGTCAGCATGCCAATTGCACGCTCCCTCAACTTGAGACATCTGTGGCATTGTGTTGTGTGACAAAACTGCACGTTTTAGAGTGGCCTTTTATTGTCCCCAGCACAAGGTGCACCTGTGTAATGATCATGCTGTTTAATCAGCTTCTTGATATGCCACACCTGTCAGGTGGATGGATTATCTTGGCAAAGAAGAAATTCTCACAGAGATTAAACAAATTTGTAGACAACATTTGAGAGAAATAAGCTTTTTGTGTGTATGGAACATTTCTGGGATCTTTTATTTTAGCTCATGAAAAATGTGACCAACACTTTACATGTTGCATTTATATTTTTGTTCAGTGTATATAAAGTTTCATAATGCATAACATGATTTTAGTAGGCTATGTCTAATGCCAATATTATTTGAGAGCTTTCTGTGCATTTTTGCTGTAGGACACAAAAATATGTCAAAGAGGGCGTAACAATCAAAGCCAGGCTGCATGAATATGACTGTTAATACACCCGTCCCTGTAAATACTCCCCTGTGGATACTCCTCTTTGACCCTATCTGGGGTTAAAGTGACCAGGGGTAGGCTATGTTCAGGGTGAAACATCCAGAACGTTTCAGATAGAAATGTAATCGTCTACAGCTTGCACAATCCCAATTCTACACAGCAGACAATTATGTCTGAAGACAATACATTTCTGTCTGAATGTTCTGTAAACATTGAAGCCCACTGAATAGCCTAGTTCTCAGAAGAGCAGTCAGAGAGAGATCTGTGTATTGTACTGTAGAGACCACGTCGATAGGAAGTCAGCCCTACCATAACAAACAAACCCTAATAAACCAAGGCTATATTTCTCAGGAGGTGGAAGGAAGTAGCCAAACAAACTCCACATTCACAGTCAGATGGAGCGAGAGGGATGCTAGTCCTGGGTTTGCAGACGGGGCAAAACATAGTAGAAGATGTTCCGTTTTTCTTCAGCTTCTATAACTTGAACACTTAGGCTAATGTGTGGTTTTGGTTTCTAGTTTATTTAAACTGTGGCCATTTTGGAATGTTAAGACTAAATAAACTTGTAGTTCTTTGAGTGTTAGTGGAAGGGGCAAGAGGTTGTTTTGGACCAGAACATTTTTTTCCTGTCTGTGCCTACTGAGCATCTTGGATCAACAAGAGGAGACCTCTATTCCTAACCTATCTTCTACCTAAACCGCTTCTGCTGCCTCCTGTAGGATGGAGGCGTCCTGCCTGGAGCTGGCCCTGGAGGGGGAGCGGCTCTGTAAGGTGGGCGACTACCACGCCGGGGTGTCCTTCTTCGAGGCAGCCATCCAGGTTGGCACAGAGGACCTGCAGGTGTTGAGTGCCATCTACAGCCAGCTGGGCAACACATACTTCCATCTGCACGACTACGCCAAGGCGTTGGAGTTCCACCACCACGACCTCACCTTGACCAGGTAGGAAGGAACACACCTATGACCAGGGCTCATATTCATAATGTTTCTCCGAGTAGTACCATTGTCCCCTCTTATCTTCATGACCTCACCACACAACTAAGCTGTCTGTAGTGTTTTCCCTATGCGCCGGCCTTCATTCATATATTTATAAATACGCCCCCGATTTTTGCGAAACGCTTAGATAAACATCTTAGTATATATTTTTTTACGTCAACTAGCCGCTGTTATGGTTATGTATCAATGTTTGATTGCTACTTCCTCTCTTTTTATATTTGTCCCACTAAAATATATTTTGACCACTTGGAAAAATGAACGGCTACTTTTAACTTAAAAGTTTCAATTTGATAGTCAGAAAAGTCAGTCTAGACCTCTTCCGCTAGAATGAACGATATGAATCTTCTAGCGATCTATTGATAGGACAGGCGCATGTCAGTCATACAGCGAGCGATGACAGAAAAACACTGCTGGTTTGACAGTATGCTGTCTGTCCCACCTGCCGTACCTGTGGGATTTGTGTGCGCTGTTGTTGGTTGCAGTCAAATGTCTTTACACGGAGGGAGAGCGCATGATGCTCCTTCAGTCGTCTCTGTGAGTGAATCTGCACATCCCATGTAATGTAAGTGGTAACGATGAGTCAAAATCCACTTAGCCTTTTTATTGTTTTCTGGCACATTCATTTATTTTCTTTTTGCGTGTTTCCTATAGCCAGCCACAGAGCCAAGGCGCATAGGCTATTTACTGTGCTTTGATTGACAATATAACAGCATGTGTTGATTAGTTATAGAAGGTGTCAAATGAACTGAATAAAGTCGATCTCCTATATCCCTTTGCCATTTATAAACCGTACACCGTAGTTAGAAGTCCATGGTATTGCACCGGGACAAGTAAACCAAAGATCACGTTTGTATTTTCCTAGGATATGAAGCCCATTTCGGGACTTAACCGACAGTGACGTTTCAGTGAGTGACTCGTCAGTGTAGCCAACCGAATCGCATTGGTGAGAGCTGTTCATTTGGCTCCCTAATTTGCATATTGGTAGGCTTTTTGCCGATTATCTGCAGATAAATTATGAAAATATGCGATGAAGATGGTGAATCCTCACTGCAGGAACAATAGGTAGTTGAGAGAGAGACTCATTCTGGTCCAAATATGATAATGATCATTTTAAATCTCCCGAGTGGCGCAGTGGTCTAAGGCACTGCATCGCAGTGCTAGCTGTGCCACTAGAGATCCTGGTTCGAATCCAGGCTCTGTCGTAGCCGGCCGCGACCGGGAGACCCATGGGGCGGCGCGCACAATTGGCCCAGCGTCGTCCAGGGTAGGGGAGGGATTTGGCCGGCAGGGGATGTAGCTCAGTTGGTAGAGCATGGCGTTTGCAACGCCAGGGTTGTGGGTTCGATAAAATAATGTATGCACTAACTGTAAGTCGCTCTGGATAAGAGTGTCTGCTAAATGACTAAAATGTAAATGTTAAATACATTTCTGTCAAATCAGAAATATATAATACTTAAGACTTTAATTTTTTCAATTTAACCTTTTTATTTGTTGTTCAAGATCATGTGGGCTATTTACTTCATTTTTCTGTTGTAATAAAAAATAAACATAATTTGAAGAACAAACATCATTGTGCCAATTCATATCTTGCAGTAAAACTGTAAATTAGACTTTAATTTCGAAGGCAGGTTTAATGTTAAAAATAAAGGTTTAATGTTCTCCACTTAAAGTATTCAATAATTTCACTCAGTGTTTCGGATGGAATCAAGACACTAGAATGTACCAGAGGCCACCAAAATAGAGCTTGTTCTGCAAATTACCGTCTCGACCCGGGGAGGCCTGGCTGGCTACTCTATGTACTTGGGGAAAACACTTTGTCTGGACGGAAGCATTTTGCAGTTTTAAGTTAGGTGAACATTCAATCCCATTTAATTATGTTTTATGGTCCCATTCTCAGGACCATCGGGGACCAGCTGGGAGAGGCTAAATCCAGCGGTAACCTAGGCAACACATTGAAGGTGTTGGGTAGGTTTGATGAGGCTGTGGTCTGCTGTCAGAGGCACATAGACATTGCCATGGACCTGCACGACAAGGTGAGATTGATTGATTAATTCATTATGGTTATTGGGCCTCCTGCAACTCATTTGCTGTTTATTCTGGTGTTTAATTGCTTTTTTCAATGTTTCGGAGTTGACATTTTCCCTGTTGTGGAGTTGACATTGGCCCTGTTTTTTTGTCTCTGTTAGGTGGGGCAGGCGAGGGCACTGTATAACATTGGGAACGTGTATCATGCAAAAGGCAAGAGCATCTGCTGGAGCGGGGCGGAGCCAGGAGAGTTCCCAGAGGAGGTCACGACTGCACTTAGGAAAGCAGCGGAATACTATGAGTAAGTTAATGTGTTTGTGTGCAAGCATTTCGTTCATGTGTGTTTGGTACGTGTCGCACCTTGTAAGTCAGATACCATAGAGTAGACATAAAAGTACATACTGTAATACTATATATACACTACCAGTCAAAAGTTTGGGACACACCTACTCATTCAAGAGTTTTTCTTTATTTGTACTACTTTTTACATTGTAAAATAATAGTGAAGACATCAAAACTATGAAATAACACATGGAATCATGTAGTACATTTTTTTTTTTTCAACAAATCAAAATATATTTTATAATTGAGAATCTTCAAATAGCCACCCTTTGCCTTGATGACAGCTTTGCACACTCTTGGCATTCTCTCAACCAGCTTTATCTGGAATGCTTTTCCAACAGTCTTGAAGGAGTTCTCACATATGCTGAGCAGTTGTTGGCGGATTTTCCTTCACTCTGCAGTCCGACTCATCCCAAACCATCTCAATCGGGTTGAGGTCGGGGGATTGTGGAGGCCAGGTCATCTGATGCAGCACTCCATCACTCTCCTTCTTGGTAAAATAGCCCTTATACAGCCTGGAGATGTGTTGGGTCATTGTCCTGTTGAAAAACAAATGATAGTCCCAATAAGCCCAAACCAGATGGGATGGCGTATCGCTGTAGAATGCTGTGGTAGCCATGCTGGTTAAGTGTGCCTTGAATTCTAAATAAATCACAGACCGTGTCACCAGCAAAGCACCCCCACACCATAACACCTCCTCCTCCATGCTTTACGGTGGGAAATACACATGCGGAGATCATCCGTTCACCCACACCGCGTCTCACAAAGAGATGGCGGTTGGAACCAAAAATCTCCAATTTGGACTCCAGACCAAAGGACACATTTCCACCAGTCTAATGTCCATTGCTCGTGTTTCTTGGCCCAAGCAGGTCACTTCTTCTTATTGGTGTCCTTTAGTAGTTTGTAGTTGGTTTCTTTACAGCAATTCGACCATGAAGGCCTGATTCACACAGTCCCCTCTGAACAGTTGATGTTGAGATGTGTCTGTTACTTGAACTCTGTGAAGCATTTATTTGGGCTGCAATATCTGAGGCTGGTAACTCTAATGAACTTATCCTCTGCAGCAGAGTTAACTCTGGGTCTTCCATTCCTGTCGCGGTCCTCATGAGAGCCAGTTTCATCATAGCGCTTGATGGTTTTTGCGACTGCACTTTAAGAAACTTTCAAAGTTCTTAAAATGTTCTTTATTGACTGACCTTCATGTCTTAAAGTAATGATGGACTGTCATTTCTCTTTGCTTATCTGAGCTGTTCTTGCCATAATATGGACTTGGTCTTTTACCAAATAGGGCTATCTTCTGTATACCCCCCCTACCTTGTCACAACACAACTGACTGGCTCAAACGCATTAAGAAGGAAAGAAATTCCACAAATTAACTTTTAAGAAGGCACACCTGTTAATTGAAATGCATTCCAGGTGACTACATCATGAAGCTGGTTGAGAGAATGCCAAGAGTGTGCAAAGCTGTCATCATGGGAAATGGTGGCTATTTGAAGAATCTTAAATATAAAATATATTTTGATTTGTTTAACACTTTTTTGGTTACTACATGATTCCATATACAGTGGGGAGAACAAGTATTTGATACACTGCCGATTTTGCAGGTTTTCCTACTTACAAAGCATGTAGAGGTCTGTCATTTTTATCATAGGTACACTTCAACTGTGAGAGACGGAATCTAAAACAAAAATCCAGAAAATCACATTGTATGATTTTTAAGTAATTAATTTGCATTTTATTGCATGACATAAGTATTTGATACATCAGAAAAGCAGAACTTAATATTTGGTACAGAAACATTTGTTTGCAATTACAGAGATCATACGTTTCCTGTAGGTCTTGACCAGGTTTGCACACACTGCAGCAGGGATTTTGGCCCACTCCTCCACACAGACCTTCTCCAGATCCTTCAGGTTTCGGGGCTGTCGCTGGGCAATACAGACTTTCAGCTCCCTCCAAAGATTTTCTATTGGGTTCAGGTCTGGAGACTGGCTAGCCCACTCCAGGACCTTGAGATGCTTCTTACGGAGCCACTCCTTAGTTGCCCTGGCTGTGTGTTTCGGGTCGTTGTCATGCTGGAAGACCCAGCCATGACCCATCTTCAATGCTCTTACTGAGGGAAGGAGGTTGTTGGCCAAGATCTCGCGATACATGGCCCCATCCATCCTCCCCTCAATACGGTGCAGTCGTCCTGTCCCCTTTGCAGAAAAGCATCCCCAAAGAATGATGTTTCCACCTCCATGCTTCACGGTTGGGATGGTGTTCTTGGGGGTTGTACTCATCCTTCTTCTTCCTCCAAAACACGGCGAGTGGAGTTTAGACCAAAAAGCTATTTTTTTTGTCTCATCAGACCACATTACCTTTTTTATCCATGACGGCATAGTGTGTTACTAATGGTTTCTTTGAGACTGTGGGTCCAGCTCTCTTCAGGTATTGACCCAGGTCCTGCCGTGTAGTTCTGGCTGATCCCTCACCTTCCTCATGATCATTGATGCCCACGAGGGAGATCTGCATGGAGCCCAAGACCGAGGGTGATTGGACCATCATCTTTGACTTCTTACCATTTTCTAATAATTGCGCCACAGTGTTTACTTCTTACAAGATGAATTGCCTATTGTCTGTAGCCCCTACCCAGCCTGTGCAGGTCTACAATTTTATCCCTGATGTCTTACACAGCTCCTGTCTGGGCCAGTGTGGAGAGGTTGGAGTCTGTTTGAGTGAGTGTGTGGACAGGTGTCTTTTATACAGGTAACGAGTTTCCAAACAGGTGCAGTTAATACAGGTAATGAGTGGAGAACAGGAGGGCTTCTTAAAGAAAAACGAACAGGTCTGTGAGAGCCGGAATTCTTACTGGTTGGTAGGTGATCAAATACTTATGTCATGCAATAAAATGCAAATTAATTACTTAAAAATCATACAATGTGATTTTCTGGATTTTTGTTTTATATTCCGTCTCTCACAGTTGAAGTGTACCTATGATAAAAATTACAGACCTCTACATGCTTTGTAAGTAGGAAAACCTGCAAAATCGGCAGTGTATCAAATACTTGTTCTCCCCACTGTATGTTATTTCATAGTTTTGATGTCTTCACTAATATTCTACAATGTAGAAAATTGTAAAAATATAGAAAAACCCTTGAATGAGTAGGTGTGTCCAAACCTTTGGCTGGTACTGTATATATATATATATATATATATATATTTATTTATTTTAATTTTTTTTAAACAAAAAACACTTTTTCAATGTTTTGTCTATATTCAGAGCAAACTTATCCATAGTGAAGGAGCTTGCAGACCGGGCCGCCCAGGGCCGAACATATGGTAACCTTGGCAACACACACTACCTGTTAGGAAACTTCCGGAATGCAGTGGCATCACATGAACAGGTAATGAAAATCTTATCAAAGTTTATAACATGACATTTAGTGCTTGATTCAATAAAAACTGCACTGCTGTAGCATGTAAAACGCACCATTTTTATCCTATGACCAAATGGAATAGCATAGTGGTTTTCGTACTATAGTAGAAATACCAGTTAGACTCACTTCACTGGAAGATTAATATTAGCTTGTACACAAAGAAACTGCATAAACATTGCTGAGGCAAGTTTGATTAAATCCAGCCAGTTAGTCTTTTGTCAGCTAGATTTCCTTTTTCAATGGTTCTCTGTAGTTAATTATAATGTCCTGTACTGCTCATTACAGTCCACAGAAAGACTATAGATAAACACGACATAATGGAAGACTAGAGTCACTGGCTGGCTGTACCGAGACCAAGCTGTTGAAATTTGTATGTTCGCCCATTTGTTTTCCTTTCCCAGCGCCTCCAGATTGCCAAGGAGTTTGGCGACCGCTCAGCAGAGAGAAGGGCCTACTGCAACCTGGGGAACGCGTATATATTCCTGGGGGAATTTGAAGTGGCAGCCGAGCATTACAAGTGAGCCAAACCCCCAGCCCAGCCCAGCCATTCATTTTCTCTTAATGAAGTTCACTCCCTCTGTCTTGGAGTCCATCTGAGAAAACAACACTTCTTTCTGTCTGGACTCTGGAGGGTTTAACACAGTTAAGAGGCTGTAGGGATTTTCAGGAGAGAGATGGCAGGCGCTATGCCTCAAAGGACTATAATGTCAAGAGGGCTAGCAAACTGATTTAGTGTGTGTGTGCATTCATAAACTAAACTTAATTTCAGGACCAGAGTAGCCTTTGTGTGTCACTATGAATGAGAGCCAGTGATCTAATGTGGTTGTAATGTGGTTGTCAGGAGGACTCTGCAGCTGGCCAGACAGCTGAAGGACCGGGCTGTGGAGGCTCAGGCCTGTTACAGTCTGGGCAACACCTACACACTCCTCCAGGACTACGAGAGGGCCATAGACTACCACCTCAAACACCTGATCATAGCACAGGACCTCAACGACAGGATTGGTGAGGGCCGGGCTTGCTGGAGTTTAGGGAACGCTCACACCGCCCTGGGGAACCATGACCAGGCCATGCACTTTGCTGAGAAACACCTGGAGATCTCCAAAGAGGTACCACATCCCCTATCCCCTATAGATATACAGTTCAGTACACAGCCTTCAAGAGCCTGTCCATTATAAAGAGGAGTTGATCTGTAAATGCAGCATGGTCAATCCCAGTTTTGTGTGCATGTTCCAGACTGGTGACCGGAGCGGGGAGCTGACGGCCCGTATGAACGTGTCAGACCTGCAGATGGTGCTGGGGCTGAGCTACAGCACCAACAACTCCACCCTGTCTGAGAACCCCATCAAGGACATAGACTACAACCTGCACGGAGCCAGGCCCAGGATGGGACGGAGACACAGCATGGAAAACCTGGAGCTCATGAAACTCACCCCAGACAAGATCAATGTAAATGACTGGGTTTAACGGTGCAATCTGGAACGTTCTCTTCCCTAGGCCTAGTGGCAATTCAAAGTGCACTATTGACCTGAAATTAGTGAGATTAATTACACATTGCACCTTTTAAAATTTATTGTTTTGTCTTTAAAACATAACCAAAGATTGGTTTGACGTGTGTGTGTCCTCTCCCTCTTGTCTCCAGGCTCAGAAGTGGATCAGTAACATCCTGACCAAGCAGTCTAAACCCACCCTGGCTAAGAGCTCCTCCAAGCTGTTCTTCGTCAGCCGTCTGCGGGGGAAGAAGCACAGGGCTGGGGGCTCCAGTAAAGTCCTGCAGGACACCAGTAACACCCGCCAGACCCATGCACAGGGACCACAGAAGGTTAGAGGGAAACCTGCATTTCAGATATCCACCTAGCGTGTGCTTTTGTATGTGTTTTGTGTGTCTGTGTGTGCATGAGAGGGAGAGCGTGAGATTGACGTGACCTCTTGTACTTATTTCATTGTGGATTGGAATAAAGTATTCAAATCAGTGGTGGTTGGTGCCGTTTAAGATCAGGGAGGACAATGTTTTTTTTTATGGGCCTTATTTCTATTACATCATATTGGACTACTGTCATTCGTATTCCATTCACCCAGCTCAGTGTAACAGCAATGGGTTTAGGCTACTACATGATACTCTAATTGGCCCTATACCCATCATGACGTTGCTACAACCTAGCCTACAAATGAAAGTTTATAACGTAGGTGCACATGTCAAGAGACAAATTGGAGTAATCAAGGTGACAGACACTGACACATTCAATACAGCCTTGCACACTCTTGCCTACATCTAGCAGATCTCGGGTGTAATCATTAGTCCAAAAACAAGTTTATATTGGAAAAATTGAGGTCTCTCCCTGTTTCGTTCTGTTTTCTTCTGTTTAGGAAACATTTTGCAACAGAATTTGCGGAATGAATACACCCCTGATCACCTGCACACACAGTTATTTTTCATAGCAGCCACATACAGCATCATCACTTTGCTTATTGTATGATTCCTTCTCGCATCTACGCGCTCTCCTCCTCTCACCTTTTCCCTTCGATTGTGGACTTCAGTGCACTAAAAAAAAAATCTGTGACACAGGAGGTTGGTGTCACCTTTATTGGGGAGGACGGGCTCGTGGTAATGGCTGGAGTGGAATGGTATCAAATACATCAGACCCATGGTTTGCATGTGTTTGATGCCAAATCTATTACTCTGTTCCAGCCATTATTATGAGCCATCCTCCCCTCAGCAGCCTCCACTGGTCTGTGACCAGGTGCAATAACCTCTCCAAGCTAAACCTTCATACCATAACTGCTAACCGCTACACAGCCTACATCGTTGTCACCATATTAACGTTATAGTCAACAAAGTAGAACTAACACTTTAGTAAACCCACAATCCAATCCATGTGTACAGTCACGCAGTACAGTGTAAAGCAAGCAGTTTAGTAGTTACACTGGGGCCCTGGTGGCAATAAATTAATCAAATCAAAAGCTTACATTGACTTGGAAGAGTTGCTGTGTTGGATAGCCTTAGCCAGCTAGCTAACATAAATAGCATTTCTCTCTGTTTAAGTCAGGTTGTTGAGGTGGCTAAATTAGCTCCATTAGCTAAGTAAGTGAAAGGTAAACTAAGAAAAAAATAATACAATGAAATATAGCTAGCTCTCTCTCTCTCTCTGCTGCTTCTCCTTAATTTTTGAAGAAATTAATTTGTTAAAAACCGTTCAGCTATTGTCTTTCTCTCTTTAATTCAACTACTCACCACATGTAATGCACTGCAGTGCTAGCTAGCTGTAGTTTATACTTTCAGTACTAGATTAATTCTCTGATCCTTTGATTGAATGGACAACATGTCTGTTCATACTGCAAGAGCTCTGATAGGTTGGAGGACAACCTACACAGTCATAATTACTGTGTAAGTGTATGGAAGGGGGTGAGAACCATGAGCCTCCTAGGTTTTGTATTGAAGTCAATGTAGCCAGAGGACGGAAAATAGCTGTCCTCAGGCTACACCATGGTGTTATCCTAGAGGGTGCTGTTGAGGCTACTGTAGACCTTCATTGCAAAACAGTGTGTTTAATCAGTTATTTGGTGGCGTGAATATATTTAGTATAGTTTATCTAAAAAAATAATTGTTTCATGTTTCCCTATTTACATTTTTATGAAATTCACTGAGTAGGATGGTCCTCCCCTCCTCCTCTGAGGAGCCTCCACTGATTCAAATATGTCTCTCTCTCTCACTCACTCAGAGGGCCAGTCCAGACATGCTCGGGGACGAGGGCTTCTTTGACCTGCTGAGTCGTTTCCAGAGTAACCGGATGGACGACCAGCGCTGTTCCATACTGTCAGTCAGTACCAGCTCTGACTCTCCACCCAGAGCCATGAGGAAATGTGAGTACACACACCAACATTTCTCTGTGACCTCCATGATCTCTCGCTCTGACCTCTCTCCCTCTCCTCCAGCAATGTCAGAGGCGGCCGCAGAAGCAGGCCTGGGCTCTGGGTCTGGTGCCCAGGGTTGCCGGTTGGAGGAAGGTGGAGGTCCTAGGGGTAGTTTGCCCGGCCTTCGGCTCAACCAGCACAGCAGCCAGGCTGTCCTCAGCCACCTGATGGCTAACGCAGACAACACTGAGCCTGACGACGACTTCTTTGACATGCTCGTCAAATGCCAGGTGTGAGGAGTAAATAGACTCAACTTTTCACTAGGGTGGTGTTCAGTAGGGCACAACGTAGCAAAAAGTTGTGCTAGATCTCAGTGCTTTATATTGAAAGGGGGTAAAAATCTTCCTTTTCATATTGGTAACTGTTCCACTTTTTACCTCCTATTCCCTCCTCCCTCAGGGTTCCCGTCTGGATGACCAGCGCTGCGCCCCTCCCCCGGCCCGTGGCCCCACCGTCCCAGACGAGGACTTCTTCAGCCTCATCATGAGGTCCCAGGCCAAACGCATGGATGAGCAGCGGGTCACCCTGCCCTCCGCAGCAGGCTCTGCAGCACGCCCCTGCTCCAACTGAGCCTTGCCCAGGGAGAGGACCCCAACAGCGGGGTGAAAACCCAGGAGACGGGGCTTCTGGAGGAAAACAGTGTGGAAGTTTCGTCCGCTTGTGGAGATGAAGACATTGATACTGTACTCAACAGTGGATGGGGCTATTTTACATAGACTATACATGGTTGTTGGTGGGATTCAGAAGCCTCATTTCCCAGTTGAAAGCACTGCCAGCATTAATGTAGTAGCCTATAGGGAACAATGCAACATTCAAAAATTCTAAAGGAACCCACTGATGGTTCTAGACTATGGAACCAGCTGTCTCCATTTTTCCTAATGACTAAGATTCTACCTTGTACTCTTCTTTCTGGAACTGTACTAGACATGTAAAACTGCACAAACGAACATGAACTAACATATCAGACGAGTAGGTTCAGGGCACTACTGTTTTTAATAATTGTAATTTTTGTATGATTATGTACTCTATAGAATGTATCTTTAGATACACGCGTCATGACTGCAGTTTTGTTTGTATTTATTGTACCTTTTTTTTCAGAATGATTTTGTTTTATTTAGCTCTTGCATACTGCCGTTTCACTTCCCCTTGTGGCTTGATGTGGTTGGTTTGATTTTACACCAGATTTTTCTGATGTAGACTAGACTTAAAGACGGGTACAGCACTATATTTCATGTGTTTTTGAATTGTCTATATGTGTATATTAGAAGTTGTGGTTATGAATGGAGGGTGGGTGGGGATACCTCATTTAGGTAAACAAAAAAAAGCTCTTTCAGCCTAAACCATCTTTGATAAAAGAATGAATTCACCAATAAGTGTGTACAGTCCCTGATGCTCTTTTGTACTTCCTATATTTTTTATGAGATCAGAGGAATAAAGCCTCATTTATTTAGTATATAAATCATTATTCAAAAACTCTTGTAGTGTGTTTTCTTATTCCACTGTTCTCATCTGCAAAACAGCATGAAGCAAGAGTGCTTTCTTTATATTCAGTACAGCTTGACACATGGAGATGGCACACCAAATCAAAGCATAGAAGGATCGGCTACTGGAATTAAATGAAGAATGACTGCCCAAAGTAGAGTTTGATGGTGAGGTGTTGTTGATGGCCTATGCTCCTCATGGAGTGATGGGCTTAAGTATGATACAAAATACCTTATTAGTCCTTATGAGATGCTGTTTATCGAACTCCAGGCTTTGCTATGGTCAGATGACATGAAAATAGAGCTTCCTGGCTACGCACACAGTGATGGGTTTTGTCTTGAAAAACAACCATATGCAGAAAATTACCTCATATCTACAGTGAAATATGGTGGTGGATCTTTGATGTTATGGGGGTATTTTGCTTTCACTGGTCCTGGAAGCAAAATAGGTCAACGGCATCATGAACTTTACCAAGTACCAGGACATTTTAGGCAAAAACCTGGTTGCCTCTGCCAGGAGGCTGACACTTGGCCGCAAGTGGATCTTCCAGCAAGACAATAACCCCAAGCACTAATCAAAATCCACAAAGAAATTGTTAATTGACCACAAAATCCACATTTTGCAATGGCCATCTCAGTCTCTGGACATGAACCCCATTGAAAACCTGTAGTTTGAATTGAAGAGGGCAGTCCATAAGAGCAAACGAATGATATCAAGGATCTGGGAAGATTCTGTATGGAGGAATGGCCCAAGCTCCCTCCCACTGTGTTCTCCAACTCATAAAACATTTTATAAAAAGGCCCTGTGTTGTTATCCTCACAAGGGGAGGGTGCTCGAGTATTGAAAACGGGTGGCAATAAATTTGACCAATCTTTCAGATGTAAGCGTCTCTTTCTCTGAAAGAGAATAAAATAATATATTTTTTTAGCATACAACAGAGCTCAGTATTTGTATTTATTTTATACAGGCTTTTTTGCTCATCTTTATCAAGGCTGCCAATAATTATTGACCTGACCGTATACACAAACACACATTAGGTTGAAGGCTGGAGCAGAGGGCAATAAGTACAGTTTTACACAATCGCCTAACGTACAGTAACATGCTAGAAGCACAGTGGTGTGTTATTGACCTATAACAAACAGATGTAAGCGTCAGTTCTTGAATAATACATTTCAAACTTCAGAACTTAGTACACACTTTCACTAGTCCTATGCCATTGCATATTTTAGGGGGTAGATCAGCTTTAATATTGCAGATAGATTGTAGCTTCCATCAATATAATTGTCTACATCATATCCGATCCCCCATATTTTTTTGTAAAATATATATATAATATATATATTTTATATTTTCCTTTATTATTTTTCCGAACCCTACCACCCCTCTCCTAATTGGAGTAATCTACTTCCATGTTATACATACGATATACATTTTACAGACACAATGTATTTTACAATAGTTATCTTTAGTTTGTTTTTAATCCAATCCTTCAGCTACCCTCAACCCCTCTCAGCTATCTCTGAAGACCATCCAGTTTGATTTCTATTTGCCATATATTTCTAACTGTGCTATTTCACAAAGGTTCTGAACCTACAGTGCCTTCGGAAAGTATTCAGACCCCTTGACTTTTTCCACATTTTGTTACGTTACAGCCTTATTCTAAAATGTTATTTTTGTTTTTAATGCTCAGCAATCTACACACAATACCCCATAATGACGAAGCGAAAACAGGTTTTTAGAAATTTTTGCAAATTTACTTATTTACATAAGTATTCAAATCCTTTGCTATGAGACTTGAAATTGAGCTCAGGTGCATCCTGTTTCCATTCATCATTCTTGAGATGTTTCTACAACTTGATTGGAGCCCACCTGTGGTAAATTCAATTGATTGGACATGATTAGGAAAGGCACACACCTGTCTATATAAGGTCCCACAGTTGACAGTGCATGTCAGAGCAAAAACCAAGCCATGAGGTCGTAGGAATTGTCCATAGATCTCTGAGGCAGGATTGTGTCGAGGCACAGATCTGGGGAAGGGTACCGCAAAATGTCTGCAGCATTGAAGGTCCCCAAGAACATCATTCTAAAATGAAAGAAGTTTGGAACCACCAAGACTCTTCCTAGAGCTGGCCACCCGGCCAAACTGAGCAATCGGGGGAGATGGTCATTCTGACAGAGCTCTAGAGTTCCTCTGTGGAGATAGGAGAACCTTCCAGAAGGACAACCATCTCTGCAGCACCCACCAATCATGCCTTTATGGTAGAGTGGCCAGACGGAAGCCACTCCTCAGTAAAAGGCACATGACCGCCCGCTTGGAGTTTGCCAACAGGTACCTAAAGGGCTCTCAGACCATGAGAAACAAGATTCTCTGGTCTGATGAAACCAAGATTGAACTCTTTGGCCTGAATGCCAAGCGTCACGTCTGGAGGAAACCTGGCACCATCCCTACGGTGAAGCATGGTGGTGGCAGCATCATGCTGCGGTGATGTTTTTTAGCGGCAGGGACTGGGAGACTGGGAGGTTCTCCCCCAAGATTTGACGGTACATGGCCCCGTCCATCGTCCCTTTGATGCGGTGAAGTTGTCCTGTCCCCTTAGCAGAAAAACACCCCCAAAGCATAATGTTTCCACCTCCATGTTTGACGGTGGGGATGGTGTTCTTGGGGTCATAGGCAGCATTACTCCTCCTCCAAACACGGTGAGTTGAGTTGATGCCAAAGAGCTCGATTTTGGTCTCATCTGACCACAACACTTTCACCCAGTTCTCCTCTGAATCATTCAGATGTTCATTGGCAAACTTCAGACGGCCCTGTATATGTGCTTTCTTGAGCAGGGGGACCTTGCGGGCGCTGCAGGATTTTAGTCCGTCACAGCGTAGTGTGTTACCAATTGTTTTCTGGGTGACTATGGTCCCAGCTGCCTTGAGATCATTGACAAGATCCTCCCCTGTAGTTCTGGGCTGATTCCTCACCGTTCTCATGATCATTGCAACTCCACAAGGTGAGATCTTGCATGGAGCCCCAGGCCGAGGGAGATTGACAGTTATTTAGTGTTTCTTCCATTTGCGAATAATCGCACCAACTGTTGTCACCTTCTCACCAAGCTGCTTGGCAATGGTCTTGTAGCCCATTCCAGCCTTGTGTAGGTCTACAATCTTGACCCAGACATCCTTGGAGAGCTCTTTGTTCTTGGCCATGGTGGAGAGTTTGGAATCTGATTGATTGCTTCTGTGGACAGGTGTCTTTTATACAGGTAACAAACTGAGATTAGGAGCACTCCCTTTAAGAGTGTGCTCCTAATCTCAGCTCGTTATCTGTATAAAAGACACCTGGGAGCCAGAAATCTTTCTGATTGAGATGGGGTCAAATACTTATTTCCCTCATTAAAATGCAAATCAATTTATAACATTTTTTAAATGCGTTTTTCTGGATTTTGTTGTTGTTATTCTGTCTCTCACTGTTCAAATAAACCTACCATTAAAATTATAGACTGATCATTTCTTTGTCAGTGGGCAAACGTACAAAATCAGCAGGGGATCAAATACTTTTTTTCCCTCACTGTATGTATGTGTATATACAGTGAGCTCCATAATTCATTGGACAGTGACCATTTTTTTGTTATTTTGGTTCTGTACTCTAGCACTTTGAGTTTGAAAGGATACAATGACAATGAGGGTGAAGTGCAGACTGTCAGCTTTAATTTGAGGGTATTTTCATAAATATTGGATGAACAGTTTAGAGATTACAGCACCTTTTGTACATGGTCCCCCCATTTTAAGGTACTACAAGTATTTGTTAAATTGGCTTCACAGATGTGTGTCGTTAGGCAGGTGTATTAATTTGTGTCGTTAGTGAATGCAGGAGAGCTGTTGATGAATAGTATTGATTCTAGACTTTGCTATTGCCTTTGGAGATTGTTGTTGGGGTGTGACAACATGAGGAAGACAGCAGTGTCGATGGAAATGAAGCTGGCCGTCATAAGGCTCAGAAATGAAAATCAATCAATCAGGAACATTGCAAAAACCCTGGCCATGCCCAAGTCAACAGTTTGGTTCATCATTAACAAGAAAAAAACAACCGGTGAACTCAATTATGTCAAAATACCCAGTAGACCGAGGAAGACCACTGTAGGGAATGACCGGAGAATACTCTCTATGGAGAAGAAAACCCCCCTGACAACAGCCCAACAGATCAAAAACACTCTCCTGGATGCAGGTGTAGATGTGTCAAAGTCTACCATACGTAGAAGACTACACCAGCAGCACTACAAAGGGTACACTACAAGATGCAAACCACTGATAAGGCTGAAGAACAGAAAGGCGAGATTACAGTTAGCTAAAAAGCACCTAAAAGAGCCCCAAGAGTTCTGGAAAAAAGTATTGTGGACAGATGAGACAAAGATTAACATGTACCAGAGTGATGGAAAGAGGAAAGTGTGGAGAAAAAAAAGAAATGCCCATGATCCAAAGCATACCACCTCCTCCGTGAAACATGGTGGAGGGGGTGTTATGGCTTGGGCCTGTATGGCTGCCAGTGGAACAGGCTCACTTGTCTTCATCGATGATGTGACTGCAGACAGAAGTTGAACAATGAATTCTGAAGTCTACAGAAATATTTTATCTGCTCAGATAAAACCAAATGCCTCCAAACTCATTGGACGGCACTTCATCATGCAACAAGACAATGACCCTAAACATACTGCTAGAGCAACAAAGGGGTTTTTGATGGCCAAAAAGTGGAAAAACCTTGACTGGCCGAGTCAATCACCAGATCTGAATCCAATTGAACATGCATTTTACATGCTGAAGAGGAGACTTAAGGCAATAAGTCCCCGAAACAAGCAGGAACTGAAGATGGCTGCAGTACAGGCCTGGCAGAGCATCACCAGGGAAGATACCCAGCGTCTGGTGATGGCGATGCATCGCAGACTTCAAGCAGTCATTGCATGCAAAGGATATGCGACCAAATATTAACAATGATTACTTTATTCTACATTATGTTAAACTGTCCAATGATTTTTGATGCCCGAAAATGGGGGAGACCATGTACAAAAGCTTCTGTAATTCGTAAACGGTTCATCCGATATGTATGAAAATACCCTCAAATTAAAGCTGACAGTCTGCACTTCACCCTCATTGTCATTGTATCCTTTCAAACTCAAAGTGCTAGAGTACAGAACCAAAATAACAAAAAAATGGTCACTGTCCAATGAATTATGGAGCTCACTGTATATATATATATATTTTTTTTTTTGTTAGAAAAAAAAACATATGGGGGATTGGAAGTGATGCAGACAATTACATTGATGGAAGTTACAATCTATCTGCAATATCAAAGCTGATCTACCCCCTAAAATATAAAAAATATGCAATGGCATAGGACTGTAGTGAAAGTGTGTACTAAGTTCTGAAGTTTGAAATGTATTATTCAAGAACTGACACTTACATCTGTTTGTTATAGTTCAATTACACACCACTGTGCTTCTAGCATGTTACTGTACGTTAGGCGATTGTGTAAAACTGTACTTATTGCCCTCTGCTCCAGCCTTCAACCTAATGTGTGTTTGTGTATACGGTCAGGGCAATAATTATTGGCACCCTTGATAAAGATGAGCAAAAAAGCCTGTATAAAATAAATACAAATACTGAGCTCTATTGTATGCTAAAAAAATATATATATTATTTTATACTCTTTCAGAGAAAGAGATTAAGTAATAAAAAAAATCTCAAAGATTGGTCAAATTTATTGCCACCTGTTTTCAATACTCCAGCATCCTCCCCTTGCGAGGATAATAACACGGGGTCTTTTTATAAAATGTTTTATGAGTTGGAGAACACAGTGGGAGGGAGCTTGGGCCATTCCTCCATACAGAATCTTCCCAGATCCTTAATATCCTTTGTTTGCTCTTATGGACTGTCCTCTTCAATTCAAACTACAGGTTTTCAATGGGGTTCATGTCCAGAGACTGAGATGGCCATTGCAAAATGTGGATTTTGTGGTCAATTAACAATTTCTTTGTGGATTTTGATTAGTGCTTGGGGTTATTGTCTTGCTGGAAGATCCACTTGCGGCCAAGTGTCATCCTCCTGGCAGAGGCAACCTGGTACTTGGTCAAGTTGCTGATGCCGTTGACCTATTTTGCTTCCATAAATGGACAGGTATTGTCCTTTCCATGGTAGCAAGATCTCACCTATTTTTGCTAACTTTCTATTAAAATGTATTGTAGTGAAAGCATTTATTTCTTTTGGAATATGAATACCGAGTATGTCCAAATCAGCGTACAATGACACCTTTGTTTTTAAACCCTGGATTTCTAGCCCCTTGATATTATTGTTGGATCTGATTTCAATAGCTAACATTTCGATGGCCATAATAAATAGATATGCTGATAGTGGACAACCTTGTTTTACTCCTCGACAGTTTAATACTTTCTGAGAAGTAGCCATTATTTACTATTTTACACCTAGGGTTACTACACATAACTTTAACCCATTGTATAAGAGATTCTCCAAAATTGAAATATTCCAGGCATTTATATATAAATTCCAGTCGTACTTTATCAAAAGCATTTTCAAAGTCAGCTATGAATACCAGGCCTGTTTTCCCAGATTTTTCATAGTGTTCTATTGTTTCCAGTACTTGTCTTATATTATCTCCAATGTATCTTCCATGTAAAAAAAAACCTGTCTGATTAGGATGAATAATATCCGACAATACCTTTATAATTCTATGCGCTATGCATTTTGCTAGAATTTTTGCATCACAACACTGAAGTGTAAGGGGCCTCCGAGTACATCAAAAAAGGTTTGGTATACATCAACTGTTATGCCATCCAGCTCTGGAGATTTCCCAGACTTGAAGGCTTTAATTGCATTAGTATGCCATTGCATATTATTTGATATTATGATTTCGCTGTATTATGAAGGACATCACAGATCACACAAGTTCAGTCTGAAGTGTCAAAGAGGCTTTTATTTAGATACAACAGCAGTGATCACACTTTCAATAAGCTCTATTCATTTCTCTTAGTCACTTAAAACAAGGTTTAGAAAAGCTACATACCGGAACCACTATTTAATTTCATATCAACAGAAAAGGATGACTATATATTACAATAACATTTTAAAAGAATAAAAGATAAATAAATACATCTATTTATTAGTTTGGCCTTTTAATTTAAAATGAGAAACTGTACACAAAGAACAAAGCATAAAACTCAAGCCTGCATTTTGATAAGTCAAACAAGTTATTAATGGAGTGTCTAGTGACAAAGTGCAAAATACAGAAACTGAAAGTAACAAACGCAAAACACCCTTAATACGGGTTTATAAATTGTGTTGTAGAACAATGCCATGCTTTTTCTAAGATATTGTGCATAAGCTACTCCCTTTTGAAATGGGCAGACTGCCATTTTGGTAGCAACCAGTAACATTGCAGATTAAAATAAAGCTATACTACAGTGAGTGTTGCTCAACTGTACGCTGAAGCTGGCCAAGCCAAAAAGTAGATCTGTAATTCCCTTCCATGTCGATATTAAAACAAGTATTTAATTTTTTCCATTTGCAGGCAAGCCATAGCAAGAGACACCATAACAACTGCCTGAAGACAGCATTTTGCACCAAACACTGATTCAACATTAAAAACGTACAAGCAAATGTACACATTTTTGTCTCCAATATTTACAAAGCCTAAAGCAGAAATGCGGTGGGCAGTAACAGTAACGTTAGACATCTCCCACAGTAGGGCTATAGTAGTAGTATTGACAACAGCTAAGCAACCGATAGCTAATTGATCGATCAATGCAACAGATTCAACTCCGCAAGGAGCACCTGATTTACTGAACCACACACTGACATATTGTCAGCATTTTAGATCACAACATCCATTTCTTGGTTTCTTCTCAAATAATAGCAGCATAGTAACACATGCTGTAACAAAAACACTGACAGTGCAAACGAATGAGGAATGTACATTTGTTCTTGAAAGATCTCACAGATAACTTAAACTTTTGACCTGAAATGGAGAGGACCCACATGGGTTTCTGTATTGATTAAGCTTTCCTAGTGGAGACTGGATAACTCAAGGCACCATATCAAACAATGCACTATAGCAAAACATCTCTCTCCTTATTGAAAACATAATGGAGTAGATGCAAGTGTAGGGAGTCTGCTGTGTCATTTGTAAATGAAAATGTTGAAGAGTCATTGGGATGAGTGGAGGAATGGAGTAATAGAGCAAAGGGAAGGGTCAGTTGGTGCACTTTTTCACTTTCCCCATTTTACACACACACACACACACACACACACACACACACACACACACACACACACACACACACACACAACTAGAGGATGTGAGAGTTGCTCACAGAAGCAGCGATGTTGAGGGGAGCTGAGCATGATGTGAAATCAAACCTAAATACAGCTAAAAGATACTCACAGACAGCCACACAACCAAATGTACAGAGGGATAAACTGTCCTGTTTGTTGAAAGTGGTAAAAGAGTGTAAGGAAAAGGGGGTGCATATGTGTGTCCAGGTTGTGTATTATGGGTTACGCATGTCTACTGTGTGTTTTAGGGGTTGTGTTGAGTGAGTATGTGCCTGTTAGGTGTTGTGTGTCCAGAGTGTGACGGTACGGTCAGCGGAGGAGGAGAGGAAGGACAGGTCGTGTGTGTGCCACCTGCACTGGATCACCTTGTCACCGTGCTCCCCTACCAGAGTCAGGGGCAATGGCTTCGTTAAGTCACCTACAGGGACAAACACACATTTCAATATATTGTGAGTACAAAGGGCCCAAATACACATGCTTGGACTTGTGAGTCCAAGTCATTGATTGCAGCTTAAACAAATAAATACTTCATTAGCTTCTTTGTGCTTTGATAAGTTGAACAACACACCCATCATTAGAGACCATTTAGTAACTAGCGGAAGATCTCAATTGCATACTCCTCGCGCCCTCTTTGTCTCCTTCTCACAACCCATTGGATGAGAACGCCAGCGGTCCCTCCCCTCTGTCCTTCTCCTCCAATGGGTTTTGAGATGGAAACGAGGAGTGAGGACGCGAAGAGTATGCAATTGAGATCTTCCCTATATGTCTTACTTACCTTGCAGGTTGCTGATCATGACCTTGGTGTCGTAGGAACCAGTGAGCAGGTAGTGTGCCTCGGGGGAGAACCTAACGGAGCGCACGTCGCTGGAGTGGGGCCGGTACGTCTGCACCACGCGTCCTCCTCTGATGTCATAGAGCATACAGCTGCTGTCCTCCTGTCCCGTCGCTAGGAGACGACCGCTAGGGTCCACCGCTACCGAGGCAACAGGACTGCCTGAGAGGGAGAGAGAGAGAGAAAGAGTTAGAAAGGAGAGAGACCAACAAGTAGGTCCCATAAATGTGTGTCTGTTTGTTGTGTGTGTGTGGAAGCAATACCAACCTGATCCATGGAAGGCAGTGCCCACCACTCTAACACAAGTGGGTATTCTCAGGTCCCAAAACCTCACAGTCTTGTCCTGAGAGCCTGACGCTATCATCCACCCTCCCCACGTATAGAGAGACAGAACATGACCTGAGGATAAACACACAGACCATCAGTCTCACATGGAAGCCTTTATTTTCCATATAGGAATGACGATGATAAACTAAGTAGTACACGAGTGTGTGTGAATGAGTCCTGCGAAGCAAATTAGTGTTTGTGTGCGTGTGTGTACCTGTGTGTCCACTGAGCGCGTGTAAGCCCTGTCCTCTCTGACAGTCAGTGGTGTAGATGTTACAGTCTCCGGCCCCGGCGCTGATCAGAATGGCCCCTCCACTCTCTGGTCCCTCCATGAACGCCAGGTCTCTGATGGTCCCATCATGCATACTGAACTCAAGGTCTGGACCTGAGAGAGAGACAGAGATAGAGAAGAGATAGAGGGTGGGGGGGTGTGAGACTCAAACTTAAACGGAAAGAGTGTGTGTACCGAACTGAAATCAAGAGAACTGTAACTTTCATTGTCAGGTGTATATTGAGTAAATTCCTATTTAATTCAGTCATTTCAGGAGATCAATTACATTTTAAAGGATTTAAACAACCCGTGTTTAGAGTGGATTTAAATGTAATAGATTCCCAACGTTTGAATCGAACTGATTTCTAATGGAATTGAAACTCCGTATTGAGTTTACCTGTGGCATTGCAGGTCTCGGCACTGAAGGGCAAGACTTTGACATATTTGTCATTGGAGCCGGTGGCTAGTAGCTTTCCACAGTGACTCCAGGCCACACAGTAGATAGAACCCTTATGGTGCTTATTCCTTTTAAAACGAACCTCCGGCTGCTTGGTCATACCTGACACCCCACTGAGGGAAGGAAAAGGGGTGAGTGAGAGAGAGCGAGCGCGAGAGCAGAGAGATAAAGCTTAGTCTCATTACAGCAGAATACCTCACAAAGGAATTGAACAGTAGATATCAACAATTTCAGGAATGATTAGTTATTAGGCTCTGTGTGTGTGTTACCTGGTGTCCAGCGGTGCGTCTGGGTAGGCACACACGCGTAGTGTCTTAGAGTTGGAACCGACAGCGTATAGCGCCCCCGTGGGGTGGAAGGCAACAGCGCGCACCGCCTGAGTGTCCTCCAGGGTGTTCACAGCTACAAACAGGGCCTTGGGCTTGTCCTCCTGCAACACACGCACAAAACAAACATTCGGGATGAGAATGAAGATATCCCACTAGCCCCAGGGAGCTACTTGTTAGCCCGTCAGCAGAGTTAAGAAGAAACACTTCTTACAATGTCTCTCATACACACAGAACTGCCCGCACACATACAGGGGCCAATGGGTTTAACATAATTACCAGTATAATCTGAGTTGATCTTCTATGTCTTACGCTAGCCATTATTCTGAAATAGAGCCAACAGCTCATGCCAACATGGAATACCCTTTATCGCTGCTGCTCGAACTCGAATCTGATGGATTCAATCTCCACTCATCACATTGCATAATCCAGGATTACTGTGCATGACCTCAGTGGGTACACTGAACTGATACTCATTGCCTCTCACTCCTAAAGAGTTCTACTAAGCCTACAGTGGGAGGTTAGACAGACTCTGTGTGTGGTGTGTGTGTGTGTGTGTGTGTGTGTGTGTGTGTGTGTGAGAGAGAGAGAGAGAGAGAGAGGGGGATAGGAACCTACCTCCTTACTTCGGGTTAGGGCTCCTGGTGAGTGGTCTAATCCGGAAGGCTGTCCAGCTACTTTCTGAGGACTAGACCACACACAGATACAACACATTAGTACATTACTCTGTGTATGTCCACAAAGACAAAAACATAAACAAATCTGCAATACAGACATATTTGTTTGTATCACACGCACTCACACACCCCTCACACGCACCCCTAGCTCACCTCTGGGAGACTACGGGGGATTCGTTCAGTGGGGGTACCCCCCGACCCGCTGTGGTGCATTGTGGGGTGCTGCTGACCAACCCTCCTCCATGGGGCTGGCCCTGCTTGGGGGTCAGGGTCACGGCGGGGTCAGGGGTCAAGCCTACGGGGTCACCGATGTTGTTGTTCTCGGGAGAGGGGCCCGTGCCATTACACTGCTGGGCCAGAGACTGGACATCCTCCCCTAGACTCTCCATCCCACGTTCAACTCTGCAGCTTGAATAGACCTGTAGAAAAAACACACGGTAATACAACAGACAGGACAAGATGCCAGACGCCACCTCTGACAGGATCGCCAGTTTTAATAGTGTCTAGTATTAAATATGGTCCGATTGTGCTCTGCCATAATTCGATTGTACACGGAGTCTGCCAACTGCCCAGAGACATACCAGCAGGGTACCACAGGCAGCAGCTGGCTCAGGGCATAGACATTCATAAAAACAACGAGGCAGCCTAATTTAAGTCGCCTCGGTGGGAGTAGCACACCTTTGATGCTACATTAGAAAGTGCATTTTCATGTTTTCATTTTTAAAATGTTTTCTGAAAGATCCATGATGGTGCCATGAAGGTGTGTATAATTTAATGATGTGTCATGGTGGACTGAGTGTGGTACCCAGTGGTTGCGGGGGGGGGGGGAAAGACAACTGATGGGTCCCTTGTGGCTTCCTCCACCCCCACCCCCACGCCCAACCCAACCCCCAGGCACATGCTGCTCCATCTGGGGTACCACACTCAGCTCCACCATACACCCCATCATTAATCATTATACACACCTCATATGCACCAAACCATAGACGCCCACCCGCAACACCACCACTATGAGCACCTCCCCCCCAACACACACACACAAGCCAACCTCCCCTTTCAGACCCTGTTACTGAAAAAGTAACGCGTGTCTCTCTAAGCATTAGTCAGCAGTTGTCATCTTGTCCAACAGGACACTCCAACTATCCCATCTAGGCTTTGAACCATCCAGGCTGAGGCTAGATTCTATAGTCGAGATGTCATCATAGGGTCAGGCCATGCTCTCTAGTGATGGCCATTCCAAATATTTTCTGTGAGCTGGATCTTTTAGTAGTTCATTTAAAAAAAATGAAAAACCATGAAAAATAGCACATTTCTAATGTAAGCATAAAAAGGTTGCCTACTATTATGTCAGATTGTATATGTGAGTTCAAATACATTTTACCGGACGAAATTACATCTCTTGCAAAACAAAAGGACCCTTTTTTTTTTTAACACACCGCAAACATTTTGCATGGACCAGAATGAGGCTCTCACCTCTACCTACTGTTCCTGCAGTGAGGAATAACCATCTTCAGACATGTTTTTATAACTTATCTACAGATCATCGTTGTTTGGAACTCAAAAAGCAGTAATAGCAGTAGGTAAATCAGGGAGCCAAATTAACGTCTCTTTCACAGATGCGATTCGGTTCCAGACGTTCCCCAAAAATATCTGTTCAAAAAGAGCCGTTTGTACGCGAACGACCCATCACTAATGCTCTCCCTTCTAGACTGCTATGTGCATCAGAAGGCCAAATCTCTTTTGATCTCTCCCTATCTAACCCCCTCCCCCCCAGACTCCTTCTTCCCCCCCCTACATTATTTATAAGGTTTTATAATGACATCCTTAGTGGACCTTTCTTTGTCCTTTCCGATTTGTGATTTTAACTAGATTCAAAATGTTCCCATATTTTTTTATCATACTGAACCAACACTGTCCTGAATTTTTTGGATTTAACGTGTCTTTCCATTGCATCGTGTTAGGTCGAAGCCATAGGCTGTACAGGGAGGGGTATGTGTGTTCTAAATCGGCCAGTTTTGATTTAAACAATATGTTTAGCAACAACCCTTATTCCAAACCATTATTCCATCCATCACATGAAGTAACAACTAACTACATTACACAATGTAACATCTGACAGAACGTGGTCTGCCACAGATAGACCAGTCCAAGAGGAGAGTCATTACAAGGTTTAAGACAAAACGGCAACTCATCAAACCACAGAAAAGCAAGGCAACCTCACGTTTGTCATATTGGTTTCAGACTTTGTGCTGTGCAGTGATGGGTGAACAACTGACCTATTGAGGAACTCAAGTCCTGTGCTGTGTGTGTCAGTGTGTATACACGTGGGCGTACAGGCCAGTGTCCACATTACAATCTCTAACCTGTTGAGGAACGTCTCAGTGAGGCTGTGCTGCGTGGTGTCTGTCCCGGGGGCTGGCTGGTCAGTGTGTTGCACGCCTCCCTCCAGCAGCATCTGCTGGTAGAGTTGTCTCTGCTGCTGCTTCTGCTCCAGGTGCTGCTGTACTCTCAGACGCTGGCGGTAAAACTCCTCATACTTCTCTGTGGAGTCACGCAGCTGAGGTAAAACACACACACACACACACACACACACACACAGTGAACATTACGTCATACATACAACCTGTTTTCGCTTTGTCATTATGGGGTATTGTGTGTAGATTGATGAGGACAAAACATGTATTTAATCCCATTTTAGAATAAGGCTGTAACGTAACAAAATGTGGAAAACGTCAAGGGGTCTGAATACTTTCCGAATGCACTGTAAATACACCGACACGCACTGCTGGTAAAACCCTTCCAACCTCTCAGTAGTCTCACACACCATATTCAAATAAACCAAATTCATAATTGTTTGAAGTACAGCCAACTTCTTACATAGTGCCATTCACATTCAAAGCCAGCTTTGTCCCCACACCCCTTCCCTCTGTAATTTCAGGGAGAGAGGAAAAATACTGAGTGTCAAAGGTCTGAGGACAGACAACTTCCCCTACTGTGGCCTCTGCAGGTCCATCTGATAGGCATGAACTTCCACACCGACCAGGGGCCAGGCTGGCAGCATGCCAAAGACGAGAGAGAGAGGGTTGGAAGAAATAAGCTGTTCATGACGTGCATTGCCATCCCGCACCCTCGTTGACACAGGGACCACAGCCAGTGTGAAATCCAATAACCTCACACACACACACACACACACACACACACAAACACACAGTGTGGCAGAGGGAGCCATAAACCAGGGTCTCATCTGAAGGTGAAATCACACAGTCTAATTTCCAATTCTGCTCCTGGTCTGTTGATCGGTCTCCAAGGTGACAGGCATGGCAGAGCAGGGCTGTTAATTCACACAGTCTGACTAACGGCTAGACAGGACAGCAGTGGCAGGGTAGAGCAGAGTAGAGAGCAGTCTGATCTCCTCTAAGGCAAGGCTAGAGTTGAAGTGGAGTCAGGGGACTAGAGTCCTTTGGGCTGTACTGTGAGAGGACAAGAGACAGAGAGAGAAAGAGAGCGAGCGAGAGAAAGAGAGCAGGTGACAGGTCTCTTGGCTGTAACTCAGGCCCTGTACGCCCCAGACGAGTCTCACACACACACCAGACACACATTCATCTCTAAGTCCGCCCTATATTTAGACTGAGGGAGAAGGCCACCATCTTTGAAAGTAATCCTCTCCACAGGCCACAATCCCAATCATCACACATCAGACTCCAGGGTTTATATAAACTGGGTAAAAATTGTTGCCACCTCATGCACTTATTTTCTAGAAATCTGTATCTTTTGCAAGACAGACCTGGTTACATCTCATCTTCCTCTCCTCCATCAGGTATTTTACCTCATTCCTCTCTGCAGAGCCTGGTGACGGGGCGTCCTCTCCAGGGGCGGAGGCGGGGCGCAGGGTGCCTGAACTCATCATTTTATCCACGGGCGTGTCAGTCCTGGAGCTAGGAACAAGAACCAGAGAGACTACATTAACTACTACTCTAATGCACTACCAGACTAGCCTGAGTCCCACATATGTCTGTGTTGTCTTGCCAACACCAATCACAGCAATGGAGTTAGCAAGACATCAAATCAAATCCTAGTTTACTCATCACGTGCACAGCAGGTGTAAACGGTACAGTGAAATGCAAGTGCAGAGAGAGGGTTGCAGGGTACAAACAGATCTAGGGCTCAATCTAATACAGTACCAGACAACTCAGATATTCCCTACTGTCACACAGCTACTCCCTACTGTCACAGTGTTCGCATAAGTGGATGTTGTTGAGCAGTAGAAAACGTCAAGATAATCACTGAGCTTCTCCTTCAACAGTAGTCTCCAGTGTTTTTCTACCCCGCAGGCTAATCAACAGTCTACTTCAGTGGCTAGGCTAAATCAAACAGGTTCAATCATGTAATTACTTGGCCTACTTAGCCAATGTTTGGGGATTATTCTAGAGGGGAAAATGACTAGGTAGAGTGCATCATCCTGGTGGGTACTACACATTAATGGTAGAGGAGTTAAATTCCCCACTTACAATGTAAAACACATTCTAGACCTTGATGTTGAAAAGCGCTACCTGAATCCAACCCATCCTGCTCTCACCTCTCAGGCGACTCCTCAAAGATGCTGTGGCAGTCGGAGCTCTCCAGCATCAGACTCCTGCTCAAACTCTGGCCCCCCTGTGTGGTAGTTAGCGAAGGAATGAGACATGGGGGACACCCCCTTCCCCCCCGCCTGTGTCCCCCCCCGGGCCCCTCTTCTCCTGGCCAGACAGCCCGTACGACAGCCCGTCCAGGGCCGGGTTCAGGGAGCGGGACATGTAGGTGTCGGCGGACTGGGGACGGCGGAGAGGCGAGGAGGGGTAGGGGGACAGCTTGCTGATGAGCGGGGTGAGGAGGTCTGCGTAGCCGGCCTTGGCGGGCTTGACCAGGCGGTCCACGTGGATCTGGAGCAGCTTCTGCTCGAAGGCGCAGGAGAAGACACTGTGGGACAGGTTCTGCATCCAGGAGAGTAAAGAAAGGTCCAGGTCATCACAGCCGTTCCCACACAGCATGTCCACCCCCAGGAGCACCTCGCCCTCCGTGATCTCCTCGCCTGTCGCCTTGCTCTGGAGACAGAGGTAGTCAATCCGTCAATCTATCAGCCAATCAATATATCAATCAAGCACTCATGCATTGAATGAATCAATTATTCATTCATTCATTCATTTAATCAAGCAAGCAATGAAATCATAACATCATATTAAACTAAAACAGTAATATCAAGTGATGGATAGAATCTTATAGGTACTTTGTAAGTACCTGGCAGAACTCGACACAGCACTCGTACAGAACTCCTTTAATGAGGAGCTGGAAGAGGCGGTTCCCTGAGGCTCTGAACCCCGCTTCGCTCAGCTTCCTGTCTGCAGGGATGAACTCTGCCACCATGGTGCACGCCTCCTCAAAACACTGCACCCGCGCCGTGCTGGGGTTCCAGTCCTGGAGGGGAAACACTATACTGTTTAGTCATTTAGCTAAAACCCAAAACATGATGACACCTTTAAAATGTCTCAGTGTTATCTCATAGCGATCCATTTTGAGATAGTTGGAAAACTGCCACATTGATATACATCAGATACAGCATTATGAGATAATAAGTGCTATCTCAAAATGTAATAAAGTGCTCATACATGCTTATAATAATTTAATAATGGCCTTTTGATACCTGCTTTCAGTAAACTGTTACCAAACCTTCTTCAAAGTAAGTATTAGAATCAATCACTGTGCTAGAATAACAGAGTACGATTCAAAAGGTCAGATGCTATATAATAATAATCATAATAATATATATTATTATAATATGATATATTATGCCATAAATATACAAATGTGTCATGCCTTGAACTCAGCGTGGTTGGTGAGACGAGGCAGGGTGAGGAGCAGACATAGCTTGCTGTAGTCATCCTTAGAGGGACAGAACTCCTCCAGAGCATGAAGACACTTCACCGCCTCCTGCATGGTGAACTCCAACTGAGGGAGAGAGGGATGAAGGGAGGAGAGAGAGAGGTAGAGGGCAGAGGGAGAAAGAAAGAGAGAGTGGATTTTGGCCCACATCAGATTCACTCATTTTACGCTCACATGTAGCAGGACTTTGATTCAGTCTAGAAGGTTTGCAATAAAAAAAAAAAAAAAGGGCTTTGATCATATTTATTCATTTCTAGAGGCAATGTAACACTATCATCCCCAGTCCCTCCCCTCTAGACTCAACATTCCCGCAGAGACAGAGAGAGGGGGGATGAAAAATGATGTTTTGAACATCTAAACCCAGAATGTCTGTAGATCTTGTAGAAGAGCAGCTACCTGTTATCGCTCTCTGAGGCTTAGATTCTAAATATCAGGGTAGAAGGGCTTAGATCTCTATCATGTCCAAGGAGAAACCTCAGAAAGAAGAAAATGTCAGTGTTTCTTTGACCTGCTTCGAATAAATGTGTAAAAGAGATTTCACGAGATCTAACTTAGACCTAACACAATAAACACGTAGAAACGTGTTAAATCAGACTCACATGTCACACACAGTTCCACACTAACTCATGAAGAGCTGGGCTGACAATCTGACACACTTATACACACAGACACAGCTGGCTTGAGGAGCCCAGACTAATCCAGTCAGGCTACACAAGCTGGATTCAGATCTACACTGTCTGTGACTAAGCTAATATAGGACGATGGGTAGAGAAAGCTCAATGAATGTGTGTGGGCTAGGAGAAAATGAGGCAGAGTGACAGAAATAGAAAAGAGGTAGATGGAAAAAGAATTGATTCGTTGCTATTTTGTTTGCTCATTCAGAAGGAGACAGAGGAAAGGAGCCAGAAACAAAGACAGGGAGATGGAATATGTAAAGGCAGAAAGACACTAGAACAACGTGGAGAAGTGCGAGAGCGAACCTATTCTTTGCTTGTTGACTCACATGTTGTGGCTCGTCCTCAGCAGACATGGCATTGTTCACACACAGGGCCTCCAGAAACTTCTGCTTCAGGACGATGTAACGGAACCTATGACAAGACAACACAGCTCGACACAACAATAAAATATAGCCCCAGAGCTGGGTTGTCTCATCCTACAGTATCTATGTGTCAGTAAAGTAATTCAAACCCAGTATCTGCCTGAACATTCTAGCCTGGGTGTCAGTTTGCTAACGTGTTGTTGTTTGACAAGGCAATAATAGCACTGCTAACTGCAGAAATTGTCAGGTATAGTCAGACTACGTACATTCATTTCTGACCACAGAATTAGTGTTGTATCAATGCCTCACCTTTTCCTGTCAAACGTGTCCATGCACTCCAACGGCTGAATGAACTGGAGAACCTCGTCCCACTGCCCATCCAGCACCAGTTGTCTGGACAGAGATAAACAATACACAAACAAGTTAGTTATAGGGCCGGGTCGATACCAGTATCGCAATATTTTTTCCATGCCAAAAATGAAAACATGAAGCAGGCCAAACTCTTTGGTCCTTTAAAAAACTGCTGTATGTACAATATTGGGTACTATAGCTTGGAAAATAAATACATGTGACTCTGGATGACAACATTATGGCTGTTTTCCTAAAGAAGTTAAATCGGCTTCGTGTTTTGTTTCCTTGCCACGATACTAACGAGTATCGCGATAATGGTAATTGTCCCTGCCCCTAGTAGTTCATAAATCTGATGTAAAATGCTAAATAAAGTGTATGATCTTTGTGACACATTATGCGGCACCTATTACGTGCTCTGAGCCTATTCACACTAGCCAGATAATTTCAGTAAAAACAAAACAGAATAAAAATAAACTAAACATGTCAACAAAGGGTTCTCTAGTGGGGCCCTCTGTGTGAAAGTTGATGAAAATGCTTTGGAAAGCTGAACAGCAACAATCTCGTCTAATTAGTCTGTCAACTGTTGTATCGCAGCACACACTTATGGAGGTGTCCTGATATGCTATGGGTGAGCCAGACCTTTGTCATTCCAAACCTAGCCATGTAGTAAGACCCAAACAGTAATGTCAGGGTCATATTCAGTAGGGCACACCGTAGCAAAACATTTTGCAACTGAAAATGAAAAGTTCCTTATTGGATAAGTCCAGGTAGTCCCTCCCTGTTTTAATCTTCTTTTTTTGTTGTTGGTGCCTAATGAATACGACCCAGGTGTACCTGAGGAAGAGCATATCGTCAGAGTATAGTCCGTTGATGACTCCGCTCTCTTTCTCCAGGGCCAGCATGCTGATGTGAAGCTTCCTGGAGTTGAGGAAGTCCAGGATCACCTTGATGATCTCCACCTCCTTCACATTGATGATCTCTTCTGCTGTCATGGCGATGACGGGCTGACACACACACAACAAAACTCATGGTGAGTATACAAACTGAGGCTCTCTTGTTGATCGTAGGCAGCCTAGTATCTGTCTGGTTAACTAAACATAGCAGGCGTAAAAGAAACGCCTGAGCGGGTCCCTGCATCCGGTTTTCAGAGGAAAAGGAAGCTAGGTTGAACATACTGTATCCATGAAAACCGGATATTTTTATCTGACCCTGTTGAGGTTGCTGTCTGGTAAACAATCAATTCCTAATGTAACACAATGTCACTTTATTGCCACACTGTGTTCAACCAATTATTTTTTTGTTCCAGATATTTACTTGGCCAACAACTGTTACAACTGACCTTGCTTTTGAATTTCAAGAAGTCTAGTCGAATTTATTTCAATTCCTACCTACAAACAAGCACAGGAAATCTAGGACCTTCTCTGTGCACCTACTTAATGTGGACAAAATGAGGAAAGCCTCAATTGCACCTAATGGAATCAAGCCCCAACTCTCTGGCTACTGTGATTAGCAGAAGGTCAGTGTCAGTACAAAGTCTGCAGCAGAGAGTAAATCCAATCACCCACACAGCTGTGTTATTAATTATGCAGTAACAGACAGTAACACATTATGGACTAGGATTGCATTAATGAATTGGGGGGTGCCACCGGAATGCTGACTAAGGATTTCGATAGCTAGTTAGCCTATGTCAATAGTCCTGCTATCTTGGTGTTGCACTGCAACCTGCATTGTTGACAAGGTGTCCAAGCAAGTGGTTGCTCAAAACATACTGATACATGTTACATCCTTTGACTTTTAAATTGATTTAGTTTAGGAATACACTTACGTGCAGTCAACAAATAATATTGCTAGATATCTGACAATGAACTGTACAGGCCATTCAGAAGAGAAAAAGAACAACCAAGCTGCATGCAGATCATGCCAGATGCACTGCTGGTGACAATGACAGCAGCAGTGGCAAAAATTTAGCAGCAAGGAAACTATGCGTATCTCCTAAACATAAAGGATGAGCTAAGTATTACTTGTCGGGAAGGGTTCCAATAAACATCTATTTACAATATATAACTAGCTAGCTAGTTAGCTAGCCATGTAGCTAGGCACTGCAGCTATGGGTGGGGTTCAAACACAAATTAGCTAGCTAACTGCTAGATAAGTAGCTACAGTAGCTAGCTACTTCACACCAATCTGTTATTGTCCTATGTTATAAAATAAACGACAACACAAGCTATGTGTCAGAAATATTAGCAAGCTAACTAGCTAGCTAGCAGCCAATGTTAGCTGGTAGCTACATACCACCAAGAGTACTGTTGTCAGGAACGCACACCCAAAACCGCTAACAGATTTAGATCATGACAAGCAGCCAGCCAACAAGAGAATGGCTAACCAGGGTGCATTCATTACGCCGATTCTATTGCAAAACGTTTTGCAACAGAAACCGTTTACTCCAAACGCTCTTCAACGTCACGTAAAAGCTGTTGGGTTCATAAATGGAAGTTGTAGCTAGCTAGTTAATTTTAATGTTATTGTTCCACGATTTGCATTCCAATCTGAATTGTCTGCGAAGTGTTTGGCACGAACTGCACATCTATTAATGATCGATTCTTCCATGCTCTAAAGTGAAGTGAAGTCAGCGGGATTCCAACTTTTTCCAGCCGCTTATTTCTTTTGAAGAGAGACACCACTGAACTACAACTTCCGTTTAAGAACAAAACAGAACTCAACAGCGTTTGGAGTAAACGTTTTGCAACAGAATTGGCGTAATGAATACACCCCAGGCCAATCGCTAGAAGTGAATCATCCGCAAGCAGCACAGGCGGGATGGGTGGGGAGCGAGGCTTCCCACGCATAACTAACAAACACGCTCCCAAATGCGATTTAAAGCGCACCTTGGTCTAAAAATACATGGGCTGAAAACACGCTCCTAAATTTGTTTCTATGTTGTTGAAAAAGCGTAGCTGTAACGGCGATCCTGCTTCGATGAATTTCTCCTTCCTTTCTCTGTTATCTTCTCGGTTCTGCTGCTGCTACCCAGCCCCTTCGGTTGTCAAGCGCACCGCTTCGTCTACCAATCAGATCCCAGCATTCTCACAAGGGCTCTCACAAGGGCGCTCCCAAGCATCTCTTGTCTAGCAAGTCAAAACCACACAGCTTTCGGCTACGAATCAACATTCCTTTCTACTACCATCCATCGAGCATGCGCATCAAGTATAAGCGGTGTCGTCAAAGTCTAATTATGCCACTTTCAATGAGATAATAACTTGTAAGGGTGTGTCACTTCCAAGACAATATTTGATGGTGGATGGATATGACTAATGCCTCGATCACACCGACAGTGTTATGCATTTTGGTACACCAGAAGTACATTCATTTCCAATGGAGCGCTACGTTTGCCTTGCAGCATTGCGTTGCAGAGGCAATTGTAGTGCGTTCTGTGTGGTGCATACGTTGGATTTATCGATGTATGTGTCAAACTGTATGTGTAGACAGCTTGAAGCTTTGATCACACCGACAGCATTTTTGCGCAAAATGTTATGCAGCATCATCTGGATATGTGTGCAACAAAAGTTAAACATTCACCTTCTGCTACCATTTCTGTCAAGCCGTCTATGCATACAGTTTGAAGCATACATTCGAACGTATGCACCACACAGAACGCACTGCAACTGCCTCTGCAACGCAATGCTGTAAAGCAAACTCAGCTTTCATTGGAAATTAATGTACTTCTAGTGTACCTAAATGCAATGACCGAGGCATAATCCTCATGCCTTCACTGCCCAGACTAGATGGTGTGTTCCATTTGCTTGTAGGCTAATAGCAGAATCACAGTGGAAAGTTCAAAAGTGATTAAATGCTTGAAGAACATGGCCCCCTGAAAAGGCTTTAAAATGATTAAGACAGACAGTGATAAGAAGTAAATCTGGTTGGTAGACTATTATTCTTAACCGATAGCTTTCAGGTTGCTCTTGAACGCAAGAGAGGAAGACTAGTGCTTTACTTCTCAATCATTAGGTGACACCTAGTGGTATTAACAAAGGTGTATTCAAAGGACTATACTTTTTATGAGAAATGATGTAACAAAATGACAAATGGTTTATCTTGATATTTTACCACTGGTATGTTCTCCCTGTATGTAAGCCTATGCCTCTTCCATGAGGTTTTGACCTTTATGGCACAGAACCTGCGTTTGTTTCCCCTGTGGCCTCGGGTTGCAGGTTCAAGACCCACTTGTTCTGTAATGAAGTAACTGGATATTGTGCTGTAGGAAATGTGAACATTTAGCACAACAAAGAATCCAAATCTGGGCTAGCCTAAAATGAGATTCAAGTGGATAACCCGGCTTCAAAAACATCAATCACAAGTGTTGATGAACATTTGCATTTTAATATTGTTCAAAGGAATATATAAAAATAACAAATACATGAACATATTGACAGGGTTAAAATAAAACTAATTTGGATGGGGGAAAATACAGAATGGCATCTCACACATATCTGATTATCCACTACAATAGAGTATGCAGTGGAAACAGTTTGCAGTTAGTTTTCTCTCCGTTTCCTGTCCGTCACTCATCCAAAACATATTGTACCCTCTCATGGTTTACATTTCCTTTTGCAACAGATATGCTGCTCATATGAAACCTCAATATGGTAAATGGTTTACAAAAAATACTTTATACGACAAAATATATGTACAGCGTAAACACTGCTTTGCTCCAAAATAAAAGAAAAATTAATGTCAGTTTCCTTTCATAGGTTAGAACAATGTAACATGTTGAAGCATAATGTAACAGAAGTTTTGAAAGTCCTGAAGAAATATGTTTCATGTTTTTGTGATCTGTATTTTACTTTATTTACGTAAGTACGCAGTTAATTTAACTACAAATACGGCAATCTACGGTGGGAAAGCGTCATGAAATTCTATTCATGAATTACTCTCTACTGAATATGTACACATGCATATTGTGGACAACTTTAAGTGTAATCGGAATTCAACAGTAAAGATACTATCCACAATAAAGTAAAATGCTTCAGAATATCTGAGGTCCAAACATATATGCCAACGAGGATTTTTATAAGATATTTTTTCAGAATTGCACAGGCTCATGACACAATTTGTGTAACTTGCTTCTATTCTAAAGCTTGACATATTCCTGCCAGTGACATTGAAAAGTGATTACACACTTGCATTTTTGAAACTATAGAAGGCCCCATATATATTACGTTTATATACGTCCATATTAAATGATAAATGCTAGTTTCACTCATTCATTTTGAATGGAATAGCCATTATATACAAACTCAATTAACTTATACAGTATATATTGTCTTAAAGTACGTTACGCACCTCTGTTGATGAAACTTTAAAAGCCTTTAAAGCCCCAGTGCAGTCAAAAATGTAATTTTCCTGTGTTTTATATATATTTCCACACTATGAGGTTGGAATAATACTGTGAAATTGTGAAAATGATGGTAATGCCCTTCTAGTGTAAGAGCTGTTTGAAAAGACCGTCCTGAAATTTCAGCCTGTTTTGTTGAGAGGGAGTTTTGGCCTTCCATGGTGACATCACCATGCAGTAAATTAGTTACTAGACCAATAAGAAAGAGCTCCAAACCTCTCTGTCAATAACAGCTAATTTTGTTTTCCCCTCACTCAAACCCCTCACAGACTGTCCTAGCAACATTATTGCTTGAGAAATTGCTCATTGCTAATAAGCTATTTTTGTTAATTTTTGACCATTTTAATTGAAAACAATCACAATATGGTACTTAATTGTTACCCAGAAATTATTTGATTTTGAGATAAAAACATCTGCATTGGACCTTTAAAAGACTTCCAAAGCCTTATCAAAAACATAAATAAATTAACAGTCAGTTGCTGACATTCCTGTGAAGTAGATGATCCTTAATCAATGATTTTACCATCTAGTTCTTATCGGAAGTTACGACAACCTACTTCTGAGCTATTCTCCTCACTCAATCTTGGGACTTTAACTATTGACACATTATGTAAACCCAACTCCTCAGTCTCATCTTTCAGCCACAAAGAAAAGCAAGCCTCACACACAGCCAAACTATCAACAAGCTCTCATATATACGTATCATCCTGTACTCACAAAAACATGACCTAATCACTGCGCTTTCACAAAACAAGCATAAGGCCACACATGATGAACATAGGGAACTCAAACTCGGTCTATTTCGAAAGGAATGACATTCAGTGCTTTAGAGGTCCGATTCAGTAAGGCTTTCATCAGCCCCCTTTTTTTTTGGGGCACACAAGAACAGGGGCACCCACGCATGCTGACGAACAGAAACACATGTGCACCATTAGAATGACTCTGGGTCCCACACACACACACACACACACACACAGTCTTGCATAACAACAACAATGTCCCTTGAGGCTTGTGTTGATGTTTTTCCCCCTACATTCCAGTTGTGCATAAAGTCAACAGTGTCCTGTTTAGAATTAAACCACCTACCACATATTCATCCAATTAAACTGTACATCAGATATCAGATACAGATGAATGCCAAGTGTAAGTGTTCGTTAAATATCTTAATGGGAAAGAAGATTAGAAAGATGGACTCTTTAGCACCGTTCATACCAAACCAGACCCTGCAATATCCCAGGTAATTTGGCCGTTCCTGGGTCAGATAACCGGCAAAGCCTCCCCTCAGTCCTCAACTATAACCCAGGACACCAAGCAACAATATCCTGGGTTTGGTATGAAAGGGGTTGTTGCTGTGACTACTTGAGACTACCCAGTTTCTTGGGCGTGCCCTGTTTCTTGGTCTGCCACAGGTGGGGGGCGATGGTGATGGCGTCTACACTAGCCGACATTGTCTTGGCAGGGATGTGGCTGAACTGCTTCCTGTCTGAGTTATATTTGTACAGGCCCTCGATCATCTTGGCCGTGATGCTCTTGGGCCCAATGCCCGCCAGCTTGGTGATTTCCTCCGTCTCAGGGCAGTAGGTGTACACCGAGCGGAACTGGCAACCTGTGTCTCGGAACATCACCAGGAAGTTGTTGGCCCCCGACCTCTCCATTTCCTGAAAGAGATAGTGGAGGAGAAGAAAGGAACAAACATGAGGTAAAAGAGTAAAGTAAAATGAAAGAGATAGAAACATAGTGTGTACAGCAAATTGCCTACATCTATTATCTTATTCTTCTGTCCTTCGTTGACCTTGCCCGCAAGGCAGCAGTGGGCCAGGGCGTTCTGGATGATATGCTTGTTGGACTTGGCACTGGGCTCCTTGTACAGCTTTGGCCCTGAGGGAAGAAGCGAATACCAGCATAAGTAATGCAGTGACAAACCAACAGAAACTCACAACCCAGCCTGTTCTACACATGGACTACATAGCTCCGGTATGCTGCAATAGTTTGGTCTTCTTTTGAAAGCAGAATACCGTGATTGTAGTGGAGCGGTCCGTACCTGTGTACTCTTGGTTGGAGGGAGTGGAGGAGGTTGTGGACTCGTTCTCCCAGTCCTTCTCTCCGTTACGAGACGGGCAGGACGACAGATTGCCCTCCGCAGAGTCTGGCCTAGCAGAGTCTGGCCTAGCAGAGTCTGGCCTAGCAGAGTCAGGCCTGGGGATGCACACACACACACACACACACACATATACAGTACGAGTGACACATACAAATACACATGTACGGACACACACACAATAACAGATACACATTCACAAAAAACACAGACATATCCATATACACCACATATACACAGACACAGAGACACACAGAGAAACAGGGTCAGACACAGACACAGTTCTCCCAGGCAGACTTCCCTGTTCTCTCATATTACATCATCCACAGTGATCACTGTGTGTCTGGGATCAGATCAGAGGCATGTGCAGTGGAGCAAAGCAAAGCTATAGTACAGTCCAATCATTATGGCTGCTAGGATATGGAGAAGAGACACTGCAGTATGCAACAGCAGCTTTAGGCAACTGTACAGTGACAAGACAGAATACCACTGTAGCAGCCACACTCATGTCCCAGGCCCAGGCTCATTCATGTCCTAATTGGGGTTAGCATTAGTGTGTACCCTAGCTTGAAGTCTCTGCATACAAAACAAAAGACCTGTGATCCATGTGATGTGATTCTGGACATCAGCTAGAGCCAGCATGGCTGTGGAAGTTACCGTGCCTGGGACGGGAGAGCGCCTGTCTGCTGCAGCTTGGATGGCTCTGGCACTGGGTCTAGTCTAGAGGTAACAACCACAGACAGCAGCTTAACGTAGAGCAGCTAGCATGGAGCAGCTAGCATGGAGCAGCTAGCATGGAGCAGCTAGCATGGACCAGCCTCGGAGCAGAGAAAGGGCAGAGTCGGTGAGGCAGGAGTGGAGGCAGGAGGCTGGGTATGTATGAAATGAGGCAGAAGCAGCTGTCCCAGCTAACAAGGAACGTAACTGAGACATTTGTAACATTCCCCTTAAGTCTTCCAGAGGTACTGAATGTCATAGCCCGTTTGGGACATTATAGGCACATTCATAACGTTTCTAATAAGTATTATAGAGGTTATAAATATCAGGTCGCTATACAGACATCATGGGAACATTTAAAACGTTCCTTGGTAGTCCATGAAAGGTTCTGAATATCATGTTATTTTGGAGATATCGTAGGAATATTTCATAATGTCACATTTAGAGCTATGGTTTGTCTTCATATAACGTTAAAATCAGAATGATAGAAATACATTTTGGAACATCGTCTGTAAGTTTCACAATAACGTTATCATGACTTATGTGGGGACCCAAATAACTTTGTGGTCACGTCCTGGAACGTAATTTTGTTAGCTGGAGTGGTCCTGAGCAGAAAGTTTCTTCTGTTTTAAAGGAGGTAATTGGCCAACACTTAACTGATACAGCAGGAATGTGAAATAACACATCCAGTTCATACTCAGTATGAATGTTGGTGTACTGTATGTGGCTTGCTCAAACATTATTCATAAATACAGTACCAGTCAAAGGTTTGGACACACCTACTCATTCAAGGGTTTTTCTTTATCTTTACTATTTTCTACATTGTAGAATAATAGTGAAGATATCAAAACTATGAAATAACACATATGGAATCATGTATTAACCAAAAAAGTGTTAAACAAATCTAAATATATTTGAGATTTGAGATTCTTCCAAGTAGGCTCCCTTTGCCTTGATGACAGCTTTGCACACTCTTGGCATTCACTCAACCAGCTTCACCTGGAATGCTTTCCAACAGTCTTGAAGGAGTTCACACATACAGTGGGGGAAAAAAGTATTTAGTCAGCCACCAATTGTGCAAGTTCTCCCACTTAAAAAGATGAGAGAGGCCTGTAATTTTCATCATAGGTACACGTCAACTATGACAGACAAAATGAGATTTTTTTTTCCAGAAAATCACATTGTAGGATTTGTTATGAATTTATTTGCAAATTATGGTGGAAAATAAGTATTTGGTCAATAACAAAAGTTTCTCAATACTTTGTTATATACCCTTTGTTGGCAATGACACAGGTCAAACGTTTTCTGTAAGTCTTCACAAGGTTTTCACACACTGTTGCTGGTATTTTGGCCCATTCCTCCATGCAGATCTCCTCTAGAGCAGTGATGTTTTGGGGCTGTCGCTGGGCAACACGGACTTTCAACTCCCTCCAAAGATTTTCTATGGGGTTGAGATCTGGAGACTGGCTAGGCCACTCCAGGACCTTGAAATGCTTCTTACGAAGCCACTCCTTCGTTGCCCGGGCGGTGTGTTTGGGATCATTGTCATGCTGAAAGACCCAGCCACGTTTCATCTTCAATGCCCTTGCTGATGGAAGGAGGTTTTCACTCAAAATCTCACGATACATGGCCCCATTCATTCTTTCCTTTACACGGATCAGTCATCCTGGTCCCTTTGCAGAAAAACAGCCCCAAAGCATGATGTTTCCACCCCCATGCTTCACAGTAGGTATGTCCTCCAAACACGACGAGTTGAGTTTTTACCAAAAAGTTATATTTTGGTTTCATCTGAGCATATGACATTCTCCCAATCCTCTTCTGGATCATCCAAATGCACTCTAGCAAACTTCAGACGGGCCTGGACATGTACTGGCTTAAGCAGGGGGACACGTCTGGCACTACAGGATTTGAGTCCCTGGCGTCGTAGTGTGTTACTGATGGTAGGCTTTGTTACTTTGGTCCCAGCTCTCTGCAGGTCATTCACTAGGTCCCCCCGTGTGGTTCTGGGATTTTTGCTCACCGTTCTTGTGATCATTTTGACCCCACGGGGTGAGATCTTGCGTTTGAGCCCCAGATCGAGGGAGATTATCAGTGGTCTTGTATGTCTTCCATTTCCTAATAATTGCTCCCACAGTTGATTTCTTCAAACCAAGCTGCTTACCTATTGCAGATTCAGTCTTCCCAGCCTGGTGCAGGTCTACAATTTTGTTTCTGGTGTCCTTTGACAGCTCTTTGGTCTTGGCCATAGTGGAGTTTGGAGTGTGACTGTTTGAGGTTGTGGACAGGTGTCTTTTATACTGATAACAAGTTCAAACAGGTGCCATTAATACAGGTAACGAGTGGAGGACAGAGGAGCCTCTTAAAGAAGAAGTTACAGGTCTGTGAGAGCCAGAAATCTTGCTTGTTTGTAGGTGACCAAATACTTATTTCCACCATAATTTGCAAATAAATTCATTAAAAATCCTACAATGTGATTTTCTGTTAAAAAAAAATCTCAATTTGTCTGTCATAGTTGACGTGTACCTATGATGAAAATTACAGGCCTCTCTCCTCTTTTTAAGTGGGAGAACTTGCACAATTGGTGGCTGACTAAATACTTTTTTCCCCCACTGTATATTGAGGTCGGGTGATTGTGGAGGCCAGGTTATCTGATGCAGCACTCCATCACTGTCCTTCTTGGTCAAATAGCCCTTACACAGCCTGGAGATGTGTTGGGTGATTTTCCTGTTGAAAAACAAATGATAGTCCCACTAAGCGCAAACCAAATGGGATGGCGTATCGCTGCAGAATGCTGTGATAGCCATGCTGGTTAAGTGTGCCTTTGAATTCTAAATACATCACCGACAGTGTCACCGGCAAAGCATCTCCACACCTCCTCTTCCATGCTTCACGGTGGGAACCACACATGCGCAGATCATCCGTTTACCTACTCTGCGTCTCACAAAGACACGGCATTTTGGAACCAAAAATCTCAAAAATCATCAGACCAAAGGACAGATTTCCACCGGTCTAATGTCCATTGCTCGTGTTTCTTTGCCCAAGCAAGTCTCTTCTTCTTATTGGTGTCCTTTAGTAGTGGTTTCTTTGCAGCAATTTGACCATGAAGGCCTGATTCACGCATTCTCCTATGAAGAGTTAATGTTGAGATGTATCTGTTACTTGAACTCTGTGAAGCATTTATTTGGGCTGCAATTTCTGGCTGGTAACTCTAATGAACTTATCCTCTGCAGCAGAGGTAACTCTGGGTCTTCCTTTCCTGTGGCGGTCCTCATGAGAGCCAGTTTCATCATAACACTTGATGGTTTTTGCGACTGCACTTGAAGAAACTTCTTGAAGTTTTCCAGATTGACTGACATTCATGTCTTAAAGTAATGATGGACTGTCGTTTCTCTTTGCTTATTTGAGCTGTTCTTGCCATAATATGGACTTGGTCTTTTACCAAATAGGGTTATCTTCTATATACCAACCCTACCTTGTCACAACACAACTGATTGGCTCAAATGCATTAAGAAGGAAAGAAATTCCACAAATTAACTTTTAACAAGGCACACCTGTTAATTGAAATGCATTCCAGGTGACTACCTCATTAAGCTGGTTGAGAGAATTCCAAGAGTGTGCAAAGCTGTCATCAAGGCAAATGGTGGCTACTTTGAAGAATCTCAAATATAAAATATATTTTGATTTGTTTAACACTTTTTTGGTTACTATATGATTCCATATATGTTATTTCATAGTTTTGATGTCTTCACTATTATTCTACAATGTCGAAAATAGTAAAAATAAAGAAAAACCCTGGAATGAGTAGGTGTGTCTAAACTTTTGACTGGTACTTTATATGTGAGTGTGTACATGGGTTATTTAGATAGATTATGTTAGGTATGGCTACATGGAATTTTTCTCAAAGATATTACCTCAAGTAAAAGCGGATTAATTGATCAATCTGGACTGTGATGCACTGAGATGAAAGTCTAGATGAAAGTCTAGATGAAAGTCTAGAAGAAAGTCTAGATGAAAGTCTAGGCCCTAGGCTGGTCTAGGGAGGGACCTTACTAACCTTCCCTTTCTCTCTTTGGGAGAGCTTAGAAAGAAAGAGATATGGCCTCTCACAGTGCCTAGTTTACTGCTTCTGGGAGGTCCGTGCAAAACAGAGGGAAAAAACAGAGAGCGAAGAGGGAGAGAGAAGATCAAGAGAGGGAAAAAACATTTTGGTTGCATTACCTAGACAAGTCATAAGACACATTAATGTCCTCTTGTAGAAGTATTCATGCTTTTGATGCTCTGTAAGGTATTTTTTGTCTCGTCGCCAGCCTGGGTGCCAGTCTGTTTGTGCTTTAGTCAACTCTTTTGACGTTGCCATGCTAAAGGAGTTGGCTAAACTGTATGGTCTTTTTACAGTTTTTCTCAATCGCGTACAAGCATTTTTTTTGGAACAATGTTGTCGATTTTCAAAACAGAGTCCACAAGACACAGAACTCTGTGGCCTTTTGAAAAACATTAAATGGGTTTTCAAAACATAGTTATCTTCTCAAAACATAAATACATTCATCAAAACTATATTATACTGTCAAAATTGCAAATACATTCAACAATAGAACACGACTTCCTGCAAAAAGATTAACACAACCATACGTATCTCTTGAGTCCAAGCAGAAAAAATGCCTTTTAAAAGTCCAAGTAGATCAATACACCACTGGGCAAAAACAGGCTGAATCAACATTGGTTCCACGTAATTTCAACAAAAACATTAGATGTAATGACGTTGAATCAACGTGGAAAACTGATTGGATTTGCAAAAAGTAATCAAAGGAAGGGAATTTTGTCCTTTTCACCTAAATTCAATGACATTGTGACATTTTTTGTTGAATTCACGTTAGTTGACAACTCAATCAAATGTAAATCAAAACTAGACGTTGAACTGACGTCTGTGCCCAGTGGGATTTTCTTTGCAGTCACTGTATCATGATGATCAAAATTGGAAGTACAACTATCCAAAGGTGCAGAATTTTGGGCAATTACTGTCCTTTTGTGCCTATTTCACCAAACAATTTCATACACATCAAATTACATATATAAAGCATAAAAAATAATTGTGCAGGATTCATTCATCGGTATCATCACAATCCATATCCATGTATTCAATACATAGGCTGGTTTGCTCATAGTTTTGTAGACTTTCCATTGGTGCACAAACACAATCCACAATATAAATAAGGAAAGGTGAATATAATGGAGGAACACAACTGGTCCCGTGTGGCTCAGTTGGTAGAGCATGGCGCTCGCAGTGCCAGGGTTGTGGGTTTGATTCCCATGGGGGACCTGTACGAAAATGTATGCACTCACTAATATAAATGACTCAAATGTAAATATGAATATATAGGTCTCCAACCACACCAAAGCTCTTAAATGTAGGTCACAATGTTGGAGATGATGACTTAGCAGTAACCCAACTATTCTCTGCCTGTCCGAAACATTTGACAGTTCCCATTGCCTAGATCTTTCCCTATATTGTACATGTATGACACTGATGGGATGATTTAAAATGTTGTGCAGTAGTATGAAAACAATGTGTTAATATTCTGTGAACAAAACACTTAACAGTGAATTTGATATTTGATACGTTTTGCAAAAGGTGGTCTAAGATATGCAAGTCAGGTACAAAGGCACATTTTTTTCAGAAGTTCTTTAAATGTATTTAAGCATTTGATCATCGCTGTTCTGCTATAGATACATTTCAACACAGACCCCAAAATTGCTTGTACGCGATTGAGAAAAACTGTAATCAGGCAATTACTGGCCTCACCTGGGGATCCTCTTATCTCCGGCGTTGCTGTCGTTGTCAGCCAGGTTGAGGGAGGCCAAGGACATGCTGGAGACTGAGAACCCACGCGGTCGAGTACCTGGACAAGGTAAACACAGAAGACATGTTTGAGTGTGTGTGTGAATATATGTGTGTACTAAATACACATATGTCACAGGAGGTTGGTGGCACTTTAATTGGGGAGGACGGGCTCGCGGTAATGTCTGGAGCGGAATGGGTGGAATGGTATCAAATACATCAAACACATGGTTTCCAGGTGTTTGATGCCATTCCATTCACTCCAGCCATTATTATGAGCTGTCCTCCCCTCAGCAGCCTCCACTGATATACGTGTAAAGTGTGTGTGTATGCGTTTGTGTCTATCTATAGTGTGTGTGGGGGTGTGTGTGTTTAAGAGTGTGTGTGTTACCTGTGGCTCTGGCGGGGGGCTTGGGTGACTCCATGACATCCCTGTGCATGGATTTGGGGCGGGGCTTCTTTTTGAGACTTCCATGGCGGGGCCTGACATCCATATCCTCCACCTGCTTCAAATGTTTCCTCCTCATGTACTCGTTCTTTATGTAATCTTTCCTCTGCTTTTCGTCCTCTCTCTTCTGCTGCTCCTCCTCCGCTTTCAGCCTATGGAAGAGGGACAGGAGAGACGAGAAGCTTCAATCCTTATTACCCAATTAAAGAGAAGTTACTAAGAGGCACATTTTCACTTAGTCACCCATTGACAACAATGCATGACTAAATCTGAAGTGTAAGTTAGGATTCGCCACTCACTGAATGAAATCGAAGTAGCTTGGATCTGAAAACAACCCCTAATGGTAGTTTTCAGACCAAGCATAACAGTGGAAAAGGTACAGGGCCCTTGAGGTCCACACTGACCGTGCTTCCTCCTTCTTCTGCTCCTGCTCCAGCTCCTGTTGCTGTTTCTTCTCCTGCGTCTCCTTCTCTCTCCTCAGCCTCTTCTCCAGCAGTGCAGCTCTCTTCAGTGCCATGTCCTCCTCTCCCTTCCCATCATCCTGGAGGGGTGTGGGGTGGAGACAGAGTCGGAGATATATAAATAGGTTGGCAAACTGTGTTTTTGACGTTTAGAATTTGAATGGCTGCCACCTTGACATCAAAATTCTCCTTTGAGTGGAAATTGTAATCTTGTTGTCATGGAACATTTTGTGCCAACATGAAGGGTAGTTTGCAGGACCTAAGTTATTTTTAGCGCCAGACAAAATTAGATCAGACAGCATTGTCACATCCTCTCACTTCAAAAATCAACACTCATCCTCAGCTCGGATTGGTCAAATGCATGTCAGAGGGAATTCAGGCATACATTTCCATCATGGCAGATGAGTGTACAAAACATTAAGAACACCTGCTCTTACCATTACATAGACTGACCAGGTGAATCCAGGTGAAAGCTATGATCCCTTATTGATGTCACTTATTAAATCCACTTCAATCAGTGTAGATGAAGGGGAGGAGACAGGTTAAATAATTATTTTTAAGCCTTGAGACAATTGAGACATGGATTGTGTATGTGTGCCATTCAGAGGGTGAATGGGCAAGACAAAAGATTTAAGTGCCTTTGAACGGTGTATGGTAGTAGGTGCCAGGCACACCGGTTTGTGTCAAGAACTGCAACACTGCTGGGTTTTTCACGCTCAACAGTTTCCCTATGGAACGCTTTCGACACCTTGTGAAACTCAATATTAGGAAGGTGTTCCTAATGTTTGGTATACTCAGTGTATATGACCCATTTTAATCAGTAAAAGAGCATGTTGTACAATGTTGGCTTTATTTCCAGATATTTTCTGACTGGGATAATAACATTTGTGTCTTTTGAAGTTGAAAGCAGTTTTTTGCAGTTAGCTATCCCTTCTGTAGCAGCATACAGGAGCTCTGTCGGCTCCATTCTCCTAGCATAGCTCAGAAGTCTACTGCTCTAGCAGTAGTATGTGAGCTGTCTCACCCTTTGGCCTAGATACTGTACACACAATTACTGTCCCTGACCCAGATTAAGTCATAGTTTATGAGTCATTGCATAGTTCATGTTGTACTGTTACAGTACTTATGCTGTACACTTAACTTTAATATTTTACGATATCAAAAACGGATCAATGAAAACATTGTCGTAACATGCTACATACAGTACTTTTACCGTCATCTCACAATTCTGAAAATTACAGTGTAGCCCATTCTTACCTTGTAGAAGAACCCACAGCACATTTTCTGGTCCTCTCCGTACAGCTCTCCTCTGTTCTCCCCCTCTCCACTTTCTAGACCCTGTCCATCCAAAGACTTCAGCAATGACGGCGGCACCTCCATCAGGTCTCTCACAGGCTGAGACAGCACCTCTGCCAACTTCTCCGTTCTCCCTTCATCTCTCCTCTCCTCCTCTCTCTCCTTGGCTGGCTCTTTAGTGGGCGAGGAGGGATGAGCGCCTGCACTCCTTATCCCCGCCACCGCTACCTCTGTCTCAGGTGGTTTGGTTTGGTTTTGGGGCTCCTCTGCTCCCCCTGTGGCCCCAGGACCTTCATCATGTCCCAGGTAGGCAAAGGAGGTGACCTGGGTCTGGCTGGGTGAGAAGCGTCTCAGCCTAGGAAGACTGTCCACGGATGGTAGGGTGTTGAGCATCCGTCTAAAGGGGGTTACCTTGAGCTCGGTGGGGCGTGGGGTGCGTTGGGTGTGAGGGGTGCTGGCATGGAAGGAGGCCGGTCGGCGCTTGAGGCCGCCGGGGGAACGGTGGGCGGCGCGGGGGGAACCACCGGCTGAGGACAAGATGGGGGACAAGGACCCCACGGACCCCCGGCCGGTTACACTGTTGCTGCGGAGCTCCCGGAGCTGCCTGTAGAGAGCGTTTACATTTGCAAAGATAACTAACTAAGCAATAATAGTATTGTGATAACTGCTTTTATCACGATAAATGATGGATAATAGTATGATGATACATGGTTTTAGTTGAAATATCTTAACTTCATCAGATATTATACATACCTATTTTTAGTCTGCAATATCAATTATCATGCCAGTCTTGGGTACCATTTATGTGATATCGATGACCATACCTGTGCGGTGAGGGTGCTGGAGGAGGTATGACCCAGGCTTGTTGCTGTTCCCTCATAGCCATGATCCTGTCCTGCTGCTGGGCCAGCCGCTGCATCTCAGTCTGCAGGAACCCCAGGGACGTGTTCAGCCTCTCGATGGAGCGAGTGTACTCACCCAGGTCCACCTCTCCACCCCCGACACCTGCAGCAAGACACAGCGGACACCTCTAGTTTATAAGGTGGGTATTACACATGCATAAAACAGTACGCGTAAAACAGTACACATGCTCCCTAGCCTGGCCCTCTATCATTTTGTGCTGTCTTGCCAATTGGTAATTGTCAAGCCAACGTTGGCAACACAGCACAGAACTGGGACCATTCTTTTTGCTCCAAAAAGTAGAAAACGAAAGTAGAAAACAAGGATTGGTTTCATCAGAAGCTATAGTGGTGAACTACCTGCACCCTCCTCACAGGGGGACTTGGGAGCGGCTCCGTCGGGCTTGCACCTCTCCGCCTGACTGAGGCTGCCAGAAAGGGTGAGGAAGGGATCTGGGGAGGGTTTGTCCAGGTCTGGGCCCCCAGGGATGGGGCTGGTGGGGGAGGGGGAGGGGGTGACCCCTTTCCTTCGCACCACGTTGAGGAAGGCTGTCTGACCCATCTTCTGACGATGACGGGTGAACGCTGCCTCAACCTGAAACAGAGGAAAAATGTCTTATTATTTCAGCAATTTTTTTTGATAACCAATGAACATACCAAATTATCCAACAAGATGAAGTGAACTCGCATCATTTGATTGGACTGCTCTTTTAGAAAACCTGTAGTAGTGCTTGAGGACCAGAGTTTTGTTATTTTTCCTACATTTTGGATTGTACATTGAGGGTGCGTCTGATATGGCACCCAATTCCCTACACAGTGCACTACTTCTGACCAGAGCCCTATGGAAATAGAGAACAGGAATCCCTAGGGAATAGGATGCCATTTCAGACGCAGCAAAAGACAAGAAGCTCTATGAAGCGTTATAAGCCTATACCTTCTTCTTCTGGGCCTCGATGGCTCTGCGTTTCTCCTCCAGCTTCATCTTCAGGTGCACCATATCTGACGACAACAGGTGGGTGTGGTCTCTGGGAGAGGGCATGGCCGGGGTCTGGCCTGGGTGGGTGGGGCTGGAGATCTGAGAAGGAGAGAGAGAGAGAAGTTGAGAGGGTGAGAGGTACGAGAGGGGTAAGAGAAAAGCAAAAGAGAAATACGGAGTAGGAAAAGGGAGTTGAGAGAGAAAAAGAGTGACAGAGTAATAGATCAATGGAGAGAGAGAGCGAGAGTCCAAGACAGCAACATAGTAACAGAGAGAGAAAGAGAGGTAGAGTTTTCTCTACTGACCTCGAGCGTGGCAGTTCGTAAGGGGGGCGTGTTGGGAACGTTGAGCTCAGCACTCTCGGGGGTGGTCCCTCCGCTGCTCCGCCCCTCCAGCTTACGGAACTTCTGCTCGGCGAAGCTGGTCATGCGAACCACTCCGCCGCCAGAGCCACCCGAGGACGAGGCAGGGCTGGGAGCGTGAGACAGAGGGGCTGGAGACACCGAGCTGGGGTATGGGCTGCTCCTCTCGCCCCTTTCTCCATTCCCCTCTGGTAAGGGACAGGATCGGGTCATAGCCTCATAGTCAGGGTCCATATCAGAGTAGTCCCTGATAGAAGAGTTGTCCTCGTCCAAACTCTCCTGGATGTCCTCCGTCCTCACGTGGATCCCCGTGTCAACTTCCTCCGTAGAGGCTGAGTAGGGGTCGGCCTCGTCTGCCCGGGCCTTAGCCGATCCTGGGTAGTCATCAGGGTCGTCCCCTGGGTCTGAAGGTTCAACTCCATCGTGGAGGAAGAAGCCGTTGGCCCCGGGCCGCAGACTGCCGTGGGGCCTCTCTGTGTCGTGGATGATCTTCAGAGCCTCCTCGATGCTAGGAGGGGTCGACGGGCTGACGGGGCCGCTGCCGCCATTGCCGTTCTCTTGGAGAACGCCATTGGAATATCTAGATTGACAGACCGGTATGATAATTTATTAAACATTTTAATCCATAGAAACTAACAGTTAGAAACATATTTAGATTCAGTATATGTGTCCTACCATCAATAACTCGGATGTCCTACCATCAGAGCCATCATAAGTACCTGTTCCGGTTCTTGTGTGGCTGAGTCTGCCCGCGCCCCAGTGCTTTGTGGGAGTCTGGTGAGTCCCTGTTGTAGTCCTCCTCAGGTATGTGTCCGGCGGTGCTGCTCTGGCCGTTGACGCTGACCGGCTGAAAGGAGAGGTGGCGCCTCATGTCCCCCTGGTGTGCGTGATGAACTTTGAACCCACCCAGGCCCTCGGTGCTGGCAGAGCGGGTAATGCCCCGGAGGGAGGGACCCCCACAGGGAGGGACGCTAGGATCCCCGTCCAAAGGAATCTCAAAGGAGATGCCCCTAGACCGTCTCTCCTTAGGCCATGTCCCCACACAGCCATCCACATAGGACATGGATGCTGACCTCTTTATCACACCTGCCCGAAACACCGAAAAAAGAGACTAAATCAAAGAGAACCAGTAGTAGTTCAGAGTCTTCAGACAATGTTTGTGATTCTGAGGGAAGGGGTAGTTCCTGTGTTCTTACCTGAAGCAGAGTCTGGTTGAAGCCTGAGAGAGAGCGAGAGAGAGAGAGAGAGAGAGAGAGAGAGAGAGAGAGAGAGAGAGAGAGAGAGAGAGAGAGAAAGTATTACGATAAAGTTCAAATGCATACCTCCTGTCACTGCCAAGTTGAACTACGCTCAACCTATCACAAGCTTGTTCAATAAGGGAAAATTAAATAACTACAGGTTATTACATTTGTCCACTCAATATTAAAATCATACCTTTTGTGTTCTGGGCTGTCCCCAAAGTCCTGTTTGGCTGGGCTACAGATAGGAGCCATAGTCCTTGCTGACGGGGCTAGATCACAGACTGCTGACAAACAAACAGCAATCAGTCAGGATACTCAAGTCAATAAAGGTATTTGACGTGACCTGAATTCTGGTGAAAACTGAAATATACTGTGATATGTCAATGCAGTTGATTATCTTCATTATCTTTTCATCATCATCATCATAATCTTCAGCGTCATCCTTTTTGGCTTTCCCACACCAATATCCTTACCTTGTGGGTCAAAGACTCTGGGCTGTACAAACGAAGGCTTCACCACTTCAAACCACCAGAACAGCTCTGCCATAAACACCAGGTAGTTATTCTGCAACAGGGCAAAACACACACAAGTTAGATACGGGCAAAGAAAATGTAATACAACCAAATACCTGCATTTGTCCACATGGTGCCTCTGTTAAGACAAGTCACATAGGAGGCAAAATACAGAAAGTATTCACACCCCTTGACTTTTCCCACATTTTGTTGTATTACAGCCTGAATTTTAAATGGATTAAATTGAGATGTTGTGTCACTGGCCTACACACAATACCCCATAATGTCAAAGTGGAATTATGTTTTTAGAAATGTTTGCAAATTAATAAGAAATGAAAAGCTGAAATGTCTTGAGTCAACAGTATTCGACCCCTTTGTTATGGCAAGCCTAAATAAGTTAATGAGTACAAATTTGCTTAACAAGTCATATAATAAGTTGCATGGACTCACTCTGTGTGCAATAATAGTGTTTAACATGATTTTTGAATGACTACCTCATCTCTGTACCCCACACATACAATTATCTGTAAGGTCCTTCAGTCGAGCAGTGAATTTCTAACACAGATTCAACCACAAAGACCAGGGAGGTTTTCCAATGCATCGCCAAGAAGGGCACCTATTGGTAGACGGGTAAAAATAAAAAAATCAGACAGAATATTCCTTTGAGCATGGTGAAGTTATTAACTACACTTTGGATGATGTATCAATACACCCAGTAACTACAAAGTTACAGGCGTCCTTCCTAACACAGTTGCCGGAGAGGAAGGAAACCACTCATATTTCATCAATTTTGAATTCAGGCTGTAACACAACAAAATGTGAAATAAGTCAAGGGGTATGAATACTTTCTGAAGGTACAGTGACTGAGGTCAGGGATAGCAGGTACAGCTGCCTCTGAGATGCCTTTGTTGCTAGGTACAGTGAGGGAAAAAAGTATTTGATCCCCTGCTGATTTTGTACGTTTGCCCACTGACAAAGAAATGATCAGTCTATAATTTTAATGGTAGGTTTATTTGAACAGTGAGAGAGAATAACAACAAAAAAATCCAGAAAAACGCATGTCAAAAATGTTATAAATTGATTTGCATTTTAATGAGGGAAATAAGTATTTGACCCCCTCTCAATCAGAAAGATTTCTGGCGCCCAGGTGTCTTTTATACAGGTAACGAGCTGAGATTAGGAGCACACTCTTAAAGGGAGTGCTCCTAATCTCAGTTTGTTACCTGTATAAAAGACACCTGTCCACAGAAGCAATCAATCAATCAGATTCCAAACTCTCCACCATGGCCAAGACCAAAGAGCTCTCCAAGGATGTCAGGGACAAGATTGTATACCTACACAAGGCTGGAATGGGCTACAAGACCATCTCCAAGCAGCTTGGTGAGAAGGTGACAACAGTTGGTGCGATTATTCGCAAATGGAAGAAACACAAAATAACTGTCAATCTCCCTCAGCCTGGGGCTCCATGCAAGATCTCACCTCGTGGAGTTGCAATGATCATGAGAACGGTGAGGAATCAGCCCAGAACTACACTGGATGATCTTGTCAATGATCAAGGCAGCTGGGACCATAGTCACCAAGAAAACAATTGGTAACACACTACGCCGTGAAGGACTGAAATCCTGCAGCGCCCGCAAGGTCCCCCTGCTCAAGAAAGCACATATACAGGGCCATCTGAAGTTTGCCAATGAACATCTGAATGATTCAGAGGAGAACTGGGTGAAAGTGTTGTGGTCAGATGAGACCAAAATCGAGCTCTTTGGCATCAACTCAACTCGCCGTGTTTGGAGGAGGAGGAATCCTGCCTATGACCCCAAGAACACCATCCCCACTGTCAAACATGGAGGTGGAAACATTATGCTTTGGGGGTGTTTTTCTGCTAAGAGGACAGGACAACTTCACCGCATCAAAGGGACGATGGACGGGACCATGTACCATCAAATCTTGGGTGAGAACCTCCTTCCCTCAGCCAGGGCATTGAAAATGGGTTGTGGATGGGTATTCCAGCATGACAATGACCCATAACACACGGCCAAGGCAACAAAGGAGTGGCTCAAGAAGAAGCACATTAAGGTCCTGGAGTGGCCTAGCCAGTCTCCAGACCTTAATCCCATAGAAAATCCGTGGAGGGAGCTGAAGGTTCGAGTTGCCAAACGTCAGGCTCAAAACCTTAATGATTTGGAGAAGATCTGCAAAGAGGAGTGGGACAAAATCCCTCCTGAGAAGTGTGCAAACCTGGTGGCCAACTACAAGAAACATCTGACCTCTGTGATTGCCAACAAGGGTTTTGCCACCAAGTACTAAGTCATGTTTTGCAGAGGGGTCAAATACTTATTTCCCTCATTAAAATGCAAATCAATTTATAACATTTTTGATGTCTTTTTCTGGATTTCTTTGTTGTTATTCTGTCTCTCACTGTTCAAATAAACCTACCATTAAATGTATAGACTGATCATGTCTTTGTCAGTGGGCAAACGTACAAAATCAGCAGGGGATCAAATACTTTTTTCCCTCACTGTAACTGATTGTGTGTATGTGTGTGTGTGTGTATGTGTATGTGTGTGTGTGTGTGTGTGTGTGTGTGTGTGTGTGTGTGTGCATGTGTAATTGGCAGCCTCATATTGCTATGTTACCTCAACTTCTAGTGTATAGTGGGAGAAGTGACGAAATACCATCTGGTATAGTTTAGTGTGCCATACACACCACATAGGGTGTAACCCAAATATGGTTTTATGCTTTTACTGATTTAATGGTAGAAACAGACTCTGGATACCTCCATAGAAGAGTCATTCACTTGTTGAGAGCCTTTTAAACCACATATTTTGACTGAGCCTCTCTCTCTACGGAAAAGAGCATCTCCATTGACCACAAAACTAAGACTGGACTTTAGATTCCAAAACATGGTTGCTTGGATATTCTCTTTGTATTGTTAGAGCTCTTGGACATCAAATCCAGTTTTGAGTCTAGAACACACTCCTCCACAAATAACGGGTGTGAACAGTGTCCCTTTTCACACACACACACACACACACACACACACTTTGGCTGGTTGGTTAGGGGTTCTGGAGGTTTGGCCAGTTGGGAGTTGGCTCTATGCCAGATGTTGGCTGCTCTTCAGGACCCGTTCTCTCACTCTCTGCCCCTGCCTGAGACACTCACTTGTAGCACTGTGTCCACTCTATACACACCCAGCAGTGCATGGTGTGTGTGTGTGTGTGTGTGCGCAAGCAACAAGCAGTCTATGGAAAAGACACAGTGTGCCAACGGTCAGGGGCAGGACCAGAATCCTAACTGTTTCTGACTAATGTTCCTATACCAGTGGAGGCTGCTGAGGGGAGGACGGCTCTTAATAATGTCTGGAATGGAGTCAATGGAATGGTATCAACCACATGGAAACCGCGTGTTTGATACCATTCCAGCTGTCCTCCCCTCAGCAGCCTCCACTGTCCTATACTACATGTTATGCATTCTGGGGGTCTATAACCAGGTTACATGGTTACATTACATGGTTTTCTATCAGTTTCCCTCTGTCCTGCCTCACATTGAAAACATCTCAGTTAAGTGATCAATTCTGTATGTATGATCAGTAAATCAGAACACATTCAGTAGTCTTTGTAGCACATAAAGAATCAACAGTTCTGCCATGTCAAATGAGAGTATGAGTCACTGTGTGTGTGTGTATGTGTGTGTGTGTGTGGGGCTATTCCAGAACAGAAGGGCCAAAGTGGGCCAAAGACTCCCCCTCAGACAAACAGAGGCTGCTTAGAGAGAAGTGTCATTCTACTTTCTCTGTGCCTGCCTCTCCCTGCCTCTCTTGTTCTGTTGTTTTGCCATTTTCTATCAAAGGAAGACAGAACTGTCTGTAAGGAACAGTCAGTGTGGCAAAATTGACCCCTCCTACACAAACACGCACACCCAAATCTCCTCCACCCACACAGAGTACAGTACACTAATACAGTGGTTCCCAACCTTTTTTGAACCATCGCACACCTTGATGGGATATAACATTCTGCGGCACATTGACAATTTCCTATAAATTTATTTAGTGATAATGACCGCCATCTCATCTGGTCCATACTGCAAACCATCTATTTTCTATTAGATTAAATAGGTTTTTACTAATTTGTGTGTACCCCTTTAAAAGCGTCCCGCGAATCTGCACCAGAAAAAAGAAAATGTAGCTCCGGTAAAATAGCTATTTAGTTTTGAACGCTGTGGAACGCTTAAAACACCTTGTAGAGTCCATGCCCGACGAATTGAGGCTGTTCTGAGGGCAAAATGATAGGGGGTACAACTCAATATTAGGAAGGTGTTCTTAATGTTTTGTACACTAAGTGAATATATATACTCTACCTCCAATGTCAACACCCGATTTCCCTCCCTACCCAACTAACCCAGTCTTGGCCCCTCCCATGTCCCCCCAGCCACCCCTCTGCACCCCCAACCCTCTGTCCTGTCCCCCCAGACCTCTTCCCCTGTCCCACACAACCTCCATGTCCCCCCCAGACCTTTTCCCCTGTCCCACACAACCTCCATCCCTTCCTGTCCCCCCAGCCCCCTACCCTGTCCCCCCCCCAGCCCCCCTTCTGTTCCCCATGGTCCTACCTTGATGGAAGAGTGGGCATAGAGCATGTCCTCCAGGGAGAAGTGGCAGCAGTGGTTGAGGCTGTCCCTGCAGAACTCCTGCACCAGCTGCAGGTTGTACAGACTGTCAGCCAGCGACAGGGTCTCCTTCAGACAGATATCTGGAGGGGCGGGGAGAGGAGAGAGCATAGGGGCGGGGTTAGTGTTTTTATCTTCAGAGGTTGGATTCGCATAGATTTGAAAAACTTCAGCAGTGCATCAATGGCTTTACTGTTCTTTACGCAGTATCTATTGAAAGTGCACTGGTCAGATTTATTTGTTAATTTTTTATGATTGTTATTTTATTATAAATGTTCCTTTTATATAGTACTTAGTATTATTTGTAGTGTTTGGCCAGAATAATGGTCAGAGGAGGCAGGGTTTGAAGGCAGGGGCGAGAACACAGAGGAACAGAGATGGTGATGTCATGATGGGGATAGCCCACGCAGACTAGAACAATCTGAAGAAGGATTGGACAGTGATGTCATCAGTCTACCAGATTCTTCAGGAAGTACAGTATTTCCACACTGGGAGCCAAATGGAACTTTAATTGAAATGGAACTGAATGAAACGATTGTTACAGCTGGGTCACATGTACTGTTAAAAATGGTTGTGTTATAGAATATTCACTCACTACCCAATCCTTCTTTACAGTATCTCATTCTAGCACACAGACATCTACATATGACTGGGCACTCACAGAAGGGGAGTGGTAATGTTTATCTTTCAAATAACAGTCAACGGTTCTCCTCTGTCTAAAGGACTGTGCTGCTGTCCTACTACTGACCAATCACATCTTAGCCTGGCCCTGGGGCATTTTTAGAACAGTGGGTGGAGGCTGGCTCACTGGCTACTGTCTCAACGGACTCCTTCTCTCTCTCATGTTATGTAAATCACTCAGGTTTAATGATTTAATAATAATATATACCATTTAGCAGACACTTTTATCCAAAGCTGGGGCTACCCCATACGTATATCTTTACATATGGGTGGCCCCAGCAGGATTCAAAACCCACAACCCTTGGCGTCCTCTATTGACACCGTTACCATTGAATAACATGTGTCATTGAATAAATCTGAACCTTATGGACCCTTTGACGGTATTGACGAAATTGTAAACATTGACTTCATCACTAGGGGCTAATCTTCTTTCCAACAGGATTCTTCCGTATCATATCTACTGGGCAGGATAGTGGATAAGCTATTCTCTGTGTGTCTGTGTGTGTGTTAACTATTCTGTGTTGGAGCTAGTCTAAGCTAGTCTGTTAGACTGCGGTTATGGTGATAAGGGGTAAAACAATATAGCTATTGATGCTACTGGTAACTTTTTCAATTTACAATTATTTCTTGAGCCCTAAGATGATTCTGTGCCCAAAGAGTCCCTCTGTAATACTTCAACAGCTGTTGTATGCATAATGTAACCTTGTAGCTATCATGTTTCTAGAAAATATATAGTTTGCTGTGAATGAATGCCCCTTTTTTTCTAATTCAATTCAGAATTCTGGCCTTATGCTCATCTGGTCAATCACTTGCGTAACGGCAGCCTAATGCACTTACCGTTCTGAGTGAGTGTGAGCTATAACTGATGCTGTTACTGTAACCTATTAGTATAAAGTAGGCCAACCAGAGAAGGCTACAGGTATGAAGTGATATGATAGCCCTCTTGTACCTTCCAGTCTGACAGACGTTGGGCAGTAGAAGTGGACGAGTGCGGCCAGGGCACAGCCGTCTGTGTTGTCCTTCAGCAGATTGTCCACCGGGGGGAGTGACGGAGCTGACCTCTGCTTAGCATGCTCCCTCCTGTAGCGGGCCTGCAGCCATGGCAACAACAGAGAGCGATGACAGGTCAGTGATATACAGTTAACCTATGGAATCAGAGCACGGAGAGGGACGTATGGGGATGTATATATAGGCTCCTCACACACAAATGTACACAAGCGGTCTTTGTCACGCACAGATGCGCACACACACACACACACACACACACCCTACAGTAGTTTAGTCTGGGGTTATTCAAGCATTGGAGGGTTCAGACTCAATTAAACAGGTAGTAGGGTGTCGCTGCATGCAAAGAAAACAGACTGTGGAGACTGACGGATCAACCAATGCCATCTTTGTAGGCTACTTGACATTGTCCTCTACGGCAAAGATCCTGTATCGTTGTTGAATGCAAAAACAGTCAGGCACCAAGGCTACACTTCCACTGGGTCTAAACTTGGATGAGTTAGTGTACTGTAATTACACTTAGGTGTGACTGAATCTGAATGTCCCTATTTCATCTATTGATTTATACTAGTCTCATGTTCCTACATGAATCGTTACGACCAGATCAATCTACTGTACTACAGTATCCAACAGGTATAAATCTCCTGTACTATGGTGTCCTGCAGTGTTGACTGGATGGAGGTAAGATTAAGTTCGCTGATCTGATCCATGGTAAGGTAAGGATAAGGGCAGGGTGATGATTTACAGTTTAATAAGCTGTTCTGACAGAGGGAATATGTTATATTTGAAGATTTGTCTCTCTCAGAGCCTATAAAACACACTGGTACCGCACCAGTACATCAACTGGTTCCCCTCTCTGCTCCCAGTCTGACCATTAATACAAAGGAACAGGCCGGGCATCCATTACTTTACTAGAGGAAAGAGTGGAAAAATCACACCAGCTCTTATTGCTTGATTTTCAAGAAGAGAGGAGCGCTTTGGGCGTTGTGTTGCGTTTTGTGTGATATAGTGGGTTGCTTACTATTGTTGTGCTGTACTAGCATTGAGGTGCAGTATGAGCATCTATATCCAGATGTTATACAGTAGATCTAACAAACAACATGGGAGGTAAGAGGGAAGGAATAGGGCGGAACATAATTGGAGGGTAGGGGAGACAGGGCTGCAGGTGGGATAGGGTAGGGGTAAGGGGCCAGGAGAAAGGGAGGGGGGGATCTGGGGGAGAAGGGCTGCAGGTGGGATAGGGTAGGGGTAAGGGGCCAGGAGAAAGGGATTAGGGAGTTTGGGGGAAAGGGAGGGGGGGATCTGGGGGAGAGGGAGAGGGAGAGGCTGATAGATTGACTTACAGGTACCAGTCTCCAATACCATTTGTCTGGAGCCTTGAGATAACAATGGACATGATGACAACAAGAGGAAGAGAGGGGAGAATCATTAGGCCTAGGAAGGCTCAGGACTACTGTATCCACACACATCATCCTGTGGGACATTTTGTATGTATTTTTGATGTTGTTTAAAAAAAATCATTGGTTCATGTATCAATTAATTTCACACAGTGGCCACAGGGACTCTCCCCCCCCCCCCCCACCAATCGCATCACAACACACACTCTGTCATCAGATCAAGTTCAAAGACTCTTCACAGTCATACACACAACCCTTAAATCGAGACGGTCTGAGGCTTTCCTCTGAGAAAGGGATTGTTTGTATTCAAGCAGTGACACTGCGTCCCAAATGGCACCCTATTCCCTATTTATTGCACTACTTTTGACCAGGGCTCATAGGGCTCAGGTCAAAAGTAGTCCTCTATGTAGGGGGATGTTGACCTCTTTACAGTGTGGCCTATCCAGTGACTAGACAACCCTGTCTGTGTTGACCCTGATAAAGGCAGTGATAGAGAGAGTTGGTTCTGACAGAGCATGTGCTACAGCAGCTAATTCGGAGCGTACAGCTCGTCTCTGGCTGAGGCTAACAAGCACGTCAAGGCCTCCCTTTATTCCCAGCAGGAACTCCTTGTTTTCTTACTTTGAAAAGGCTAGTATGTGTGGGAAGGAAGGGATCGGTGTGTGTGTGCGTGCGTGTGATAAAATCTCGCTCTTATTCTATGCTGATTGGCTGAAAGCTGTGGTATAACAGACTGTATACCATGGGTATGACACAACATCTTTTTTTTACTCTTCTGATTACGTTGGTTACCAGTTTATAATAGCAATAAGGCACCTCGGGGGTTTGTGGTATATAGCCAATATATCACGGCTAAGGGCTCCGCGTTGCGTCGTGCATTAGAACAGCCCCTAGCCGTGGTATATTGGCCATATACCACACCCCCTCGGGCCTTATTGCTTAATTAGATCATAGACATAGAGAGGACAGTTAGAGTAGGCAGAGTAGTAACTTTGTGATGAAGGATAAAAGGTCTTCTGATGTGATTTAGTTCCTGATGTAATTGTGTGGCTTCTCAATAGTTCCCCAGCTAACAGAGTTAAGCTCTGATCACAAGATGCTTACAACATTTGCCAAAGGATACAGTCAAAGGAAACTTATTGTTTGTTTACCCTTTATTTAACCAGGTAAGTCAAATATCTTTTACAGGGAAGTTCCCAGGTAACACAAAGTTCTGAGAACCATATGTTTCTTTGAGCTTGTTTAGGGCAGTGCTTAATTTGTAAATCGGGAGGTGCCAGAACAAAAAGTGAGCGCCAGAGGGTGTGACCTGGGGAGCTCTGAGGTACCGGAACGCATAAAATAAAAATCACCTTTATAATAAAGCATTGCATGCATTTAATCACATTTGCATAGTGGCATAGACCAGTAAGAGGCAATTACAAAAGTTGCACACAGGGGGACCATTTTTAATAGCCTAGGGTCAGGGGAAAATGTGGCTTTTTTTTAAACGCATTTCATGCAATTCTGCTTCATTTTACATGACTGGAGACTTTGGCAGAATCTTTAATACCGCAAAAATGATCGAAATGACAGGTGACTTTGTAAAAAAAACGACCTTGTCTTGTGGAGGCTAAAGGCCTATCTTACTCTTGTTTTACTTTGTAAAACAATATTTGGAAGTTGATCAAATATTTTGGTAGCCTACAGCAGACAGATTTTCTCTTTTCAACAGGAGCCATTTGCTTTCCAACCTGTGGTTTCCCGCAATTGTATTTGAAATATTGGGAAAGGCCTGTTTAGTCTGCATGCTGTTCACTATAACTTGTTATTGGGCTACACACAATCCACAGCTAAATTATAGGCCTTCTCATGGTGTAGTAGGCTATTGGGAATTATTTAATTTATTTCTGAACAGACAGCAGTAATTCTATAGCTTTAGCAAATGTATTTCAATTTATCAGAGGTGCTGAAGCTCCTCCAGAACCCTTCGCGCTGCTATGATTCTATAAGGAAATAAATGATCAAGTGCAATGCTGGAGCGATGAGAGTTGCAGGGAAAAGGAGAGAGATCATAGAAAGTGAATCTCATTCTAGTTCTGTGAGAGATACAGGTGTGACGAGATATGAAAGAAGGAGTCAGGCGCAGGAGGTAAAATACCGAAGTCCAGAGTTTAACCGTTTACATAAATCAAACGCCCCAAGCCTCAAACGAAACTATACAAGGGAAAACATCCACCTTGGCAATAACACAGTGAAACGTAGCTCAACCGAGCTACACGCTCTCACAACAAACAATCATTCACAAAGACAAGGGGAACAGAGGGAACACTTATACACATACTAATTAGGGGAATGAGCACCAGGTGTGTGTGATTGACAAGACATAACAAGTGGAGTGATGAGAATGGGATCGGCAGTAGCTAGTACTCCGGTGACGACGAATGCCGAAGCCTGTCCGAACCAGGAGGGGGGGCAGCCTTGGCGGAAGTCTCCTCCGCGCACCGAAACCAGTCATCCACCGCGGGAGCCTCGGTCTGGCTCTGGTGCCACGGTGCCAGGACCGGTTGGTAACCCAAAACACATTGGAAGGGTGTTAGGTTAGTGGAGGAGTGGCGGAGAGAGTTCTGAGCATATTCTGCCCATGGCAGGAACACCGACCACTCCCCCGGCCGGTCCTGACAGTAGGACCGCAGAAACCTACCCACATCTTGATTCACCCTTTCCACCTGCCCATTGCTCTCGGGGTGAAAACCAGAGGTCACGCTGACCGAGACCCCCAGACGTTCCATGAACACCTTCCAGACTCTAGACGTGAACTGGGGACCTTGGTCGGACACTATATCCTCTGTTACCCTGTAGTGCCGGAAGACGTGAGTAAACAGAGCCTCCGCAGTTTGTAGGGCCATGGGGAGACCGGGCAGAGGAAGGAGGCGGCAGGACTTTAAAAAGCGGTCCACAACAACCAGGATAGTGGAGTTACCTTGGGAGGGGGGAAGATCAGTGAGAAAATCAATACTTAGGTGAGACCATGGTCGTTGTGGAACTGGTAAAGGTTGTAGCTTACCCGCTGGGAGGTGCCTAGGTGCCTTACTCTGGGCGCACACTGAGCATGAGGAAACATACACCCTCACGTCCTTTGCCAAGGTAGGCCACCAGTACTTCTCGGTCAGGCAGCGCATTGTACGACCGATACCTGGATGACCAGAGGAGGGTGACGTGTGTGCACAGTAGATCAGACGATCACGGATAAGCGCAGGCACGTACTGCAGCCCAGCTGGTCACTGCGGTGGAGATGGATCTGTGTGTAATGCCTGCGCTATATCTGCGTCCATCGCACATACTACTGGCGCCACAATGCATGAGGCCGGAAGTATGGGGGTGTTGTCTCTGGGCCTCTCCTCTGTGTCATACAGCCGAGACAGTGCGTCTGCCTTCACGTTCTTCGTACCCGGAATGTATGAGAGTGTGAAATCAAACCGGGTGAAGAAGAGTGCCCACCTGGCCTGGCGAGGATTCACCCTTCAACAGGGAGGTAACGGGAACTGCGACCTTGCCAAAACCCTGAATAAACCTTTGATAGTAGTTGGCAAAGCCAAGGAAGCGCTGTACCTCCTTTACCGTGGTTGGAGTCGGCCAATTACGCACGGCTGCAATGCGGTCTACCTCCATCTCCACACCTGTGGTGGTAATGCGATATCCGAGGAAGGAGATTGACTGCTGGAAAAACTCACACTTCTCTGCCTTGGCATAAAGATCATTTTCCAGCAGTCGGACCAGTACTCTGCGAACCAGGGACAAATGCTCGGCGCGCGTAGCGGAATACACCAGGATGTCATCGATGTAGACCACCACACCGCGACCAAGCATGTCCCGAAACACCTCGTTCACAAAGGACTGGAAAACGGATGGAGCATTCATCAAACCGTAGGTCATCACCAGGTATTCATAATGCCCCGAGGTTGTGCTGAATGCTGTTTTCCACCCATCCCCTTCCCGAATACGCACCAGGTTGTAGGCACTCCTGAGGTCTAATTTGGTGAAAAAACGGGCCCCATGCATTGACTCAATCACTGAAGGAATGAGGGGAAGAGGATAACTAAATCGTACTGTCACATTATTCAGTGGTCAATAATCAATGCACGTGTGTAAACCGCCATCTTTCTTCTTCACAAAGAAGAAACTCAAGGAGGCAGGTGAAGTGGAGGGACGTATATACCCCTGGCGCAGGGACTCTGGGACGTATGTTTCCATAGCCTCCGTTTCAGCCTGCGACAGGGGATACACATAACTCCTGGGAGGTACAGCGTCTACCTGAAGGTTTATCGCACAATCCCCCTCCCGATGAGGTGGTCATTTAGTCGCTTGCGTCTTGGAAAACGCGAGTGCCAGATCATGGTATTCGGGGGGAATACGCACGGTGGGGGTACCGTCTGGACTTTCCACCGTGGTCGCACCAACGGAAACACCTAGACACCTAGGTTGTGAAGGGCTAACCACGGGATACCCAAGACTACAGGGTAAGCAGGAGACTCAATAATCATAAAGGTGATCTGCTCAACATGCGTCTCCTGCGTAATCATGGTGACTGGTACCATAACTTCCTTAACCAACCCGGACCCTAATGGTCGACTATCAAATGCTCTGATGGGGAGTGGAATGGTTAGGGGAACCAATGAAATGCCTTGACGGTGTGCAAATGCCCTGTCCATAAAATTTCCAGTTGCGCCTGAATCGACTAGCGCCTTACACTGGGAACCTACCAAGTGATCAGGAAAGGATAGATAAAGTACAGTGCGCCGCAAAGGGCTCTGAACACGTTTGGGTGTTCGTTACCTGGGGTGATGCGTGAGTACCCTGCCTACCGCCTCCAGACCCAAAAGAAAGTTGACTGCGACGTGAGGTGGATTGTCCCTTTGTGCCACTAGAGAGTGGCACTGTCGCTGTCCTCCTGCGCTCTCTCGACCGGCGGCTTCCCCCAGCTCCATCTGCTTGGGGTCAGAGTCGTCCAGAGTGGGAACGGGCAGACCCCTACCAGGACGTCCTCTGGCTGCTAGCAGATTGTCCAGCCGGATGGCCATGTCCACCAGTTGGGAGAACGATAGCATGGCATCCCGGCAGGCTAGCTCCCGTCGGACGTCCTCCCTTAGGTGGCACCGGAAATGGTCGATCAGGGCCCGCTCGTTCCACCCGGACCCCGCTGCCAGCGTCCGGAACTCCAGCGCGTAGTCCTGAGCGGTCCTCGTCCCCTGCCTCAGATGAACCAGTCGTTCGCCCGCCTCTTGACCCTCAGGCGGGTGATCAAAAACAGCCAGAAAGAGGCGAGCAAACTCCCCGTTGTTCTCCAATTGTTCTCCAATTGTTCCAAGAACGTTAAGAAACAACTTTCTTCTGTGGGAATTTCAGTACTTCACCATAACATTTTGTACAGGTTTTCTCATGGTTTTATTCAATGTCATGTTCTCAAATTGTTCAGAGAATGTTAAGAACATTTTCCATAAAAACGTTAAAGTTCAGAGAATGTTATTTAAAAACATACATTTAGTTCTCAGAATATGAAGAAAACTTTCCACAAAACCCACAACAAAACTTTAGTCACGTTCGGAGAATGTTCTAAGAATGTTATTTAAAAACATATACATTCCGTTCTCAGCATCAACAAAACGTTCTATCCTCTATCTTGTTAAGTGTATTCAGGTGTGTTGACCGCGCCCACTAATTGGCCACATCTGATGTTAATGAATGCTTGTTTCCTTTGAAATGGGGTCTGTTTGAATAGACTAAAACAGCTTTGTATGTGTAAAAAAAACATGGCATGGACTGATTCCATGGATACAGAACAGAAATTGGATAAAATCCCACTGATGCGTGTCACAAAAGCAAAATGTGTTTGCATGTGTCCTATCTGTGCTTGGAGTTCAACAAAGTTAACCCAAAATAAGATAGCAGTGTTTTTAAAAGTGTTATCGAAACTTTCAGTGAAAGTTTTAAGGAAGTTATTAAAAAAACTCCAAATAACCTAAAGTGTTATTAACATTCCCAGAGTGTTAATAAAACCTTGCAGGAAAACTTTAAAGGAACAAGAGTAAAACGTTCTCAGAACCTCCCTGCAAACTAAAAATAAAAGTTCCCAGAACATGTTCACTTCTGTTGTCAGAACATTTTAAAAACGTTCAGTTTTACCAGTCAGGAAACGTGCTAGCTGGGTTACCACCTTTTTGTGATTATATTCTTTGTTATCACAGTGAGTTGACTGTTTTTCAATGAGGAGATTTGATCTGGCCACTAAACAGCATTTTAGGTTTGATTTTTGACCTCTCAGACAGGGTCGTGACCTGACACAGGTCACTGTGGGTGAGATGAGGACTCTTGTGTCTCTTTGTACTGTCAGCAGTAGAGACCAGAGGGATGACTCAGACTGTCACATAGGCCTTACATAACTACTGTCCCTGCAGTGCAGTCTGTCAAGCTCTCTTTATCTCTCTCTCTCTCACTCTCTGTTGCCCTCTCTCTTTCTCACTCTGTCTTTCTCTCTGTGGCCCTCCTTTTCTCTCTCTGTCTGTCTGATGCTCTCTCTGTCATGCCCCCGCTCTTGATCTGTTCCACTCTTTTTTCACCATCTCTCACTATGTTTCCCTCTATTTTGCTCTCTTTCCACCCGTTCTCTCTCTCGCTTGCTCTGGTTTGTGTGTGTGTCTCTGCTGCTCTCTCTCTCTCTAACAGTAGTGCAGCAGCCGATATCTCTATACAGCTGACATGACACTGAGCTCATCAGTTCTTCTGTTAGCATGGGACATATGTGTGCAGAATGTGTGTGTGTGTTTGTGTGTGTCAAAGAGAAAAAGAAAGAGAGGAGTGAAAGTGGCGAGAGAGAGAGACGGAAAGAAAACAATTGTGTGCTTCTGTGTGGTCAGTTCGTACTAGTGGAATCGGAGAGGTTGGAGAGGGGCCCTTGCTGTTGAGCCTGGGAGACCCTGTCTAGACTGTTATATCAGACCATGTCAACAGAGGGCAATGAGGGAGAGAAGTCAGAGCGTGTGTGTCAGTGTGTGTGTGCTTGTCAGTACTCACCCTCTGTGATGCAGTAGCTGTGCTCTCAGAGCAGGAGCTCTCTCTCAACCTCTGCTCCTCCACCAGAATCTCCCTGAGGTGCTCATTCACCTAGTGAGAGAAAGAGAGAGAGACAGACACAGACACAGATAGAGAGATTGGAGAAAGAGAAGGGATATTATTGAGGGTCACATTCCCAATAAGGGGGACTGAATAGAGAGGTTTTGTTTTTGTGTGTGTTTGTGAGAGAGAAAGAGACCGACTACAGTCTCTCGTGACAGACTAAACATTCTGGGTGGCAAGACTAACTTTACCATAATGTAGTTAAAAAAACAGTACTATGACTTCATCATTCAGCTCATGAATACATTGCAACCTCTCATAACCTCATAAATGATGCACTCTAGCTCTAAGCCTTGTTGTGAAGTTGTATGTGTACAACAAATATAAACAAAACTTAATGAGGGAAATAAAATGAATTCCAGTGCCAGTGATGTAACATTGGCTTTAGGACGCACGTGAACACACACACACACACACACACACACACACACTTCTCTCCTACAGATTGGCTAGCTATCCTGAGACTGGCAATTGCACGCTATGCCTGCAAGCTGTGTGTGTGTCTGTGTGTGTGAGAGTCCATCCACGTCTGACTGATCATGTGTGTATCTTTGTCTTTCCTGAGTATAGAGATGTCTATCTTAATTTGATCACTCTGTTGTCGCAGAACATTTTCCTGCGCCGCATGAAATTCAAAAGAGCCTCATGATTTACATCAATTCAGTGAAAACCTGTAGTGCTCTTACTCTCACTAGATCTCACACCTAAACTATAGCCTACTGAAGCCTATCAAAACAAATGTATAGTAAAAAAAATCACATCAACAAAAAAAAGGTCCCACATCTGTGTGCGTGTGTATTTATGTCAATGTTCGTGTTCATCCATCCTCATTTGTCTGCATGAGTGTGCATTTTTCCATGACTATATTTGTAAGCACGTGAATCTGTGTGTGAAGCGTGTGTGTGTGTGTGTGTGTGTGTGTACATGCGTGCCTGCATGTGTGTATCCGTCTGGCCTTGTCCTGCAGCAGGGAGGAAAAAGCACATGGGCTTCTGCAGGGAGGAATGTAAACAAGCCCAGCTGGGAGCCAACAACACGGAGCCAGAGTGTGTGCTCTTTAGGACATTACTGATGCTGGGACATTATTAGGAACGCTAGCAACATTAGCATCAATACTAATGGTGTGTGTGTGTGGGCGCGCGGGTGTGTACCCTACCTTGTTGATCCAGGTGGTGACTGCATCCTCAGTGTCGTAGGGCAGGTCCCTGATGTGTCCGTCAGGGTGGGAGGAGAGGTCATTGGGGGGGGAGGAGTAGCGGTGGATGCAGGCCATCACTCGCTCCACACTCACCATCTCCACCGTGTACGCCATCATCAGGGTGTCTATTAGGGCCAGATGGGAACTCTGGGGAAGGGAGACGGTGTTAGAATGGTCCACGTTGGTCCATGTTCTCTCAGAGATGGGTGATAGAATGGTTGCTCCGAGAGGACACCGTCATCAATGTTTCACAGAGAATATTAGATCCCCGTTCCCTTTTCCAGTCACCTCAAAATAAAAAGGTAATAGATACCCATCTAAGGTCAAATGTAGGTCACATAAAAACCCTGGGCATGTTTGGTACAAAACATACGTTTCAGTACTTATGAAAACATGAATGGATGTCACTTGGGTTCTAAATGGGGAACCGTGTAAATGTGTGTCTGAGTGTGTGTTTGTCTGACTAGAACAGTACAAAGCATGACATTCTGCTGGCCTTTCCAATCCCATTCCAGGGTGGCTAGCAGCTCTCCCTCCCCTTCCTCTTCTCGCCTCACTAGAGGTCTAGTTCACTCTAACATCTTCTAGTGTGTGTGTTTACTACAAGGAAACCTTGCAGTGAACTTACTTTGTTATTCCAACAATACTATGCTTTAAAACTACTGACGCAAAACCAACAGCACCGAGCAACAAAACAGAATAAACACAAAAACACAAACAGCAACGTATTGGCAGAACTTGGCTCACAGACCTCTATTCATGACCCCATAGAGATGCTTATATAAGAGACTGTTTACACATGGTGTGGCCGTGTGTTTCCCAAAGAAGAGAGAGAGAGAGAGGGAGAAAGAGAGAGGGAGAGAGAGAGAGGGGGGATACAGACCAACACAGACAGAAGGAGAGAGAGAAACCGAGAGAGAGACTGACAGAGACAGAGAAAGAAAGAGCGAGAGAGACCAACTAACCAACTTTTCTGTGCTTTGTCTCCCAGTTCTTTAAAGCCCATCCCAGTTCTTTAAAGCCCAATGTCAGCAAATATAGTAGGTTTGTACAGTGTCAATACAGACTACAGACCAAGTCCTCATGGAACATTACACATTCAACATAGAGCTAGGATTTGGTGAAAGCTATAAATTAAATAGATATTCTAATGACTATTTTATAGGTTTCAGTATATCAAAAAATTATCCAAGATTGTATGCATTTTCTAACATCACAATTTCAAGAATGAAGAACTGCTTAATCTGATACACCATAATACAGTGCCTTCAGAAAGTATTCACACCCCTTGACTTATTCGACATTTTGTTGTGTTACAGCCGGAATGTAAAATTGATTCGTTTTTTCCCCCCACTGGCCTGCACAAAATACCCTATAATGTCAAAGTGGAATTATGTTTTTCAAATGTATTACAAATTAAAAATGAAAAGCTGAAATGTCTTGAGTCAATAAGTATTCAACCCCTTTGTTATGGCGAGCCTAAATAAGTTCAGGAGTAAAAATTTGCTTAACAAGTCACAATAAGTTGCATGGACTCACTCAGTGTGCAATAATAGTGTTTAACATGATTTTTGAATGACTACCTCATCTCTGTACCCGAAACATACATTATCTGTAAAGGTCCACTCAGTCGAGCAGTGAATTTCAAACACAGATTCAACCACAAAGACCAGAGAGCTTTTCCATTGCCTCGCAAAGAAGGGCACCTATTGGTAGATGAAAAAAAATGACTTTGAGCATGTTGAAGTTATTAATTACACTATCAATACACCCAGTCACTACAAAGATACAGGCGTCCGTCCTAACTCAGTTGCCGGAGAGGAAGGAATCCGCTCAGGGATTTCACCATGAGGCCAATGGTGACTTTAAAACAGTTAAAGAGTTTAACGGCTGTGATAGGAGAAAACTGAGGATGGACCAACAACATTATAGTTACTCCACAATACTAACCTAATTGACAGAGTGAAAAGAGGAGGCCTGTACAGAATACAAATATTCCAAAACATGCATCCTGCATTAAATTTGGCAAAGCAATTAACTTTTTGTCCTGAATGCGAAGTGTTATGTTTGGGGCAAATCCAATATAACACATTACTGAGTATCACTCTCCATATTTTCAAGCATAGTGGTGGCTGCATCATGTTATGGGTATTCTGGAAATCTTGAAAATCTATGGCAGGACCTGAAAATGGTTTTATAGCAATGATCAACAACCAATTTGACAGAGCATGAAGAATTTGTTTAAGAATAATGGGCAAATGTTGCACAATCCAGGTGTGGAAAGCTCTTAGAGACTTACCCAAAGGTGCTTCTACAAAGTATTGACTCAGGGGTGTGAATACTTATGTAAATGAGATATCTGTATTTCATTTTCAATAAATATGTAGGAAAAAAAATACAAATGCTTTCACTTTGTCATTATGGTGTATTGTGTGTAGATGGGTGAGAAAAAAATCTGTTTAATACAACAAAATGTGGAATAAGTCAAGGGCTATGAATACTTTTTGAAGGCACTGTAGGTGTGAATCAGACATATGAAATGATGACCAGTAGGGCTGGGAATTGCCAGGGACCTCCCGATACAATATTATCATGATACTTAGGTGCCGATACGATATGTATTGAGATTCTCACGATTCTCACGATTCTATATGTATTGTGATTCGATACTGTGATTTAATTTAATTTCAAACAAGAAAATGCTCATCCAGAAGCGGCGCTCCTAGTGTCCGGGGACTTTAATGCAGCCAAACTTAAATCTGTTGTACCTCATTTCTACCAGCATGTAACATGTGCACCCAGAGGAAAAAAAAACTCTAGGCCACCTTTACTTCACACACAGAGATGCATACAAAGCTCTCCCTCACCCTCCCTTCGGCAAATCTGACCATAATTATATCCTCCTGATTCCTGCTTACAGGCAAAAACTAAAGCAGGAAGTACCAGTGACTCGCTCAATACAGAAGTGGTCAAATGACGCGGATGCTACGCTACAGGACTGTTTTGCTAGCACAGACTGGAATATGTTCCGGGATTCATCCAATGGCATTGAGGAGTATATCACCTCAGTCACCGGCTTCATCAATAAGTGCATCGACGGCGTCGTCCCCACAGTGACCGTACGTACAGTGGGGAGAACAAGTATTTGATACACTGCCGATTTTGCAGGTTTTCCTACTTACAAAGCATGTAGAGGTCTGTAATTTTTATCATAGGTACACTTCAACTGTGAGAGACGGAATCTAAAACAAAAATCCAGAAAATCACATTGTATGATTTTTAAGTAATGAATTTGCATTTTATTGCATGACATAAGTATTTGATCACCTACCAACCAGTAAGAATTCCGGCTCTCACAGACCTGTTCGTTTTTCTTTAAGAAGCCCTCCTGTTCTCCACTCATTACCTGTATTAACTGCACCTGTTTGAACTCGTTACCTGTATAAAAGACACCTGTCCACACACTCAATCAAACAGACTCCAACCTCTCCACAATGGCCAAGACCAGAGAGCTGTGTAAGGACATCAGGGATAAAATTGTAGACCTGCACAAGGCTGGGATGGGCTACAGGACAATAGGCAAGCAGCTTGGTGAGAAGGCAACAACTGTTGGCGCAATTATTAGAAAATGGAAGAAGTTCAAGATGACGGTCAATCACCCTCGGTCTGGGGCTCCATGCAAGATCTCACCTCGTGGGGCATCAATGATCATGAGGAAGGTGAGGATTCAGCCCAGAACTACACGGCAGGACCTGGTCAATGACCTGAAGAGAGCTGGGACCACAGTCTCAAAGAAAACCATTAGTAACACACTACGCCATCATGGATTAAAATCCTGCAGCGCACGCAAGGTCCCCCTGCTCAAGCCAGCGCATGTCCAGGCCCGTCTGAAGTTTGCCAATGACCATCTGGATGATCCAGAGGAGGAATGGGAGAAGGTCATGTGGTCTGATGAGACAAAAATAGAGCTTTTTGGTCTAAACTCCACTCGCCGTGTTTGGAGGAAGAAGAAGGATGAGTACAACCCCATGAACACCATCCCAACCGTGAAGCATGGACGTGGAAACATCATTCTTTGGGGATGCTTTTCTGCAAAGGGGACAGGACGACTGCACCGTATTGAGGGGAGGATGGATGGGGCCATGTATCGCAAGATCTTGGCCAACAACCTCCTTCCCGCAGTAAGAGCATTGAAGATGGGTCGTGGCTGGGTCTTCCAGCATGACAACAACCCGAAACACACAGCCAGGGCAACTAAGGAGTGGCTCCGTAAGAAGCATCTCAAGGTCCTGGAGTGGCCTAGCCAGTCTCCAGACCTGAATCCAATAGAAAATCTTTGGAGGGAGCTGAAAGTCCGTATTGCCCATCGACAGCCCCGAAACCTGAAGGATCTGGAGAAGGTCTGTATGGAGGAGTGGGCCAAAATCTCTGCTGCAGTGTGTGCAAACTGGTCAAGACCTACAGGAAACGTATGATCTCTGTAATTGCAAACAAAGGTTTCTGTACCAAATATTAAGTTCTGCTTTTCTGATGTATCAAATACTTATGTCATGCACTAAAATGCAAATTAATTACTTAAAAATCATACAATGTGATTTTCTGGATTTTTGTTTTAGATTCCGTCTCTCACAGTTGAAGTGTACCTATGATAAAAATTACAGACCTCTACATGCTTTGTAAGTAGGAAAACCTGCAAAATCGGCAGTGTATCAAATACTTGTTCTCCCCACTGTACATATCCCAAAAAATAAGCCATGGATTACAGGCAACATCCGCACCGAGCTAAAGGCTAGAGCTGCCGCTTTCAAAGAGCAGGACACTAATCCGGATGCTTATAAGAAATCCCGCTATGCCCTCAGACGAACCATCAAACAGGCAAAGCGTCAATACAGGACTAAGATTGAATCATACTACACCGGCTCTGACGCTCGTTGGACGTGGCAGGGCTTGTAAACTATTACGGACTACAAAGGGAAACCCAGCCGCGAGCTGGCCAGTGATGCGAGCCTACCAGACGAGCTAAATGCCTTTTATGCTCGCTTTGAGGCAAGCAACACTGAAATGAAGGTAACCTGCCTAAATGACTACCGCCCCGTAGCACTCACGTCGGTAACCATGAAGTGCTTTGAAAGGCTGGTCATCGCTTA